CTGGATCTGAGTAAAGGCACTTGAAAAGCTTGAGGAGCATGCTATCAAAACTTGCTTCATGGGTATTGATACTGAAGCCAAAGGCTGGAGAGTTTACTAGCTTAAAAAGCGAAAAGTTAGCATTGAACATGATGTATACTTCAATAAGAATGACCTGACTCTGGAACCATTCATAGTCAAGAGGGAGGATAAAGATACCGACTCTATTGTCCCAAAGTCATCAATCACTTCTAAACCCTTTGAAAACCTGCCAGATGAACCACTCCCAGAAACTCATTCAGAGCATTCCAAATCTCCACTAACAGATATAGAATCTGATCCTATCTCTCAATCCAGCCACTCTAAGCAATCTGCAGCCTTGAAACCTGGTCAATTTGCACCCTCAAACTTGCACAAACATCTCACTATAGCTGAAATTGCAGCAACAGCAACTGAAGATGAGTCAGAATCAGATGATGATGATGAACTAAACAGCTACTCACTAGTCAACTATGCTATGATAGTGGATGTCAAACCAGTAACCATGAAGGAGGCACTGAGTGGTCCTGATGAAGGGAAATGGTGCAAATCAATGCTTGCAGAGATAAGGCAGTGCAAGAAAAAGAAAGCATAGAAGATGATGAAAAGAGAAGATGTTCCTATAGATGCAAACATCATGGGTACAAGGTTTGTCTACTGGGTCAAACAAAATAAAACTGGTGAGCCTGAAAAGGCTAAGTCCCATTTTGTAGCCCAAGGATTCTCTCAGATCCAAGGTATTGACTACTTCAACACCTATGCCCTAGTTGTTTGTCTTCTCACTCTCTGTATCCTACTCTCCATGGCCACCTCTCAAAATGCAATTATAGACCAAGCTGATATCAAAAATGCATATCTGCATGCCAATATCACTGAGAAAATCTATATCAAGTTTCCAAACAGATATGAAGAATTCTTCATAATTTCAGAACACCTCAAAGGCCAGAACATTTATGTCAAGCTGCACAAATGTCTATACAGCACAAAACAAGCAGGATGCAGCTGATACCAGATCCTGAAGGCAACAATGATCTCTCTAGAATTCACTATCAGCAATGCAGATGAGGCTGTTTTCTACCAGATCGAATCAGAGATCAAATATACTATTGTCACAGTTGCCACAGATGATTTCACTATCATTGCAGACTCTCAAAATGAATCAGACTGATTCAAATGAGAAATAAGCTCACATTTTGAGCTAGTTGATCTCAGACTCATACATTGGCTTTTGGGAATGCATATCACTTGAGACTGAGAAAGGTGCACCATCAGCATTGGACAGCCAGCCCACATTGATCAGATCACAAAATGATTCAGAGTTTAGGATATAGCACTATTTGTGATGCCAATGGAAGTGAATCTTGATCTAAACCCAGATTCACCCTCCATATCCACAGAATCTGTTATGCTACATGAAAAAGCACTCTATCACAAGCTGCTAGGGTCCCTCATATATGTTGCAGTTGGATTCCACCCTGAAATCAGCTATCCAGTATCAGCATTATCACAATTCATAGAAAACCCACATTTAACTCACCTAAAAGCAGGATTCCAAGTCCTCCATTATCTCAAGAGTACACATGATCAACAGCTCATAATCAGTGGTCCTGGCATCAGTCCTAAGGGCTATCATGACACAGCATATGCCAACCAGCCTGGACAAAAGTCTATGTCTGGATTTATCCTATTCATGGGTCAAGGTGCTGTTGTGTGGACATCAAGAAAGCAACCAATTGTTACTGTCTCCACTGGTGAATCAGAATATGTTGGACTCACACCAGCATTGAAGAATATGATATGGCTTCACAAACTCCTCTCAGAACTCTCCATATTCATTGCAAACCCTTCTATTTACCCAACAAACCCTACTATCCTCTTCTCTAATAGTCAAAATGCACTTTCTATTGCCAAGGATTCAGTATTCCATGAATTAATGAAGTATATTGGAGTTCAGTACCATTTCATTCACCAAACCATTGAACAAGGCCACATCAAACTGATGTACTACCCAACTGATAATATGGTTGCCAACATCCTCATAAAACTATTGGCTTGTCTAAAATTCAAGAAATTTGCAGAGGTGCTGGGCATCATGTAAGCAAACCATTTATGTTTTGAGAGGGAGTGTTAGACATAGGAACAGTACAATACACACATGTTCACTTACCTATTTGATATTCCTTTTTTTTTGGCATGTCACACTGTTCTGTACATCCCAGCTTTCAACCATAATGCTGAGATATGAGTATCTCCTATACATATCTATTCTTGATCATACTTACTTATCACCTATATAGTAATATTATGACATTTTATCCTAGGTAATTAATACAGCTTTCAACCATAATGCTAAGATTAACATTACAGTGTTTTATTCTAGTGTCTATTCTCTTCCAAAACTTTTTCCTCATTCACTACATCCACACTCCTACCTTGTTAACTCCAACACTAATACTTCTGACTCTCTCAAAAACTTAATTGACAATAGATACAATAGATCACAGAACTATCTGAATACAACTACACATTGTATTATAAAGCTGGTGCAGCAAATAAGAAGGCTGACCTTTTTAGTCAATGAGTAGACTATGATCAGGAGGGTGAGGACAATGAAGGAGTGGTATTATTGAAGCTTGAACATTTTTGTGTGATAGTGATACTAACAGAAGAAGAGATCTATGAATGAATTAAGAGCACCACATAGAACACCAGCTAATGAGACCAACAAGTAGCCTCATCCTTCAATCATGAGCAGAGAATGATGAAGAACAGTGGACTGATTTGCTATAGATCTATATACTCTAAGACTATCAACTTCATGGGAAAATCATCACAACATGCTATAACTATGCAATGGCAGGACACCCAGAAATCATAAAGACCAAGGACTTAGTTTTACATGAGTATTGGTGGCCAAAGATGAGACAGGATATAGAATGATACATGAAAGAATGCAAAATATGTCAATAAGGAAAGGTATCTACTCAGCTACATGCAGCTCCACTTTATTTGAATGAAGTCTCACAGAGACTATAGACTCACATCTTAGTTGATACAGTCATCAGCCTACCAGATTGCAATAGTTACAATGTGATCATCATAATCATTGATTGGTTCTCTAAGACCATTATTCTAATCATATGTTCAATGGAACTATCATCTGAAGGGTGGGTAAAAATTCTTCATGACAAAGTCTATATAAAATATAAAATGCTACAGGTTATAATCTCTGATTGAGGACCACAATTTGTATCAAAGTTCCTTGATGATCTATATCACCTCCTAAACATCCAAAGTAATACTTCAATAGCATATCATCTCTAGACCTATGGTCAGACAGAGTGAGTGAACCAGAAGATAGAAAAATATCTCTGTATGTTTATTAACTACTGATAAGATGATTGGATCAAATGACTTGCCTTAGCTGCATTTCAACATAACAACCATGCTCACTCTATCATGGGAAAAACCCTCTTCTTCATTAATTATAGCCACCATCCAAACATATTCTATACTGAATGATTATAAACTATAATATCTGCTTCTTTGGACTTTGCTCACACCATGTCCAAAGTTCATGATGAAACTCACACTATTCTCAAAAAGACAGCAGCATCCATAAAGGCACAATATGACAAGCATTGATGCTCTGCCCATGAATACTCTATTAACAACAAGATTTGGCTTGACACAAGCAATTTACACCTTTCCTGTCCCAAACAGAAGTTGGCTGACAAATACACTGGCTCATTCTCTATCATCACTAAAGTTGGACTGTCAGCATACAAACTCTGACTCCCTGCTGGCTGGTGAATCCACAATGTCTTCAATGAATCACTTCTCATACTATATATTGCTCTCACCTTCTCAAATCATGAATGACTATCATCTTCTGAACCCATCCTTATTGACAATAAGAAGCACTATGAAGTTGATCAAGTACTCAACCACTACCTCTGCAAAGTATGTGCTCATAGTGGAGGAAGTAAAACAACAGTTGACTATTTGGTTAGCTAGAAAGACTATGAACCAGAGTTAAACCAGTGAGTAAATGAACATTATATAAATATGACAGACACTATTTATAACTATAAGCTCTCTCTAAATTAATCCATTGGAATGATGGTCTTAAAGAGGGGTAATGTTACAATTTTTTCATTTTCATTTTTGATTAACCCCTATTTATGCTTAGTCAGAGTGCTTAGGACTGTGGGACAGGCTTAGTCATTATAATAGGCTGAGTCAGCTATTGTCCTCTGATGCAATAACACTCCTTAATGAAGGACAATACTCTCTTGTAGATACTTGTGACATTCAAGAACAATGAGCACTGTAGCTTAGAAACACACAATTAGTAGGTATATATTTATCTCAAGGATGAATGGTATACAAGTAGAATAGCTCTTGCTGTATATTTCCAGCTTCAAGCTAAAGTTTATTCTTCACCATTCTATCTTGAGCTGACTTGTATTAGTCTTGAGACACACTATATAAGCACAGAAGTGAACTTAGACATGACTGTATAAACTTGATACAGCATCCATTTATCACATGTTTAGGTCACATATCACTTAGACTTAACATCTATAAGGCATAGAGTTCTTTAGACAGTATTTAAGGCAGTAGTACATACTGATATACCTCATTCTTGAGCTAAGGTTTAATACACCTACTAAACTCTCTGACTATCTGGTGTGAATACTCTTGTCACAACAGCAGACTATATCTATCAGCTACAACTCTTTATTCCTATCTGCAAAATCTTTATTGCCTATCTCATTATCCTCATTATACTTTTATACTGAAACCAGACTCAGACTCAGAATCTAGAATTGGATTCCAGTGAAAGCATTGCTAGACATTTGTGAGTGTTTAGTAGAGGCCTAACACTTAAGCCTAAGAAAAAGAAGTACAAAAAGATTGAACACTATATTAAGTTTATATCCACAATATTACTGAAACAGTTTTAGATAATCTGAGAAATCACAGAGGATCCACTGGCAGATATACTAGCTCTTTCAGCTCATCTGCCAGACTTCACTCTGACAGGACACTATACCCAAGAGAATTATGATGTTATAAATGAAAACCATTCAGAGGATTTCTTATGGCCAGAAGAGCAGAAGCTCATGCACTATTTTATGATGTTGCAGAAAGCTGTATTTGCATGAGATAAGTCACAGAAGAGAAAATTCAGAGAAGATTTCTTTCTCTCAGTAACCATCTCTATTATAGAACATATCTCTTAGGTTCACAAAAACATTTTCATTTTCCCAGATTTGTATCACAAAGTCATAGACATAGTCAAAAACAAGATTGCTTTAGAAATATATAGTTGACTGTCTCACAATGCATACAGTCAGGAGACACCAAAACTATATGCATTTGCAGAATCAAAATAGCATATGATGTGACATGTGATCTATGTGACAATATTGTTGTTGCCCCAAAATACTGTCAGTAGCTTTTGGGTCAGCTTTCCATGCATCTCCTTGAATAATGCTCCTCTTAACTTTCTCAGCTGTGATATTAATCCATCTTAGTCATCTTGTGAAACACAAAATGCCTCCAGCTTTTAAATAAGCTCAAATTCTTTTCTTGTAGTTATCAAGGTCTGTTCTTTCTCACTCTCCTCACTCTCCTCTTCCTCCTCATCATTGTCAATAACAGTTATTTCCCCATTTTCTACTGCAATATTATACTTGACAGCAGCAACAATCTTCTCATCTGTTGGCATCACCTCAAGATCTTCAATATACTCTTCTGCAATAGAGTTAATCATCTCTTCAATAGTTGGAATGGGACTAAACATGGAATTTCATTGTTTCAATTTAACAAGGTGGTCCTTCAACATTATCTCTGCTGTCTGGAGGTGTTGAATGGGGCTGATTTGAGTGGGAGATGTGTTCATTTTTGACTGTGATGAAAGAGCCAACTGATTGACTGCCTCCAGTGCTTTATCAACATTGTTCTCTGCATTCACAACAGCTATAAGAGCAGGACACCAGTCTCACCTCAGAGCTGCATGTTCTGATACCAGGATGCAACAGCATACTCCACATCAGGTCAGGTGACAATGCAAGACCCAGCTGCCTGCCTATAATGACTCAGGCTCATATGACTATTGGAGTGCTTCATTCTGTGATGTCTCCTCCTGATCATACACCCTCATGATTTGTTTGCTCATACTGCTTTTGCATTATTCTCTATTCCCTTCTCATTCTTTACCTTTCTCTTCTGTGCTTTGTTTCATCTCTCTTGCACTTGATTGTCTAGGTTTCAGACAGACATTTTTAATTTCATTCTCTCTGAATTTCATCTACTCTTGCATTTAGACTTGTTGTAAGTAGAGAGCAGAGTAATATACAGAGGATTAGAATTAGCCTCTCAAAAGAGAGATGTTCTACTTAAATACATTTTGTATTACTTCAAGATCTTTCTATGAAATACTAAATAAGTCTAGATCATGATCCAAGTCAGCTGCTGCTGACTGGCATCATATCTTTAAGTACATTCTCATACTTGCTTGGGATTGCTATTCCAACACTCCCTCTTAATTCTAAGTTCTTAGATTACCTGCAGATAGATACTTATATAATAGTCTTAGTAGGCCTTTAGTGAATATATCTGCTAAGTTCTCCTCTGATGTGCAGTGCTGAACCTTGACTTTATTTGAAGCCATACACTCATAAACAAAGTGGTGCCATATGTCTATATGCTTTGATCATATATAGAATATGGGGTTCTCAGCAAATTTAATTGCTGATTGATTGTCAATGAAAATAGTCATCATTTTATAAGGTGACAATCCTAATTCAGTTAAAAGTGCTCATAGCCACATTACTTCCTGGGTTGTGTGTGCAAGGGCTATATATTCTGCTTCTATAGTGAATAAGGCTACAGTGGGCTGTTTCTTTGAGCTCCAAGTAACAGCTCCCTCTGCATAAGTACAGACATAATCAGACATTGATCTTCTATCTGCTCTGTCTTCTCTCCAGTCTGAGTCTGAATAAGATATCAGCTTATTCATAGTTTCTCCATATGTGATTCCAAAGTCTAGAGTCCCCTTCAGATAGCAGAAAACCCACTTCAAGGCTGTGACATGCTCAGCAGCCAGATTCTGCACATACTTGCTTAATTTGATGATAGCATGTGCAATGTCAGGCTGGGATCTATTGGCTGTATACATTAGTAATCTAACACCAGTATAGTAATATTGCCTTATGGCTGTGTCAACACCTCATAAGTCTTTTATTGGAATTTTCTCTAGCTGTATATTTGGATCTATAGGCATTTTGACTGGTTTGCAGTCATTCATGCTCATTCGCTCAAGTACTTTGAGAATATATGCCTTCTGAGATAGAGTGATAGTGCTCTTGTCCTAATTCCTGTCTATCTTCATGCCCAATATATATTGAATCTCTCTCATGTCTGTGATATTTAGCTTCTTCTTAAGCTCTTCTTTTATTTTAGACATGGTTTCATCATCTGAGATAAGCAATATCATGTCATCAACATGTACAGCTATAATTATGGGATCAGAACTCATTTGTCTGATATACACACATTGATCACTGATCAATCTGATGTATCCAAGTCCCAAAAATATAGCATTTAATTTATTGTTCTAAACTTGGCCAGATTGCTTGAGTCCATACAATATTAATTTGAGGTGTGTTGCTTTTCCACTCTCATCTGAATATTCAGGTGGCTGTACTATATAAATGGACTCATTGAGTTTACCATTTAAGTAAGCTCCAACAACATCTATTCTATAAATGATTAGATTTCTCTGAGTGGCAATTGCTATAAGTAGGCAGAATATGTCCAGCCTGACAACAGGTGCATATGTCTTGAAAAAATCAATCCTGAGTACCTGTGAAAATCCTTTTGCAACAAGTCTGGCCTTGTATCTGATGATTTTTTCATCACCATCTCTTTTCAATCTGTAAGTCCACTTGCAATCCACAAGTGATCTGTCTTTGGGTAATTCTTTCAGCTGTCATGTGCTTAGAAAAGTCAATAGATTGTATTCTTCATCCATTGCTTTCTTCTAATGATGCCAGTCTGGCCTTGTCTTAGCTTCTTCAAGGTTTAATAGCTCATCACTGAGGTTGTCTGCAGTTTGTCCAATGCATACATAGTCTATTGCAACATTTGCAGCTTCTAGAGAGGATTCTTCTGAGGTACTCTGTTGTTCTGATGTTTTCACAGCTTATGCACTTGGGTTATGAAGTGTCCAGTAACTTAGTTGAGTCTTTGATGCAATCCAGGCCAATTTGTCATGTGGCTCAATCACTTTCCCATGCCATATTGAGAACTTTGATTTGATTGATGATACATCAGTGGTTGTTTTGTCTTTTGATCCAACATTTTCAGCATCCATAGAATCATCCAAAATGCCATCATTTCTATCTGGAGTCTGCTCAACTTTGCTCTCTAACTCCTCCTCAAGTGACAAAGGATGGGAGACTACATAGTCTATGTTTATAGGCTCTGTAGTGTTGCTTTCAGAGAATATAACATTTCTTGAGATCTGAATCTGCCTAGTTTGAGAGTTGTAATATCTCCAGGCTCTGGATTCATCTGTAAGACCTGTAAAAATAAATTCCCTTGACTTTGGGTCAAGTTTTGACCCCTTGTTGTCTTGCTGCAACACTCAGCACTTTACTCTGAATTCCTGGAGTGCTGAAATATCTGGTTTTGTGCCCTGAAACACTTCTTCTGGAGTTAGATCATTTTTGATAGCTCTGGTTGGTGATTGGTTCTTCAGGTATGTGGCATATGCCACTGCCTCAGACCATAGAAACTTCAGTAAGTGATGTTCTTCTAGCATGGTGCATGCATGCTCCACAAGAGTCTGATTTATTCTCTCAGCAATTCTATTTTAAGATGGAGAGTATGCTGCAGTCAATTCCAACTGTATATCATTATCCTGGAGGTATTTCTTTACCTCTTTATTGACATATTCCTTTCCATTGTCAATCCTCATAAACTTCAGATCCTTCTCTTTATGGACTTTGATATATTTTTGATACTGCTGGAGCTTCTTTCAAATTTCTATGCCTTGCTTTGACTTCAAAAAATACAGTATTATCCTCTAGGATTTTTCATCTGTAAAGCTTATGTAATATCTTTCACCATAGATACCCTCAGTTTGGGCTGGCCTCCATAAATCCAAAAATGTCATTTTCCCATTTTAGTATAGTCTCTTTTAGCTTCCTGTAGAAATGGCTTGGTATGATGCTTGGCTTTTATCCAAGCTATGTAATCTGTCTGAGGCTCAGCTGACTCATCTATATCCATCTCTTTGACCATTTTCCTTCTAAATAGTCTCTTTACTGATTTCATGTTTAAGTGGCCTAATGTTTTATGCCACTTTTGTCATGATTGGACTGATTTTGTAGCATGGGCCTGAGTTATTTCTGAAACAATGATGTCAAGGCTATACAGCTTTGATATTTTATCTCCATGGCCAATTATTTTATCATGTGGTGAGATAATATTCATCTTGGATTCTTTAAATTTGAGTTCAAATCCAGCATCAGTGATGCACCCTAGTGACATAAGATTGAATGGTGTGTCAGGATAGTGGATACACTCCTTTAGTGTGACTGAAGTGATCTTTTTTCCTTCAACCATTTTAATCTTGACAGTTCCCCTTTTCAAGCCTTTAGATTTGCCTACACCAATAACTTCATATTCTGGAGTTTCAACATAGTCAGAATAATATAATCTATTTTTGACTATATGTCTGATAATGCCAGAGTCCCCTAGCTATAATACTCCTGAGAGTGAGGTAAGTGCAATATCTGTTGCACAAAATGCATAGTCATTTTTTTCTGAGTCTAATTTGGCAACATGTGCCTGAGTCTGACCTCTTCCCTTTCCTTTCCACAACTTTCCAGAATTCTTCTTTCTATTTGGGCAATTTGTCCTAATGTGACCAGTTTTTCTACATCCATAACATGTGACTTTTGGATTGGACTTCTTGCCATGTGCTGCAAATATCATGGTCTGATCAGAAGTCTTTTCCTTTAATCAGATGTCTTCCTAAAGAATTCAGGAAATCAACTTGTAAGAATCTTTCAAGTTGGCAGTATCCACTGATGAGATGAATGAATTCCATAATTCCAGTAGTGATATAAACAGTGTAATAGAGAAGTCCTCCTCCTCAACTTTCTGCTTAAGGGATGCCAGCTTCTCCTGATAGGACCTCATAGTCCTAATATGCTCCTCTATGTTTCCTCCTTCTTCACACAGAGCTCTGAAGAATTTCCTTCTGACAAGAACAATTTCCATGGGTCCCCTGGACTCATACATATCTTTCAGAGCTTTCCAGGCTTCTGCTGAAGTCTTTGAACCAGCAATATATACCAGCAGGCCATCTGAAACCCACAATCTTATTGTTAAAAGAGCCTTCCTATCACTCTTCTTCCAATCTGCCACCAGTGTCATGTCTGCTGGGGCCAGAGTGCTTCCATCTGCATAATCAATTAGTTCTAAATCAGTTAGGATATTGATCATCTTGATTTTCCATGTTGGGTAATTTTCCAGGCCCTTAAGGGGGTTAATTCTATACATGGACTGGTTATCCATGCAGTTCTATGTGTGTACATAAGGTATGAAAGAGTGTGAAGTGAGTAGCAACATAAGTTCAGTTATGGCCAGGGCCCATAACCTGTTGTAAGTAGAGAGCAGAGTAATGTACAGAGGATTGGAATTGGCCTCGAGAGAGAGAGATGTTCTACTTAAATACATTTTGTATTACTTCGAGATCTTTCTATGAAATACTAAATAAGTCCAGATCATGATCCAAGTCAGCTGCCACTGACTGGCATTGTATCTTTGAGTACATTCTCATACTCACTTGGGATTGCTATCCCAATGGGACTTTTCTTTTTGTTTCTCCACTTTACCTTACAGTTTGGGACTTTGCAAGCAGAGACTCATCTCTCTACTCCTTTCTTTCTTGCTTTCATCATCATCTCACTCTCCTTTGCATCAGACTTTCCTTAGGCTTTTGTTTTCCAGTTCCTTTTCTTTGGGACTCTTGGTGTTTGTACTTTCACTTTCATGGACTATTTTTCTTTTGATTACAGGTTTTTTGGGACTATGGTTGTCTTGGGACTTTTGCTGTCATCTTGTGGTGCTGCTTGGACATGTGCTTTGACTAGATTTCACTGATTTTCTTTCTTTCTTTCTCTCCTCCCACTTTTTTTCCTGCTCTCGTGGTCAATTTACAGCGATTCGATTCCCCTGGGAGTCCTTACAGCATATGCGAATCTTACTTTTCCAGTGTCCGAACCAAGAATGTGCACCCTGCGACGACACTTGGAAACGTAGAGTTAAGATCCTTCAGAGTTTCACTTGCACTTCCTTCATTGTCCTTTCGGTTTCGAAAGGTGCATCATGCATCCATCTTTATACCGTACTACGTAATGGTCAAATGCACATCATAAAGCCATGATTTCAATTTAGCGATTCTACGACACCAAAACACTTTACAAACTATAACTGATAATCGTTGACATATAGGATTCTCGCGGCTTTCCGCAATTCGGATCCGGGACTGTCATTAAACCAACGAACCGCCTCCTCTTTCCCCATCTCCAACACTTCTTTGACCCTCTCCATTTCTTCTCTCGTCCAGACCATCGGTGGTCCCAGTCTCCACAGGATCTCAAGGAACTTCTCCACAAATAACGGCACAAACTCTCCTCTCCCAAAATCAATAATCCTGAAACTCGGCGTCTTCAACGATCGCTCTGACGGTCGCACGGTAAGAGGACCTGGCTGTCGCAAAATGTTGCGAGGATACAGCGAGTTGTGCACAAAGTCTGCATGATGAAGGCGAAGCACCAGTGAGAAGCATTCAGATCTGGAGATGCACCATCAGCGATGGAGTAGAAGCAACAGAAATGAAGCTAGAATACCTCTCATCTTCTGAAAACTCTTCCGGTTCGATAGGCGTCCCACACTCTTCGAGCAAGAGAATGGGGGAACGAATTTCTTCGTCTTGTAGAGGTGAATGTTCGTAGAAGTTATCTTCATCATCCTCGCCACTATAGTCGTCCTCTTCTTCCGCTGATTTTCCGTCTGCATCGGTAGATTCTACCGCCTCGTCCACGCCTATCTTCTTAGCTTCTCTCTTCGCCTCTCGTTCCCGTCTTCTTTCCACCTCTTTCTTGATTCTGTTCAGTGCTTCTTGCCTCCGACTAGCTTCTTCCTCCTCCTGAACAGGTACATAATACCCAAAGAACTTGGGCACACACGCACCCACGGGGACAGGGTGGTCCATCGAAGCTACCAAGTTATAGCCGCAGTAGCTCTCCTGCAGATGATCGGGGAACGTGTCGTAGATTCGTCCCTCATTTTCAAGCAACTCCCGATCTTCACTAAGAGAAAACGCCAGTTTTGCAGCTACGGAAACGTGTGGGTCGCCTGTCTGCGTCGTGAGAGGTACTGGAAGTCGTATTCCGGCCTTCCGGACGGCAGAATGGCCGCCCTTGCCGAGAAGTGGTGCACCCGAAAGGTCGAGCGTAGCGATTCTTCGACACTCACTAGCAGCGTACCTCTCCGTCTGTGTCGGTGTCCAGTGGAACGCCGAAGGGCAATGGAGGTCATTGTTAAAGAGCGTGGCCGGCTCGCCATCGCGCTTCAGCTTCGGCCAAACACGTTTATAGCGTACAGGCAGCATACGCGACGGACGGCTAAGAAATGGAACGTCACTCATCGTGAAGCCGGAAGGGTCGTTGACGAGGAGTATGTCAGGAAAGTATTCTTCGGGGATGCGTTCCTCAAGTTTTTGAACCGTCTCATAATCCGTAGTCATAAAGGACTATATTTTTCATCCTTAGACTCCAAGGGGAAAGATTATCATGCACTGACCTCCATTGCCTGTCGTTCCGCGGGTGTAAGGTCGTCATGAGTTTCGACAATAACTATCATCTAAGTTAGACACAAGCAAAGTCGGAAAAACTTTGGTCACCTTTCGAACCTTCTGATTCATCCTTCTTGGTGTCGTCTTCTGCTTTTATCATCAGATTGAGGTCCGAAGCAATAGTTGTAGAGAACTTCTTTACTACCTGTCGCCACATCATGTTTGTCTTCACATCTCTCTTCTACGATAACTATCACCAAAGTTAGACACGAGAAAGACGAAAGAAATCTATTTACTTTCGGGGACGTCGATCTCTGCTTTCAGTGTCAGATCTCGGTCAGATCAGAAAACTGTGAACCAGACCTGTACAATTTTGTCTGTCTCCTGTCTCTCCTTCTATGCTGGATTCTAAGACAAAGCCACCCGTTATATTATCATCAGCCTGAACGAAGACTATCACCAAAATTAGACGTGGAAAATCACAGGAACAAGCTCTATTCACCTTCGGCCATGGCCGATTCATCGTCCTTGCCATCATCTTCTGCTTTCGCCGTCAGATTTATGTCAATGTGAAAACAGTTCTTTTACCCGGCAGCCTGTCCTGCGACTTCACAGCCCCTTCGAGGATGGATTCTTTGGTTGCGGGGGGTGCGTCATCGTTCATCGGTGCTGGCTCCGCGGACCATTCTATTTTTTCCTTTGTGGATTCAAATACTGCCAATGGATGAGTGTGCATAGAGAACAAGCGTTTACACAACAAACCAGTACTCTTGACAGCTAGAAGACCCGTCACTAAAGGCGATTTGAAAAATGGTCACATTAACGTACCATGGAAACGTCGGGGCTTGAGCGAATGATCCCTATTGCACGTCTCGTCCACTAACCCGAAAAGCGCGTCGTCATTCGGCACCTTGAGCAGTGGCCACGGTCTCAAGCGACGCGGTTCAACTTGTGGAACTCCAGGCTGTTCACCAAAGTTCTCGCCGAATTCATCCAGCATGCTTCGCGTCCAAATTGATTTTAACTTCGCGCCAGGGAAAGGACGAATCCTAAGATACGCTGGAATGCGAACCGTGGGATAAAATCAGGTTACGAACCAGTAGAAATCATCCAGTGTATGTCCCCAAGGTATATTGTTTGGTGTACGAACCCCTTGAGGTGGTGGTTCTCGAACAGTTGGTCCATCAGGATCGCGAGGCCACTCATGCAAAATGACGCGCTCGCGGTCGCTGTTCATCGTGGTCGAAGGAAGGCAAGAATATCTGGGCGCGAATTTCCATTTTCAGGCAATGTTCGATCTGCGCTGTCGTCGCGAAACGTGCTAAGGAGCATGGAAACGAAAGGAAAACGAAAGAAATGAGAAAACAAGGGCAATTTAATGGTAACCTCACGTGACATGTGTCACAGTTGGGAAAACAAATTCTGTCACCGCAGCTTTGACGAACACCGAACAGGCGTCCAAGACCCGTCGCGACTCTTTTAGAATCATTCAAATTTCCTCTCGCCTAGGTGCTTCACCGTCGGTAAGCCATTCCAGCTTTTCAGTTTCACTTCAGACTTAAGTCAAAACTTAGGTTTAGTCAAAATTTCAATGGCTGTATCTACATCGACAGGCTTCCCTCTACCCCAGGAGCTGACCGACATGATCATCGGCGAACTCAAAGGAAACCCCTCCTCTCTATTCGCTTGTTCTCTTACCTGCCGCTCCTTCCTTTCACCTTCTCGTAGGCAAATATTCTCTGCCGTGGGCTTCGACAACGCAGATCACATCCGACGATTTTACGTTATATGCACAGAATCCCCAGAAATATCCTCTTGTGTAAATTATCTGTTCCTACAGAATTTTTCACACTGGAGTGTCACGGCAGATGAGCATTTAACGCCCATCGTGAAATCCCTAGTTAATCTTGAATCTCTCTCGTTGCTCGACGTCTCGTTCCGCGATCTTTCAAAGGAACTCACCACGATGCTTTCCTCATGCCCACTGCAGGTCCTGGCTCTTTGGGACCTAACGGTGGATGACACTCAGGCATTATGTTCGTTTCTTCGCCACTGTCATCAACTCCACACGATGTCGATATCTGGCAATCTCATCGTTACTGGTGGCCAGGCTGACGTCTCCATGTGTGAAGACAATGACCCTTCCGTCGTATCCTCTCTCCGACATCTAGTTATTACATGTACGCCTGGTTCCCGACGGATACTGGACACGATTCTTACCTACCCTACTCCACCCGTGCGTATCGACAGGCTTGAGCATCTCACCATACGCATGCAATACGATGGCGACCCTTATGACTATTTCAGCCTAGAGAACCTTTCGCTTCTGAAAAGAATCATAGACCTCAACCGTGATAACGACACGCTAATCCGCGTTTCAGCCTTGTTCATACTAACATACATCGATAGCCGCACCCCTTCTCTCTTTGATCTTCCCCTATCTCACCTACGTGCCCTATCTTTGTACCTAGGAGATTTCCCTGATATATTGAGAGTCAGTCCGCTTCCTATCCTAGGCTGGTGGACGAACGCGCTCAGACCATCGCCTAACGTCCCGACCCGTCTGGAGTCTCTAACGATCCGACTTTATCTCGATGCCCAAAGCACCCACTTTCGTTCCTCCGCGTGTAAAGGGGCATGGGCAAATCTGGATTCAGTTTTGGGGGATGACAGTTATCCACTCCGGAGATTAACTATTCGTTTAATAGGCGGCCAAGATTCCCCTCTTGGAGAAATATCAAACGCGTCGGACGTGACGGAGAATATCATCAGAGAGTCTATGCCTCGCCTTGTCCAGAAGGGGGCTCTGTATTTGACCAAAGGTTTCTGAGACAGGTAAACATGACTTCTGTGGCTGTATCTTTTGTTGATTACCTTCCTAGTGACTCTGATGAAGAAGATGACTGGGGTATCGTCTACTAAATCAAAGGTCGTGGCGAGATGTATTGTGATAACTTAAGTTTCATACCTAGACATAATTTGTACGTCTATCCCATGGACATACGTCTCACTTTCTCCTTGTCACGAGCTTCGGACGATTGATGGTAAGTCAAGCGAATACCTCGCATCCCCTCAAAGATGCGTACTGGGGCGACGTGAAAGAGAACACCAGAAAAGGCGGTCACCCGTTCAACGTAAAAAGACGTCGGCGGTGGCTGAACAGTTTCGGTTATTCGAGAGCTGCCAATGGGCGCTCTATAGGCGGTGGTGCGGACGATCCCCCACGCACCGTCCTTGGATGGATGTTCACGTTTGGAGAGACGACATCGGGATGTTATGGAGACCCGTACTTAACGGTCTCCCCTCGCTCTCCTCGGCGAGATGAGGAATCCTTCAGGCAGAAACTTCATTTCCGGTGCGATATGAGAGAATCCATGCCGTCATACTGAACTTGGCGATCGCGATTGTGGCCCGAACGACCGCTACCCACCGTTGGCGAGAGCAGCAGTGTTAATCCAACGAGGCATCTCGCAGGAACAAGAAGCCAGTGGGTTATATTTACATGGATCAGATGAGTCTTGAACAGTGACAAGGAGATAGATGCATCGAGGGAGAAAGGTACATATGTTTTGTGCCCTCTTCTATGTGTCGTCGAAAGGTTATCTGACCTTATGCAGCTGCCGAAGACTCTTCTGTGACGAGAGGAGGGGGGGAAAATCATGGGTTTTCGCAAAGACCGCCGAATGATGTTACGTTTTTTTGCGAAACACGCCCTACCTGAAAAAATCCTATCGCTGTTCATAAACGCCTCCATAAATCCAGCCACATGACTGGGGCGACATGCTGATAAACAGGTGAAACAGTGATTTGGGAGTTCTCTCAGCCCCAGTACGCTTCGATGAAGCGGGAGGATGTGTGTGGCAAAGGCGGATGCTGGCTGAGAGGGTGCGATCTCCGCAGAAGCGCACCTTGTCATATTTACTTCGCTCCTTTACGCGACGTCGTTTCATATCTTGGGTGGGGGGGGCTCGACTTCCCTAGGGCCTTCCTGAGCTGCCTGTCTTCTAGCTATAGAGTAGCAGAACAATAAAGGATCAAGCCGGCCACGAGGATGTCCAAGTAACTATCCCCTTTCTATCGGATCTGCATTCTGAACTATACCCGGAAGTACCGTGACCCACGTATCCCGATTTTGAAGAAAGCCATCAACAATTTGATGGGGGACCCCGAACGTCGCGCAAGCGCTCGAAACCGACTTATTATTATGCGGCGGAGGCGGAAGATAGTGGGGGCGAAGGAGGAAGACGAGAAGAAAAGGCACCTAGAACTTCAAGAAGGCGACCGGTACGTCTCTTGCGGCGGCTTGTCGTGGCGAATCTGTAGAGGACGCTGACGCTAGGTATGCGTCATCGGATTCTTGATTCCGACTGCCTATCAATCCTGCTGATCCCCTCATGACGCCAAACTGCGCTTTAAGTGGCGTGATTTACTAACACCCAAATTCATGTCAAATTTCTCTATAAAATATGCCCATTGCATTTACATAATATATTGATCGTGGAAAGAAACAAGGCGTCTAAAAATCATTTGTGTGTACCAGTGTCCACGTTATGCTCCTGGATATCCCAGTAAAAAAATGCAGGATAAGGTATGTGCGCCAAAGGGGGAAGAAAAAGAAGGCAAACTATAAATAAGCGCACAAGAAGATATCGGAGTTCTACTGTATGTACTACTGTACACTTGAGATTATAGATAAAAGCTGATAATAAGTCTATCGACACAGGAAGTCCAAGTAATAAAAGCTGCAGGATGTCGCGCTCCTACCCGACCATTTGGGAGTAGTAGTTCAGTATGAGAAAATCATAAGCCATGGGTTGAGAACGACCTGAGGGAGGAGGTCTAGATCAGTACGGGTGCGGCGACGTTCGGGCTCAACGGAAGTTACTCACAGGGAACAGCAGATGCAAAGAAATTACAATGCTAAAAAGGATATTATTAGCAACGGAACTTGACAATGAATGTCAGAGAGGACCGGAACTCACGCAAGAGGAAGGATGACAGCCCAAGAAGTTCCCGGAATACGCCATCCTGCTGGGATAAACGACAGAGATAGCACGATCATCGCACCAACGCCAATGAGCGCCAGAATGATAACGGGCCAATAGCGCTTCCAGATCTTGGGGACTTCAAGGAAGAAATTGGATCTTTCGACTTCCTGTTGAACCCCGTCCCCGTCAATCACGATTCGGTCCGTACGAAGAAAAGCGAAGATGGCTAACCTTAGCAGTGGCACCCCACGTAATATTATAGGAGAACATATGAGCGAGTAGGGCGACACTGAGATGCACGCTGAGGCCGCCGAAGAAGAAAAAGCTACATGACACAAAATCTCAGCTAGGAACGAAGAAGTTGGAAGGGGGAGGGGCGCGCGCTTACAAGAACGGGATCCAGGTGATATTTTCGAGGAAGGAGGACATGATGCTCCTCTTCCCGAGGCGGTATTCCAGCAACGTATACCCAAGATTTCCAGCGCCCGGGAAAACAACGGTACAAGCCAACCAAATTTCGAAACTGTGCATGTAGTATCCGTCGACGTCGAGAGCCCAGCCAAGAAGGAGGTAGTTGAGCACCGATAACATGGCCGACGCCGCAATTCCGTAGTAGGAAAACATATACGCCATCATACTGATCTTGTAATGAACCGGCGCGGCCGACCAGATGAAAGTGCGCAACTGCTTCGTGATAGGACCAAGTCGCCACCAAGTAATCAGCGGGTTGAACAACAGTTCGTTGCAGCCTGCCAGGGAAAAAAAGAAGAAAAAAGTGTGAATGAATGAAACGAATCCGGACATCGGGAAAATCTGAATCAAGGCACGCACCATAAGAATACTTCTGCCAGCGGTTGAGCTCATCATCGACAGTAAGCGATACACCCTCCTTGAAACCACTCTCCGAATATGTTGCCCATCGAATGATGTATCCTTTCAGCTGCATGATCTCAGTTCGCGAACCCAACAACAATAGAAAAAAAAAAAAACCAGACAACGGGTCCGGGCGTACCTGGAGTCGAAGCGCCATGTCAAAGTCTTCGGAGACGTTGCTTTCCGACCAAATCTTCTTGACGCCATCATCTGGGTCGACGAAAGCCGCATCTTGGATCGCAGACCACCTCAAGAAGGCGTTATGTCCCACAAATGGGGCTACTTCGCCGTTCGCACAGGCCATGGAAATACATTTGTTCACCCGGCGCGTGAAGTGCGTGATGCCGTTCTCGAAGTAATGGTGTGCGACTTGCATAACATCTACGGGGAACCCCCTCGTCAGAGATCCGGGCCCGGATTCGGAGATGCATGCCGCTCGTTTGCTCACCTGACTCGTGTTGGATGATGGCGACCTCTGGACACTCAACCAACTCTCGTGCGGCATCTCTGAAGCAGTCCTGGAGAGAGAGCAAGAATAAACATCGTCAGCGCCGCAAACACGCGCCGCAAGAGAAGTCACGCGACAGTACCTCGGGAACAATAGTATCGGAGTCTACAATCAAAATGACATCGCCCATCCGGAGCGATTTGCCATTAGATGCCCAAGGCTTCCACTTCCTACCGTTCGCTTCGTAGATATCCTCGATCGCAAGCTTGAGTGCCTTGTCCTCTAAACATTCTTCATCATCCGAGCCGGTCCCCGCTGCCTTTTCCGAGGCCTCGAGCTCAGCAAGTTTCTCCTCTAGCTTGAGGGACAGAGCCAATCCGTAGTTCATGTTCGAGGCCTTCTTGAACCGCCCTGCACGCTTGAAGCCATCCGGTTCGCTCGAGTGGCCCGGACGACCCACCCAGCCAATGTTGTGGTTGGCATAGAACGCAATTCGCTTCTGCCTCTCGGCTTCGTTGATCAGCTGAATGCCATCATCGTGAATAAAGATGGAGGAGGTCCCTCCCTGTCGGGCATACGTCTGCATGGCTTTCTTGAGGGACATTACCGAGGGCGCACTAGCATAGACAGGCCTGGATCAGAAGACCAAAATCAGAGATGCGAGGGGCTACTACTGGCTCACATGGTCTCCTCCAAACTTTCCTTGTAGACAGGCATCTCGACTGTTACGTGGGGGAGCTTCGCGTCTAGTTCCGGATTAGGCTCGGGTGGCACTGCAGAGTAATAGCGAGAGTTTTCATGGTATTGTGCCACGGGACCAAGACTAAGGGAAGGGGGGTCACTTGAGAATTGATTAATAATAGAATCAAAAAAATTTACTTACACGAAAGAAAGGTTCGTGATGATTTGAAGGGCGAAGAACTGGACGAAAGCAAATAAATAGGTGTTGAATTGGAGGGAAGGAAAACTTACGAGCGACACACAAAGGAGAAACGGAGTAGTGGCGACCAACGCAAATCTTGTGTAGTTAGAGTCGAGCCGGACCTCGGAAATCAACGTCGAAATACCGCTTCCAATAAAGTCTAATCCCCAATTATGTCAGGAACGACCAGAAATTAAATTAAAAAAAGGCACAAATAACTCACATATGGACAATGCTGCACCGAGACCTCCATATACGGGGGCAAAAAGTCGGATGGGCCGTGCAGACTTGCGCGAAGCTTTCTCCGGATCCGAAAGCTTCCCCGCCTTGGACTTGCCGGACAACTTCCAGCTCCAGAGACCAATCGTCGTTTTCTGCCCCGGTTGCTTTTCCCGTTCTTCAAGAACAGCGACCGCAACAGCCTCCGAGGCCACGGCAGCGGCTTCAGCTGCCTTCGTATCGGCATTGAGATTATCGTCGGAGGCAGTAGTAGATGGTGCGGCAGATGTTCCTGTAATGGACGAGGCAATGGTGCCTCGGGACCGCCAGACAAGCTTCATCAATTTCTCTTCGAAATCCGAACACAGGGGGATGATATTATCGAGGTCGTCGGACCACACGACCAGGACACGTTCATCACGCTGGAATAGAAATCGTAAGACAGTCGACTGATTCGAAGGTTGAAAATACAACACACCAGAAAGGCACCGCACTGTTCCTTGTCCGCGCGGACTAGATGGCTCATTGTATCGAGTACTTGGATTCGCGTGTCGGAATCGAGGTACATGCACACAGCATCTTCGGCCCTAATACGAACGGACGACATGTGAGCCAAGAGAACAGATATATATCATTCCACAAGAACGTACACGGTAGCCAGGGCGGCGTTTATGGCGGCGCTTCTAACTTTGACAGCGACGAGGGGGTTCAAGACACGGATGGCTGCCTCGAATGGTGCAAGGTAGCGGTTTTCGTACGGAAACACGCGGAATTGGCCTTGCGCGATTCGGAGACAAACACCGGCTGCTACGTTTTCTTCTGAGGGCTTGAACCAGGCGTCTCCTTGTGTCTAGAGAAAAACAAAAGTTAAAGTTGGGATATGTAATAACGGGGACGAGCTAGAAGGACATACACGGCCCCAAACATAATGAAGGACGGCGTCATAGTTATCGTAGTCCATGATAGCCAAGACGTGAGGAGGGGGGGCGCGGGGAGGTAAAAGAAAGTGAGTGAAGCAGCAGGAGCCGGAGGAGCAGCAACTCAAGAAAAACGATATCGCGAAGGAACGAGGACTTTAAAAGCCGATCAGGCCTTGGAGCAGTGCAGGGATTAGTCCACCGACCGTGATTACGGCTGAGAAGACGGAAGAGCCCATCGCAGTGACAGCAGGCGAAGCAGTGACAGGCCGATCCACAAGCATCATTCGGCCCAAAAAAAGCCAGGTACAGTTCGACCGCATGCACGCCTGTACCTCGCCATCCTGATCGAATCCACCCGGCCCACCCAACCATGGGAAAAAAAGTGGCAAGAGAGCGGTCGCAACATTTCCGCGAACATCCAGTCAAAAAGAAGTCTGTCACCGTGTAACCTTTCATGGCTTCAACACCTGCAAGCACTGATTTGGATCTTCAAGTCCAAAACAATTAGCGTTCATTATCCTTTGAGCGCTCCAGATTGTCGAAAAAATGGCGAACGGTGGCTACAAAGAGGCCTTTCAGATTCATAAATCCTCGCTCCGTGTATTGAGCCGAACATCTGCTAAGGGCTCTGGGCGCTCCGCACACCCCTTGAAGTCTGGAGAAAGGATCTGGAAGAAATGACAAGAAAAAAAGTAGAGAATGGAGAAAAAACAAATTTTCTTTGCTATTTGCGATTGCTTGTTGTTTCCAAAACGGGTCGATCAATCGATCGCGTGATCGCCACCCGACGCAGTCAACCGTTAACTGAACCGACACACACACACAGAGAGAGTGCAGTCAAATGCAAAGTTCCCAATCATCATCCAGACCCAACCGAAGGTAGTAGTAACCGACCGTCGGTGGAAACTGGCTGTGTACGGCAACATATTACATTGTATCCATATCTTCTTGATAGATATGCGTATCGTCCTCATACTTTCGTAAGAGCCCCCTCTTCACCTTGGCTAGCCATATTTGAGGGAACATTTCACGTTTATTCAGTTTAGCGCCGCTCTGATCATGATCGATGGATATCGCTGTACCGGATGCCGTACTCGTCGAGCTGATTGTGAGTTGTCGCAGGTATTGCGGACACGTAGGTCTTTCGATTCCCCCGCCGATGCTCAGTACTGAATACTGATAACGCAGAAGCGCCTCTGTTTGGTCCACAAAACTTGAACACAAGTTGTGCCACTGATATCGAATACTTCGCGAGTCCGACCCACGTCATTGCATCCGTATAGAGCGCATATGATGATATACATCCGCGCTCCCGGAACGTGTTGAAGTGAACCTTGTCTACGATACCTCAGATCATTAAGACCTTATCGTTGCAGAACGTTTTGTTCTTTGAATGCTGCTTCGTGGGCCGAACCTTCTCGTTCGTTCTGTCAATCATTATCAGGCAACAGGCCCGGTACCTACATAGCGGAGCGCGCGCGGGCTTCCCGGCACCCCTGTCTCTTTGTGCACGAGTGTCAGTTGCAACGTTCGTTCCTTTCAAAATTAGATTTTTGCATCTATATTGGTGTTCCTCTCTTGAAATTAGGATCTGCGTGACATTTCCCAATCTTCTCGGTCTTCTCTTTGATTGACTCCAGGTTAAGACTTATCTTCACAAGCGTCATCGGTCTGACGAAGATATGATTTGTCTGCATCCAACTAACTCCCTAGTATTACTACCTGACGGGAATCTCTATGGAAACTTGAGGGTGCGAATGAATTGAGTGTTGAACTGAACTGTGTTGGTTGATTCTGCTCATTCGTGTTGTAACCAACATATTTGACACGAGGCTTGCTATCGCGTTATCTGTCCTGGACACTGTCAGCAATTCCCACAAGGATGCCGCGGCCACAACTCCCTATCTCTGCAATTCACTCAGACTGAGCTTGGTCCTCATTTTGCCATTCTAGTAACCCCTATACGCGGTTGGACAAATGGGGTAGGGTGTCAGCACCACGTATGCCCTTTTCCGGAGCGAATTTATCTTAATTTTTGCAAGGACGTTGCCTTTTTTTGACCTTGGTCGATGGGACCGCGCTTGAGAATTATGAGGCCTCGGAGGTCAGCATGTAATTTTCCCCTCCGATGCTGCTCCCATGTGTTGCACATGGATCCGATCCATTGTTCACTTCATTAAAGATTGATGCCTGGATTCTGACCTCTGTCAGGGCATTTCGCAGATACCGACAATTTCGATGATAGGGCCATAGCACGTCAAGGGGGGGGGACTTGGAAACAAAGAGTGCGGATGTACTTGGTCGGTGCTTTTTCACTGTAGATAGCTTGTTTTTTGTTTCTGGCGACTTAACTGCTATCAACTGCTTGACGGTGACATACCGTGCCGCCGCGCTCCATTAATGCCATGCCCGATTGGCTCCGACATGAGCGGCTCTGGACGAAGGATGTGCACTTTGAACGACCGTGAATCTTTGTGTTTCGGATTGGCAGTAGAGCGACTTCTTTCATACCTCGAAACGAGACACTCAAGAATTCGGCTCGACGAAATAGTATTTGGCTTACCGCGACGAGCGGGCCTTATCTCCTTGAATCACAAATTGACCATCAAGGTGACTGTTGACTGACTTGATCTACATGTCCGTGTTGGGGCAACAATATCACCGAACCCTTGTGTCGGGTACGAATGGCCGGATTTACATCACGGTGACCTTGGGGCTCAATTCTCCGGGAACTGCCCTTTACTGGTCGTGCCTTGGAAACTCACTCTGTGGGAGCAGCAGCAGCCCTGCAGCCTTTAGAGCCATCGCTATCTGATTCAAGAAGGGTGTCGGCGTTAAATTGATATGTATATACCGACGTCTTCGAATGTGCTGACAGGGCGTGTGTATACGTACACAGGCGAGATCGGTTCCTTCGAGGAACGAGATCATCATCATGCTCATCGGAGTTGATGATAACACGACTGGGATGGAAATGTTCGATTCGAAGTCATCATCCGGACCTAGGCGTCCGGTATCCCGTGGTTTTTATAACGAATCCCAAATCTAAGTTAATGCTGCCTTGGAAGCTTCGGTCCCCAGCCAAGCACGACACCGACGACGAATAAACGATGCGTCCTTCAGCTCCATCCTCATCGTCTTCACCCGTCGTTGGTCCCAACACCGAAGCGTCTGCGCCTCGTGCCCATGCGCATTTCATCGTCGAGTCTGATGGCGAGGAAAACGACACGTTCCCCGAGGCGCCGACCCCTTACCGCTCGACCGCCACCAACGGTCCTGGAGCCATGGACTCGCCACCCCAGACGCCTCGCACCACCAGCTTCAACCAGTCGATGGCGAGGAACGGGAACCCCTTCTCCCCGCCAGCCAGCGTGCTCACCTTCAGCACCCCCACCGAGTCGCCCATGCAGACACCGGCATTTCTCCCTGCTCAGTATCCGTTCCCAGAAACTGCGCCGAGGAGCGGCATTACGTCGCTAGCCACAAGCGTCGCTGATTTGCACCGTACCTCCTCGTCCTTGGGCAGTCGGCCGCAGACAGCCGAATCTCCCAGGGTCAGCTATGTCCCCCCCTCGTATGCACGCTCCCGGGAAGCTTTCACCTCCCCCCCTTCCCGCCCTCTCACTTTGTACAACACTCCTCCCGTCACCAAGGTGATCAGGGAACGACCCAAGTCGACCAGGCTCACCAACGACAACCTCCCCGAGAAGCCATGGGTCGAGAAGAGGGACAGGCGTGCCACCGTCGCGTACATCACGACCTACAGCGTGGCCTTACTCGGAATCGTCGCCAGCTTCCTCAAGATCTACTTTGATTGGAAATCTCTTCCTGTCTTGACCGGCAACTTGTGCTCGGTCCTTGATGAGGATTTCTCCAGCGGAAATGACGTCTTTGGCGACAATGGCGTCTTCTTCCGAGAGGTCGACATGAGTGGCTTTGGGTAAGCATGGCTTCTATATAGAATCGTTCGCGGCAGGCAGCACTTCTAATCGCACGACCCTCGCATCTTTTTAGAAATGGCCAGTTCGAGATGACGACTTCTTCCCTCAACAATTCTTTCGTTTCCAACAACCGTTTGTACATCCTTCCCACTCTCACCGAGGACAGCATCGGCAGCGATGCAGTCCTCAACGGTCACGTGTACAATATTACCGATTGCACGTACAACATCACTCTCGGACAGTCGTACACCGATTCCTCGTCGACCAGCACAGGCACCACCGCTATCGGCAGCGACGCAGATTTTGATGCCGCCGCTTACTACGCTGCCTGTTCGGCCGTGAGCAACTCTACGACAGGAACGATCATCAATCCTGTTCAGAGCGCAAGGATAAGTACGAGGAGCAGCGCTAACATCCGCTACGGCAAGGTCGAGGTTGTGGCCAAAATTCCAACTGGGTATGTTTTCATTTTCCTTGTGCATCGAAAAAAAAAAAAAAAACTCATTGGTTTCCTAGGGACTGGGTTCGTGCTTATGCTTCCCTGCTCTTCTCCGTTCTTACTTATGACCGCTCGTGCAGATGTGGCCTGCCATTTGGATGCTTCCCGTTGATAACACGTACGGAAGCTGGCCTCTAAGTGGTCAGTGACCCGCTTCGTTTCGCTTTTACTTTACGTCTCACGATCCTTACAGGTGAAATCGACATTATGGAATCTCGAGGAAACGGGATTTCATATCCTGAACAGTATGAGCTTTTTTTCCCTCCGCTTGTTCTCCTTGCCACATCCATTTAACGTTGCACACCACCAGGGGATCCAACTATGTTCGCGGCTCGCTCAACTGGGGTCCGGTCTCTTGGTACAATGCTGTCGCCAAGACGTACGGATGGTGGACCCTCCGACGGGGTACCTACGCGTCCGACTTCCACACCTACTCGATCGAGTGGACCGACAAGTTCATGTGCGTTTCCGAGTTTTCTTTCACTCTACAGGCGGTGCTGATTGCCTCCTCCAGTCGGATTTACGTCGACACCCGCTTGCATCACATGTTCCAGATGACCATCAAGGAATCCTTCTGGGACCTCGGAGATTTTCCGTCCACTACCACGAATGGATCTGAGACCATCGCGCTGGACAACCCGTGGGTCAACGGGTCCACGTCCGCACCGTTCGATCAGAGTAAGTATAAAGTTTTGGTCCCACTCCCCGTGGGTGGCCACGAGCGAGCTGCTGCTGATCCCCGTCATGTTTGATAGGGTTCTATCTCATATTGGACATTGCTATTGGAGGAACAAACGGATGGTTCCCAGATGGGTATGGCAGCAAGCCGTGGCTAGATGGGTCTTCGAGTGAGTGATGCCACCGGGCCTTCTTGTTGGATAAAATGATTTACATGGACTGATACTGATTGATGCATCGATCAGCTGCGATGAGGGACTTTTACAACAAGAAGGACACTTGGTATGCGACCTGGCCGGAGAGCGTCGACGACCGTGCTTTGGTGATGTACGTGCCTTTTTTTTTTCTTTTTTTCCCTCTTTACTGTTCCTTGTCCGGCCCTGCTTAACGGAATGTTATTTTTTTTTTCCATTCAGTGACTCGGTGAAAATGTGGGAACGGTGTTAATTGGGCCCCCTAGTCTAATTTATCTGCACGTGTAATTGGGGGTCCATCCATGACAATGGACGGTTGTTGGCAGTTTTATTTAGAGTAATTGTTTGATCATATAAATTAAATCATCACGATGCTGCATAGACCTTCATTGTCACGTTTTGAACTATTCGGCATGTATCCAGTCTGCAATCGTTATACGTTCGATGACAGATACTCCTTTGGCATTGGAGGGATCCATTTGCTTACTCCACTGAGAGGATGTCTCTCCCGTCGACCCTGTTCAATTACTATGAGTGCCACCCAATCGCAGACGGTCCTCACCGACTTTTCAATCCCCATGATAGGCGACAGCCACGAAATGCATGGAAAGAGGCCTCTCAAGCTGAGCTTGCACCGCCGGCCCGTGTGGCGTGGCGCAGGGACCGAAGAACGCAATGCCATTCCGTCGCCTATTCTCCCACGACGCGACATGTATACTACTCCCACCCACGCGTTGGGCTAGCTGGTTTAGCCTCCGCACGCTTCGCGAATATCGAATACCCAACCGCTTCGAACGATAGACGCGTGCGCTACTTTCGTAAGATAGCCGGCGACCCTGAACGCTGCGGGTAATAAGATCGTCGGGGAGGGGGGATCCGATCTACATTTCATCCCGATCCCGTAAGGGGCCTCGAGCGCCCGGCGTTCAGGGATCTCGACGGGGTCGAGGCAGGCAGACGGCGCTGTTCGGGTCCTGGGAGTTATTTGATGGTGGGAACGCGTTTCGCGGCGGAAGGGTAACCAGACTGCTATGCGGTTGGATTGGACCCGTAAGGCGGGCGGTCTTTCCGAATCGACGGCAGCGCCAGGAGACGACGGAGAGCCCAATAACGCCAAGGAGTATCGCGCTACGAGGGGTTTGCATGGCGGTTCATCGTCAGGGTAGATAGATGCCTGGTTTTTTTTTTCCAATTTCTTGGTACCAAGGACAATGACCACTACTAAAAGCCGTCCATTGCGTGCAAACCTCCGATGCGGAAAACAGCGCCACGAGCCTTGAAGACGCGTGGTATCATTCTGAAACTTGTTAATTATCATAAAGTAATCGGGTGTGTTGCGTAGCGGTGCGGGCAGCAACAGCGGGAACTCCACCAGCGCGCCCCCCCCCCCTCCCTCCCCCCGGAGGAGGAGTAATGCTCACATAAAAAAATTTGTTTTGTAGTGGGTCGTGGGTCAAGCGACTACGGCTAGCCAGTGAGAACCACATGGTCCTCCACGGTCCGAGTAGCCGGGCTGTCAAATTTTCGCTCCGTGCCTTGTGGGTGGGGGGTGGAAATTTTCCTCCGAGTCGACCATCCCTACCTTGTGGACCTCGAAATTCCCCGTCTCTTACATGAAAAAATGAAGTGAGCAAGGCATACTAATTCCCAGCGTTGACATCGTTTAATAATAGATTCCAGAACACCAAACCGGGGGTAACTAAGACTAAGTACATAGCCCCTCTGATCAAGATTTACATTTACATGGCCACACCCCGACAGGGACGTGAAAGCCAAAAACAATGCCGCCGGGATCAGTGGAAAGAGCGAATCAACCATACTTGGGCAAAAAGATCGTAATAAGAGAAAATTCGAGCAGATTTGTACGTACAATGCACCAGTTCGTTCCGGGGGGGGGGGAAAGCCGTGACATCGTGAGGGAGGATGGATGCTGCGGAACCGCGCCTATACTATCCCACGTGGAACGGCCCGTTTTCCTCATATGAAGTCCTCATAAGTTAGAATGATACAATGACTCATACTTTTCTGTCAATCCGAAACACAATAAACAGTCATTATTGTCGTTTCCTTCGTCTGGAGCCGTTGATCCCGGAGGGAGCCAAACGTTATTAGAGCACGGCATAGAATGTCGCCGTCGAGCATTTGATGGCGGACAAGAACAAGAACAAGTTATCTACAATCTTACAATGAAAAGGACCAATAAGGGATGACTGGCTGCGCTCTTGGACCTGTCCCTGTTCATCTAAATTGTCGATCTGGGGGCTTTGGGTCGGAATCCAGGTGCACCGAGACATCAATCAATCGTTAATGAAGTGAACGACGGACCCACATGGGACGGAAAGAAAATTACACGTTACACGTTGTCCCTCCGAGGCCTGATAATTCCCATGCGCGCGCGCCGGCGCCGAACCTGTCTTGTTCCCAACTCGATCGCGTTACAGCAAAGAGTACTCGGACTTCATCCCTTGGCCGTCCATCAAGATGTCCTCAGTTCGACGTTCGAGCTCTCAAAGCCTGGTCGTTAACACATTCCTCCCCCACCCCCCAGTCACAAGCTCCTTTTTATGACTGTGCTGATCCTTTATTATCAGCACCAAGTCGATACACTGCTGGAATGGAAACAGACATTCTAAAAATGTCGTGACTTTCAATTACCTTCATGTGCTGCAAAAATGGGTCCTGGATAGGGAAAACACGATGAAAAACTTGCTATTTTTGGGACCTTTTTATATATGCCAAAAACAAACTCTTTTCTGTAAATGAAAAGGAAGTGGTTTCCTTTGTTCTGGCAGTTGGGGATGTGTTTTCCTTTACAGAAAAGATTTATATGGAAATGATCTTGTTTATCAACTCACTTTACTGAACTCATTTTTTGCTATTGCGAAAGTGAATGGAATGTCGCAACATTTTCTGGTTCCTATTTTTCTGCGAAGAAAATGTATCGGTCCCGGCAGTGATAGCTGTCAGAGGTTTCTCGATCCCATGATGGTTTCGAAGTATATGTTCTTCATTGATTCGTTACCTGATTCTCTTCCTCCTGTGGCAGCTCTTCAAGGGGTTAAGATATATTTTTCATTGGACCAATCGTTCACCCCTAAACAATTTCCATTGTTCGACATCCCATTCTGGATGATATGGAGTTTGAACTTGACTTTTCCGAGTTGTTTTCCCTATTCCTCCCAGCTTGACACTGTCACCATAATTAGAATAACTGTCGAAGATATCAGGTCTCCAATCAGTCTAGCTCCGCCTCCCTTCCACCCTGGATTTGCAAGTGGACGGTCCAGTCATTGATGGTGTATTTTAAACTGTCTACGCATTCTCAACATCGTGGCAGACGACGGGGAGATCTTCGCTGTAACATTCCTTCTTTCTTTTGTCCGTTCTTCATTGGACAGTTTGACTCTAAGCCTAGCATCCTTTGTATCTCGGATTTTTTTCTGCGTTTTCTGATACCGTCTTATAGCCGCTGGGAATTCCATCGACTCGTAGCATCTCAACCAACCTTCGCATCATGTCTGATTGAGATTATACAACGGTGGCCTTCTCCGCGGGGGGCACCGGTTGTTCGAGATGCTTCCATCCGTCGGACTACTCGTCGATTTTTCAGACTTGGAGTATGAAGAATCTTTCGATGGTCAGTGGTCAGCTTATATAGGCGCTGTGGAGAGCTATTTCTCCCAATTTTTGTATGCCCGAAATGAACAAACTGGGGTGCGTGGCCTGTACTGGGATTGCGAGGCGTGCGTTTCCAGTCTTAACGCTTTAAATTTGTTCTGTGGTTGATACATTAAGCATTATTAGGCAGGATGGTCTTTTTTCTCCTTATGTTTATTGGTGAAGACGTGTTTATGATCACTTACTATTGGCGCTACGGATCTGGATGCTGGTGTGCTTTTCTCTAATAAAAGTTTTGCTTTCCGGTCAAGGTGTTTCCAGGATTTCATGTTCTTTAAGTCAAACGGCATACTGTATTGATCACTCGCGGAGAAAACAATATCTGAAAAGTTCTGATAATACATGAATTGTAGAATTGCCCAATGCCTGTATCTTTCGTTTTCTTGTGGGTTTACTGTCCGGTCCGGAGTCCCCGACTTTTCTGTGACGCTGTGACGACCGCGATGTCACGACCCATGACGGCAACGCGCTCGTCCTCTCACTAGTACCGTGGCACATTCCGTTACGAATACCAGCACCGAATCGATGAGCCTGTGTGCAGGGCTTCACTCTGCAAAGTTACAGTGACATCTACCATGAGCGACCTAGCACCCGAAGTACGACGCTCAGCGGCTTTCAACAAGTACATCTTGTACGAGAACAGACTGCGATTCTTTGTTATTGCGTCCAATACCGCTGACTCGAGGCATCGAATCATCAAGATTGACCGCACAAGTCAAGAGGAACTCGTCGTGGTCGAGGATGAGGCAGAGTACAGTGGGAAGCAGATGAGCGCCATGCTCAAGATGCTCGACGACGGAAACAAGAGCTCTGGAGGGCTTGGGAGGGCAAAGGTGTTCTTTGGGATCGCAGGTGAGCAAGTCTGTTCTATGCAGGGACTGTGACTGCAATGACGCCTAGGATTCGTCCGTTTCACTGCGGGGTGGTACATGGTCATCATCACGAAGCGTTCTGTGGTCGCCCTACTCGGCGGCCATTATCTTTATCACTGTGAAAGCACTGAGATGATTCCGGTCACTTTCAACCAAAAGATCGAGAAGGCAGCGGGGGAGCAGCGACTCATTAATATCTTTAAGCAAGTCGATATGTCAAAGAACTTTTACTTCAGGTACGCTTTTTGTCGTTCCTATGCTGCACGGACATTGACTCTTTCCAGTTACACTTATGACCTGACATCGTCCTTGCAACACAATCTCACGGGCTCCAGTCGTTCTGTGCGCGGGAAATGGGCCTTCAACGACAGATACGCGTGGAACTTCAACATGATTACTGCTCCTTTCGAGCACTCAGGTGGCCTGGCGAGTCCACGTTGGCTTCTTCCTCTGCTTCATGGACATGTAGATCAAGCTAGTACGTGATGTATCCTCTGTCTGCACGTAAACATTTTGAGCTGTAGTAGAACTCACTGTTCTGGGCCGCGTCGTTTTCATTACGTTGATCGCGAGGCGTTCACGCCACTTCGCAGGGGCGCGATATCTCAAACGCGGGGTCAACGATGAGGTTGGACAGCTCTCTGTCAAACTACTCATTTCTTACTCTCTCCCAGGGCAACGTCGCAAATGAGGTCGAAACGGAACAGATAGTGTCGGAAGCTATCACAACGCCTTTCTATTACCCCGCCCCAAGAAGCTCGTTAGGAGACAAATGTAGTCGTCGTCCTAGTCCTAACTATACCAGTTATTTACAGGTACTGCCTTTCCCATCTATTTCTGCGCTTTTGCTCATGAGAGGCAGTACCGTGGGAGTATTCCTATCTACTGGACACAAGAAACAAACAGCATGACTCCGAGGCCGCCCATTGAGAGTAAGCGGTTCTATTCTCCCTGTCACGATTGTGCCTCAGTTAATTATGCTGCGTCCCTAGTCAATGTTGTAGACCCTTTTTACACCGCAGCATCTCGCCATTTTGATGACCTTTTTAAAAGATATGGCGCGCCCATAACGATTCTCAATCTGATCAAAAAAAGGGAACCCGTACCTCGAGAGTCCAAGTTGCTGGAAGAATATACTCTTTGCGTCAGATACCTTAACCAGTTCCTTCCGAAGGATAAACAAATGATTTACCAGGCCTGGGATATGTCTAGAGCATACAAAGAGTCGGTATTCTAGCCATGTCCTTGACGTTTCTGACCTGGGCAGTCACAGAAAGAAACAGGATGTTATAAGCTACTTGGAGGATATAGCGGAAGAATCCATCCAAGTCACAGGTTTATTCCATTCAGGACCAGAGCCGTATTCACATTATCTGCAGAGTGACTCAGCGTAAGTAATACGGCCGTACCTGGGAACTGTTAATTGATTCTGCTTTTCAAGAACCTGGCGAAACACTATCTCCTTACAGAATGGGATCTGCCGGACAAATTGTGTCGATTGTCTAGATCGCACTAACGCTGCACAGTTTGTTTTTGGGAAACGTGCTCTCGGGCACCAGCTGTACGCGCTCGGCGTCGTCGAGAATCCGAATCTGGCATTCGACTCTGATGCAGTCAATATGCTGACGGAAATGTACCACGATCACGGCGACAGTTCGTCCTTTTTTTAAGTTATTTGTTATCATATTGCAGCCGTATTAATTTCCTGGATAGCTATTGCGCTCCAGTATACTGGAAGCGCCCTTGTGAATCGCGTGGAAACATACCGACGTATGCCTCACTGGAACAGTCACTCCCGGGATATCATTGAGAATATCCGCCGATTCTACACCAATTCCCTGTTAGGTGCAGCTTCTTTGTTTCATGTATTCCGGCATCTGATGTGGCAGCAGATGCTGACAAGCAAACTGCTATCAGCCTCTTCCTGGGCGTCCAGAGCGAGCGTGCCATCACTCATCGTCCTGTGCGGAGCGGTTACAGACAATGGTTCAACCCAGAACACCTCAAACCAGCGTATGTAATTGCTGACTGTGACAAGAAGCTACGAGAATTTGTGAAAACGAAGGGTGACTTTTGGATCGAGTACTACCGGCCTTTGCTGTTCACATCTCTCGGAAAGCACTTTGCGTATTCGATGAACAGCACATTGAAATTGCCAGGGTGCGCTTGACGCCTGACTATGTGATCCGATCTGTCTGAACCGGCATGCCAGGAAAACTGCGAAAGACATGAATCACAGTCCGTTCGAAACGAGTTCACGTCATAGGCCATCTAGGTGAGGCTTCTTGTCTTTTTCACACCCTTATCGTTGATCGTGCGTCCAGTGTCGTGCAAGGCGTCAGGAAATGGATAGGATCACAGAATGTCGCAGCGCCGAAGAAACCGAGTGGGAAGCCGACTGCAAGGACCGAAACTCGGAAAGCTTCTTTCGAGCCCGAATTTGATCGCCATTCGTTGTCAACAGAGGCTATTGCGAAGCAGATGCTGGAGCCTTTCGTATCAGAAACAGAAGTGGCGGAATATCAAGGGTCAGTTCTATCTGTCGCGGCCCTGAATGACCTCTTGTTGATGGAATCGTAGATATATTGATCAATATGAGGAACTTCTTGATGCTCCCAGCACGAGGAGCGAGAAAAAGGATCTGGAGGTGTACACGGCAGCTGTACGTATGTCCGCGGGTGATATTACGGAGGCGCAGGATATAGATGACGAGGCCAGTGATTATTTTAGGTATGTTGAATATGGTTCGGTACAGTATCACGAGGGACAGGGAAGGAAAGAACCGCTCCCTATCACCTTCAATTACGAGCGATGGCTGAACAGTCACACCATCGTGTAACAGAATATAGACCACACTAAGTTATATGTACATGCATAAGTCTAATACAATAATCATACACAACACGGCGATTTCATGCCATGAACGTAAACTGGAGATCCTCACCGTCTATCTCCATGCCCCCTCCTCGTGCAGCAGCGACAGCCCTGTCCTTTAATCGTTGTAGCTTGCGCTCCCTCTTCTTTTCCTGCTTGAGAACCCTCCTGTTCATGGGATTGCTCTTTCCCATCCTCTGCAACACGTGGTCATCCGGGGGCTCGTCATACGACGGAACCAACTTGGATTTGCGCTGCCGTTTCGGCTGGCGCACGTTCTTTTCGCGCTCCGAGTCCGTGATCTGCATGGCATTGGGCGTTGGCGGCTGAGGAGACGGAGAGCGCGGCCGCTTGAGCGACTGTCTTCTGCTTCCGGGCGTCTCGTCTGTCTGCATATCGAACGACTCGTTGGCGTCCCAGAACATCTCATCCGCATCGTCCTCTCGTTCCATGTTCACATCATCTCCAAAAGCCCCCGCATCGGCCGCGCCGAACAGACCTTCGAGTTCGAAGGGTTTAGAGAAAGTGTTGACAATTTGGGCTTGACCGACATTTTCGGCGCCTGGTGCGATAGTTGTCGCATTAACTAGGTGGGTATGAGTACTAACAATAGGCCACAAGATGAGAACGAACTTACTTGTGGAGGGTATTAAAGAGGGGTGGATGGTGGGAGGAACGCTCAAGTACGGGATCTTCTGATGGTTCCAGTCGGTTAAAACTTGACGAGCTGCGGAGAGAAGATCTGGTGTGCCGCCCTGGGAGACAGGTTCATAACAAAGATAGGCGATAGCCCGAAGCAGACACGAACCTTGAATAGTCTTCCGCTCTTGAGCGCTAGCATGGTCAGGAACTCTAGAGTCTCAGAGAAGTCCGGTAGATCGTATATCCTCTGTATACTTTCTCTCGCAGTTCGTGAAAGAATCTCTTCCACTGCAATTACACGGTCAGTGGCGTTCGATAAGGGTTATCGATGTGGGGAACATACCAACAGCGATAGGATCATCGACGTCCTCCACTTTGACCACGTTCCGTAGCAGCACGCTTCCTTTCTTCTGCCCCTTGTCTACCAAGTCGTCCTCATCGAATACAACTCCGGGAGAATCAACAATGCGCATGCCACGCTCTAGCTGCACCGACTGTAGTTCCTTCGTGTGACCCGGTTGAGCGGCCACGGCGCATGCCTACGGATACATTCGGCGAAAGGAGGAAAGAGGACATGAAGTATGTTACCTTGCTTCGTTTTAAGCTGTTGATTAGACTGCTCTTCCCAACATTAGGGTAGCCCACAACACCGATAGTAACGCTACTCGCTTTGGGCTTGTAGGCCTTCAGGAGTCTTATTAATGCAGGTGCGGTTCCAGAAGAGATATTCGTCCGTTGGTGCTGAGCCGAGCTGGGAGACAGAAAAGGGAGCGTGGGCGTAGAATGGCGTAGATGCTTGAGCCAAAGCTGGGCATTGTCTTTTGGAATGAGATCTGTTACGAATATCCAGTTAAGAAATCCGGAAAAGCGATTTGAATACGGGGCACGTACCCACTTTGTTGAGAACAAAGACCAGCTTCTTGCCCTCGCTCTCGCGCCTCCGTACCTCTTCCTCTACCAATCGGCTCCGGCATCCCTCTGGGTCGCGCGCATCCAACACGAGGATGATAATATCGCTCTCATCGATGACTTTGTGCAACGTGCGCACGTAATGCTTGCGCATCTGTTCCTTGGTCTTGCTACCGCTTGTGGATGACGACGGATCTTGAGCGACATCTGCAATTTCACAAGCAAGGCGCGCTAGTGATGATAGTGTCGGTTCCGAGGCCATTATCAAGTCATCGTCTGGTCGTTGCGGCGGTGGCTTTGGCTTGAAAGATAATCCTCAGTACTGGCTTCTGCAAAAAAAAAAAATTCTGACGACCATACACCGTTGAGACGCTGCTTGGCTGCATTTTTGGCTTTGAGGTCAGGTAGACGGGGAACTCCCGGGTCTTTCCTCAGTTCTGAGGTATGTTAGCGGACGTCGAGCTCTTGGTAATTTGCTACTCACTCGATTTCAACGGGACAACCGGTCTCTTGGATCCTATACAATGTACATCGCAACAGTGATATTTAGAAATAGATACAACGTACTGGTTCGCCCCATGGCATTGGTCATGATACAGAATGAAGGCGAAAGGAAAAAAATGATGTCACACGTGTGTGATCTTGACCACTGACGATTAAGTACACAGTACTGATCGTACTGATCTTCAATCTTCAATCTAAATCTTTTAATGGGCTCAGCGGCTTAGAAATACTATCATAGTAATAGGACATATTTTTGCGTCGTCGATGATATCGCCTGTAGTACTTACAGTCCTACTAATCATATAGTACTCATTGTTGACTAACCTCCAGTCTTTACATGTATCCTTTTTATTCACGAGGTTGAAAGGGAAAATTGATGGTATGTAAACCTAGCTCATGGCTTTGCTTCATCTACGTTAAAATTTGGCTGTCATTCGTGCACGACGGAGTCAGATATTGGTTGACCTGTAGGAGGCATTGAGAAAGACAAAAAACTGTATGAGAGATTAAGAAACTGAATCTCTCGTGCTTGCGATTCTTACCATACTGGCTGGTGAAGGCAGACGGCGAATACGTAGTATTGCTATCGTGATCCGGCGACGAATCCTTCTCAGATGGTTACATGGAAAGAAGTACGTTCACTTAAAGTCTTGACGGCTAGAGACATTCTGTAGCAAATTTCTCACATACTACTAATGTTCTTGGAACCGAAGTGCCGTCGGGTCGAGTGAGATCATGTGTTGTCTTCGTGGAAGAAGCAGATGTCGATTATTTACTTGTTTACAAAAGTACGCAGGATGCAGGGCAAACTGAGATTGAAACGTCTCACCAGTCGACCACCGCGATCTCGCGAAATCAAGGACATCAACTTACTTCCAGTCTGTTTCGACCACATGGATGTGTTCGAGATGGGTTGCAACACCCAGCAAGACGCTCATTTCACCTTTTGCGATCATAGATTCCAGTTAGATATGTTGAGCATCTGCAAGCGGGTCACTGTGACCGAGGAGCTCATTGATTTGTGCAGATCAGTTTGGCTGGTGAAGCTCTGGGACCAATTCGGGTCTTGTCGATTCGTGACATACTCAGGTTGGATTGCCACGCGTATACATTGTGTTAACATTGAATCGAAGAGAAGTATTATAGCAAGTACTGGGAGCAAAAAGAGTTCGAAGCTTCTAAGAAAGCCGTCGTGGTGGTGGTAACTTAAAGGCAATAGCAAGTATGCAAACACCACTGAAAAATCTCGTTGAATCAAGGTGTCTCATGTACAACCATATCTACGTCCTAACGATTCCTTCTGTTAATGTAACCAGTCCGCTGTTATCAGGGCACCTTTGCAACCACGCTGGAAAGAACACTAATCACCGGTGATTAAATAATTTGCTACAAATTTTGATTTAGTAGACGATACCCCAGTAATCTTCTTCATCAGAGTCACTAGGAAGGTGATCAACAAAAGATACAGCCACAGAAGTCACGTTTACCTGTCTCAGAAACCTTTGGTCAAATACAGAGCCCCCTTCTGGACAAGGCGAGGCATAGACCCTCTGATGATATTCTCCGTCACGTCCAATGCGTTTGATATTTCTCCAAGACGGTAATCTTTGCTGCCCATTAAACGAATAGTTAATCTCCGGAGTGGATAACTGTCATCCCCCAAAACTGAATCCAGATTTGCCCATGCCTCTTTACCCGCGGAGGAACGAAAGTGGGTACTATGGGCATCGAGGTAAAGTCGGATCGTTAGAGACTCCAGACGGGTCGGGACGTTAGGCGATGGTCTGAGCGCGTTCGTCCACCAGCCTAGGATAGGAAGCGGACTGACTCTCAATATATCAGGGAAATCTCCTAGGTCCAAAGATAGGGCACGTAGGTGAGATAGGGGAAGATCAAAGGGGGAAGGGGTGTGTCTATCGATGTATGTTAGTATGAACGGGGCTGAAACGCGGATTAGCGTGTCGTTATCACGGTTGAGGTCTATGATTGTTTTCAGAAGCGAAAGGTTCTCTAGGCTGAAATGGTCGTAAGGGTCGCCATCGTATTGCATGCGTATGGTGAGATGCTCAAGCCTGTCGATACGCACGGGTGGAGTAGGGTAGGTAAGAATCGTGTCCAGTATCCGTCGGGAACCAGGCGTACATGTAATAACTAGATGTCGGAGAGAGGATACGGGGGAAGGGTCATTGTGTTCACACATGGAGACGTCAGCCTGGCCATCTGTAACGATGAGATTGCCAGATATCGACATCGTGTGGAGTTGATGACAGTGGCGAAGAAACGAACATAATGCCTGAGTGTCATCCACCGTTAGGTCCCAAAGAGCCAGGACCTTCAGTGGGCATGAGGAAAGCATCGTGGTGAGTTCCTTTGAAAGATCGCGGAACGAGACGTCGTGCAACGAGAGAGATTCAAGGTTAACTAGGGATTTCACGATGGGCGTTAAATGCTCATCTGCCGTGACACTCCAGTGTGAAAAATTCTGTAGGAACAGATGATTTACGCAAGAGGATATTTCTGGGGATTCTGTGCATATAACGTAAAATCGTCGGATGTGATCTGCGTTGTCGAAGCCCACGGCAGAGAATATTTGTCTACGCGAAGGTGAAAGGAAGGAGCGGCAGGTAAGAGAACAAGCGAATAGAGAGGAGGGGTTTCCTTTGAGTTCGCCGATGATCATGTCGGTCAGCTCCTGGGGTAGAGGGAAGCCTGTCGATGTAGATACAGCCATTGAAATTTTGACTAAACCTAAGTTTTGACTTAAGTCTGAAGTGAAACTGAAAAGCTGGAATGGCTTACCGACGGTGAAGCACCTAGGCGAGAGGAAATTTGAATGATTCTAAAAGAGTCGCGACGGGTCTTGGATGCCTTTTCGGTGTTCGTCAAAGCTGCGGTGACAGAATTTGTTTTCCCAACTGTGACATGTGTCACGTGAGGTTACCATTAAATTGCCCTTGTTTTCTCATTTCTTTCGTTTTCCTTTCGTTTCCATGCTCTTTAGCACGTTTCGCGACGACAGCGCAGATCGAACATTGCCTGAAAATGGAAATTCGCGCCCAGATATTCTTGTCTTCCTTCGACCACGATGAACAACGACCGCGAGCGCGTCATTTTGCATGAGTGGCCTCGCGATCCTGATGGACCAACTGTTCGAGAACCACCACCTCAAGGTGTTCGTACACCAAACAATATGCCTTGGGGACATACACTGGATGATTTCTACTGGTTCGTAACCTGATTTTATCCCACGATTCGCATTCCAGCGTATCTTAGGATTCGTCCTTTCCCTGGCGTGAAGTCAAAGGTAATTTGGACGCGAAGCATGCTGGATGAATTCGGCGAGAACTTTGGTGAACAGCCTGGAGTTCCACAAGTTGAACCGCGTCGCTTGAGACCGTGGCCACTGCTCAAGGTGCCGAATGACGACGCGCTTTTCGGGTTAGTGGACGAGACGTGCAATAGGGATCATTCGCTCAAGCCCCGACGTTTCCATGGTACGTTAATGTGACCATTTTTCAAATCGCCTTTGGTGACGGGTCTTTTAGCTGTCAAGAGTACTGGTTTGTTGTGTAAACGGTTGTTTTCTATGGACACTCATCCATTGGCAGTATTTGAATCCACGGAGGAAAAAATAGAATGGTCCGCGGAGCCGGCACTGATGAACGATGATGCACCCCCCGGAACCGAAGAATCCATCCTCGAAGGGGCTGTGAAGTCGCAGGACAGGCTGGTGGGTAAAAGAACTGTTTTCACATTGACATAAATCTGACGGCGAAAGCAGAAGATGATGGCAAGGACGATGAATCGGCCATGGCCGAAGGTGAATAGAGCTTGTTCCTGTGATTTTCCACGTCTAATTTTGGTGATAGTCTTCGTTCAGGCTGATGATAATATAACGGGTGGCTTTGTCTTAGAATCCAGCATAGAAGGAGAGACAGGAGACAGACAAAATTGTACAGGTCTGGTTCACAGTTTTCTGATCTGACCGAGATCTGACAATGAAAGCAGAGATCGACGTCCCCGAAAGTAAATAGATTTCTTTCGTCTTTCTCGTGTCTAACTTTGGTGATAGTTATCGTAGAAGAGAGATGTGAAGACAGACATGATGTGGTGACAGGTAGTAAAGAAGTTCTCTACAACTATTGCTTCGGACCTCAATCTGATGATAAAAGCAGAAGACGACACCAAGAAGGATGAATCAGAAGGTTCGAAAGGTGACCAAAGTTTTTCCGACTTTGCTTGTGTCTAACTTAGATGATAGTTATTGTCGAAACTCATGACGACCTTACACCCGCGGAACGACAGGCAATGGAGGTCAGTGCATGATAATCTTTCCCCTTGGAGTCTAAGGATGAAAAATATAGTCCTTTATGACTACGGATTATGAGACGGTTCAAAAACTTGAGGAACGCATCCCCGAAGAATACTTTCCTGACATACTCCTCGTCAACGACCCTTCCGGCTTCACGATGAGTGACGTTCCATTTCTTAGCCGTCCGTCGCGTATGCTGCCTGTACGTTATAAACGTGTTTGGCCGAAGCTGAAGCGCGATGGCGAGCCGGCCACGCTCTTTAACAATGACCTCCATTGCTCTTCGGCGTTCCACTGGACACTGACACAGGCGGAGAGGTACGCTGCTAGTGAGTGTCGAAGAATCGCTACGCTCGACCTTTCGGGTGCACCACTTCTCGGCAAGGGCGGCCATTCTGCCGTCCGGAAGGCCGGAATACGACTTCCAGTACCTCTCACGACGCAGACTGGTGACCCACACGTTTCCGTAGCTGCAAAACTAGCGTTTTCTCTTAGTGAAGATCGGGAGTTGCTTGAAAATGAGGGACGAATCTACGACGCGTTCCCCGATCATCTGCAGGAGAGCTACTGCGGCTATAACTTGGTAGCTTCGATGGACCACCCTGTCCCCGTGGGTGCGTGTGTGCCCAAGTTCTTTGGGTATTATGTACCTGTTCAGGAGGAGGAAGAAGCTAGTCGGAGGCAAGAAGCGCTGAACAGAATCAAGAAAGAGGTGGAACGAAGACGGGAACGAGAGGCGAAGAGAGAAGCTAAGAAGATAGGCGTGGACGAGGCGGTGGAATCTACCGATGCGTACGTGAAATCGGCGGAAGAAGAGGACGACTATAGTGGCGAGGATGATGACGATAGCTTCTCCGACCATTCACCTCTCCGAGTCGAAGAAATTCGTTCCCCCATTCTCTTGCTCGAAGAGTGTGGGACGCCTATCGAACCGGAAGAGTTTTCAGAAGATGAGAGGTATTCTAGCTTCATTTCTGTTGTTACTTCTACTCCATTGCTGATGGTGCATCTCCAGATCTGAATGCTTCTCACTAGTGCTTCGCCTTCACCATGCAGGCTTTGTGCAGAACTCGCTGTATCCTCGCAACATTTTGCGACAGCCAGGTCCTCTTAGCGTGCGACCGTCAGAGCGATCGTTGAAGACACCGAGTTTCAGGATTATTGATTTTGGGAGAGGAGAGTTTGTGCCGTTGTTTGTGGAGAAGTTCCTTGAGACCGTGTGGAGTAGACTGGGACCACCGATGGTCTTGACAAGAGAAGAAATAGAAAGGGTCAAAGAAATGTCGGAGATTGGGAAAGAGGAGGCGGTTCGTTGGTATATCAACGGTACCGGATCCGAATTGCGGAAAGCCGCGAAAATCCTATATATCAAGGATTATTAGTTATAGCTTGTAAAGTGTTCTGGTGTCGTAGAATCGCTAAATTGAAATCATGGCTTTATGATGTACATTTGACCATTACGTAGTACGGTAAAAAGATGGATGCATGATGCACCTTTCGAAACCGAAGGGACAATGAAGGAAGTGCAAGTGAAACTGTGAAGGATCTTAACTCTACGTTTCCAAGTGTCGTCGCAGGGTGCACATTCTTGGTTCGGACACTGGAAAAGTAAGATTCGCATATGCTGTAAGGACTCCCAGGGGAATGGGATCGCTGTAAATTGACCACGAGAGCAGAAAAAAAAGTGGGGGGAGAGAAAGAAAGAAATAAAATCAGTGAAATCCAGTCAAAGCACATGTCCAAGCAGCGCCACAAGACGACGGCGAAAGTCCTAAGAAAACCAGTCCCAAAAAAACCGTCATCAAAAGAAAAATAGTCCACAAACCAAAGAAAAGAAACAGGAAAATGAAAATCCCAAGAAGTCCAATGAAGAGGAGAGTAAGAGATGATGATGATGAAAGCAAGAAAGAGACGAGTTCATACAAGGTCCAAAACCGGTACAAGATAGAGCAGAGAAACAAAAAGAAAAGTCCAAATGCAAAAGTGGACGAAATGCGAGGAGAAAGAAATCAAAAGTCTCTGTCCGAAAGCCAGTCAACCAAGTCCAAGAGAGATGAAACAAAGCACAGAAAGCTAAAGAATGAAATAGAATATAACGCCAAAGTACCACGTGCAAAGCACACCCTCAGGAGGAGACATACCAGACGAAGCACACCAACAGTCACACGAGCCCGAGTCATCATAAGCGGCTGCAGCTGCACAGTGAATTGCTGACACGGGACGGAAGATGAGCTTTGAAGAATTTCAGAAACGGCTGCACAAGCAAGCTGAGGTCGATACCCAAACCTAGACCAATGGGCGGGGCGCCGGGATGAGACGTCGTTGAGACACCGAAAGATTGATCGACTTCCTTGACTCTTGGAGGACCATTGACAAGTGTTCCGCATCAGTGAGAAAGAACCTATCGATTTTGCTGATCTCGTCACGGAGTTCAGGAAGAGTGATGCGTTTCGAAGATCGTAGTTCGAAGATGTGCAGCAGAACTTGGTTGACGGAGGGCGTGATGCGAAATATTTTGAGGAAATAATCGGAATTGCAGAGGAAGCGATTGAAGCATGGATCTGAAATCTTTTCGGCGAGCCAAGGATTTCTCCTGACCATCATATTGAAGAGGAGAACACCTAGAGCCCAGACGTCGCTGGCCCTCGTCGAGTAGGTGGGCGATCTAAAATCCTCGCCCAGGCATTCTAATGAACAGATGAGATTACGCTGGAAGAAAAAGTCATCAGGAAGGAAGGTTACCAGGACTCTTGTACGGCAGGGTGCCCGCCTTGCGGAACTTGTGGTCATCTTCGCACGTCGCTAGACCAAAGTCAGCAAGGAATACCTGCGTCCCGTCTTTAGAACAGAGAATATTCTCAGGCTTGATGTCCCGATGGAATACTTGATTTGCGTGGCAATGCTGCACGGCATCGATGACCTGAAGGAAGACCTGCTTCACCAGTGAGTCGTTGTGATAAAATACCTTCTTTTCACAGATCGCCTTGTACAGGTCGCCACCGGGGCAGTAGTCCATGATCATGAAGACATAGTCCTCCTCGACCCACGTAGCATGTACGTGACGACGTTGGGATGTCTAGGGACAGAACCATGCAAGGCGATTTCCTTGCTGACCGCTGTAGCCCTTTTCGAACCGTCAATCCCGATACATTTAACCGCGAAATAAAGAGAAGGATCATTGGTGGCCGCCATGTTGCGAGCCTTGTATACCTGCCCGAAGTTGCCAGCCCCGAGGACAGCGACGAGGATGAGCCTGCCGTTGGCGATGGACCGGCCGACGAGATGAGGAACGGTGTTGAAAGGCATAGTATGTGCAGTGAAGAAATAAATGTGCAAGAAGAAGGGATGCGACTTTCAAAGTCGAGCAGGTGGTGGTAGGAAGGAAAGAGTATCCTGGGGGAGCTCCTATTCACGGGAACGTGATATCCGCCGTGCTCCAAGACCCCCAAAAGTGGCCGGTAATATCGGCCCGGGTCAGACATGCCAAGATTTTTCCGGGTACGCATTTGTGAATCCAATCTTATCGTCTGTAGATCCTCGTCGCAAACTTCGAGGCTCGAGCTATGGTGCTACTTTGGAGGAGAGGGCCATTGGTATTTCTTGGGGGGGGCAAATCAGATGGGATTTTCAAACAGTAAAGATATATATGATAGCATAGGCTATGCAACATGCATAGAAATTCAATTGGATTCCTGGCACCTCCGACGGATAATATGGATCGGGCTTTATTTTAAGCCTTTGCCAAGTCGTATATTGGCCAACTATGTGGACCTCATCCTCACATCACCTTCAGCTCATCACAGCTCATAAGTAGCTTGTCCCAGTGCATGCAGATGCAATGCTCATTTCACTGGATAAACTGCTTGAAAAGTTGGAATTATCATAAACTCACTTTGTAATTATCGAGAGGCTTCATTCTCTCGTCGATGATGGTGGTATCAGCAGGGTAAGTACTAGTGACGATAGCAATGTCAAGAGTAGGGGTGACCTTTATCCTATAGAAAGTAGGAGTGGTACCGTAGAGCGCGATTGCTGGGAAAGTCACTTCATCAAGCTTTGGAAGATACAGGTCCATCTCAGGAACAATATTGCTACGCTGGAAAGCGGCAACAGCTTCACCACCAGCTGTGATTCAGAATCGTCAGAAGTATCAAAATCCTTGTCTTCCTGCACCAGCAGGTCGATATCGTGACAGAGGAGCTCATTGATTTGTGCAGATCAATTTTGATGGTGAAAGTCGGGGAGGAAGGACGCGATGCTGGGATCAAACCGGGTCTTGTTGGTTCGCGACATAACTCAGGTTGGATTGCCACGGCTATACATTGTGTTAACATTGGATCAAAGAGAAGTATTATAAAAATTACCGGGAGCAGAAAGAGTTCGAAGCTTCCAGAGAGCCGTCGTGGTGATGTTAACTTAAAGGCAATAGCATAGCTCCAGTATGCAAACACCACTGAAACATCTCGTTGAATAACGTTGTCTCATGTACAACCATAACTACGTACTGACGATTCCTTCTGTTAATGTAACTAGTCCGCTGTCATCAGGGCACCTTTGCTACCACGCCGGAAAGAGTACTAATCACCGATTATTAAATAATCATGCAGAGCTCTAAAGGAAAGACAAGTACCTTGGAATGAAATACAACTCTGCACGGACACTCAAATCTTCGTACTTCCCTTCGAGCCGGTACCAGTACCAAGCTCCTTCCACCACTGGGTCTTCTGTGTGCCGCCGCCCCCATCTTTATGTCGAATCACCGTCGACAAACCCGAACTCACGCCCTTCCTCCCACCACCTGGGAACACATCCGCTTCCTTGTCGGTATCCTGCCTCTTCCGTTTCTTGCCCTCATGTTTCTTCTGCACAGTGCCCTTTTCCCACTCTTTACGATGCAGCCGGTAAACCGCCATCGTCGCCCTTGCATCCGTCAACTATACAGACATCAGAACATGCCGGACAAAAGGCAGATACCGTACACTTGAGTGTTCCCCATCTTGAATAGTAATATCCAGCTCCTGCTTCACTAAATTTCGAAGGGCGACAAAGCGGCTTTTCACCACCTTGAACTTTCCAGCATAATACTGTGTATCGCGAACCTGACTTCGCGGGTGGGAGAGAAGGAGGACCTGCGGTGGCTTGTGTAAGGTCAAGCAATTGCTTCGCGACACTGATAACCACACCTTCAAATCGTTATATACCGCGTGTCCCACTAATATCCTATCCTGCAGCAGGTCCGATACCTGCTTCTGCACTTCCTCGAATGGTTTTGCTGGTCATCGTAAGCCAAGGAGACATCGCATACATACACGACAGGCGCACCTCCGAACATATCCGACGGACGTATTCCACTATACCGCGTCCGATAATCCACCACTCTTTCCTTCTGCCTCACAAACTCATCCATCTGCACCGCCCCATAGAAATTGACCACCGTCACCCGCGCCAACGACGACTCGGACCCATCAATACCTATCCCTACCATCTCACAATCTATCGAGAGGTATCTTCCTGGCCTATTTCTCTCAGTATCAATGCAGAGACGACGGTCGTACAGGACTCACATTTTCTGTACATCAGTGTACGAGACTTCACCAGCGACCATACGCCGTAGATCAGAGAGGAATCCCCCGTTCTTTAAATCTGAAGTAGAAGGTAGCGGTGGCTCTGGAACGTCTTCAGGAAGTGCAAGAGAGGCAAATGAATTGACGCTGGGAGACCGCGGATGCTCTGTCTTCCGCCGCTTTCTAGGCTGTTCGTTGGACGTTGAGCGAGGCAATTTCTTCCTGCTTAATGAGCAGACGATACCGTAGAAATGATCCAACAATACCTTCTGAAGCGCAAACCAATTCGACGACGCTGCTGGCCGTTTTTTCTGTTCCCCCGTTTTTGCCTCGCCTCCCATTGTTTTTTCGATGAGTCCTCAGTCGTTTGACGGTGACAGTGGTCAAAGGAACAGAGTTCGTACGCTTCAAGATGGTGCGACAAAATCAAAATGTGCATTTGTGCCAAAGATAAATAAACAATAAAAATAGTCCAAATCCTCTTACTCCCATTTTCCGCGCTAATTTCTTAAATCTACTCTGAGCGCATAATGAATACACTGCTCATAAAGTCGTGATTGTTGCGTGCCTCTAAAAATACTATTGTACTGCTGATGATACTTGTAAATGTATGAACAAAATTGAAAAATAAGTAACAAATGTGCTAGAACGAAAGAAGTCCATTCAGGATGTAATGCAAATGCAATGATGGAAACAAAGATTTGGACGGTGCGTGAGTTGAGCGAAGAGAAAAAAAACAGTAATACACCAGCGACCTGTCCCGCAGGCCCTATATCTTCAGCTCTCGGAACCCTCTTACGTCGACCCGTCCGCTGCCATTACGCCGCCACTCCTCATCTTCCACATCAATATTGGTCACCTGGACAACACTCCTAGGGACATACCGTCCTCCGGGGATGATGATCTTTCCAGCACTTGGGCGGCTCTTGGGTAACCCCAATCGCTTCCGTTGTCGCCGTGTCATTGGTTTCTCCGCACCGATGGGTGCAGGTGAACCTCGTGGTGATGATGACTCCGAGGATGAAGCCGCAGAGGATGCAGGTGATAATGAAGGCGTAGTACGTGGAGGTGACTGCTCATCGTCATCGTCTTCTGATTCGGACGAAGAAAGCTCAGACAACGGCTCGTCGAAATCGTCAATGATCGTCATTTGGATAAAGGAGCTGGTACGTGTTCGTTTGGCTCGCCCTTCGCGCTCATCCTCTTCTTGAGACTTTGCGGTGTCTGTAGTTTCCGATGAGCCAGAAACTGACGTCTCGTCGAATGACCGCTTGGGCGACCGTTGAAGCCGGGCAGGCGGTGGTAATGAATTGAGATTAGGAGGAGCGGGAGTGGGTGAGGTCGATGGTGGAGGTGGTGTATATGTCGAAGCAGGAGAAACCGAACGTGCTGGCGTGACGGGCAGAGGGACTTGACTGGGATCGGCTGGTGAAGGATGAGAGAGGCGCAGTTTAACTTTACCCACGGTCTTCCTCTTCATTGCATTCTTTAATTCCCGCTTCTTTGCATTCTTCGATATCGTTGTAGAGGGAATGATATCGCCGTCTTCATCGGATACCTGTGTTTCTTGAATACATGGCAACCCAACATGGGGACCTCGAAGGTTACGGATAGAAGAGAAATGTTCCCAGTCATGGTAGCTAAGGAATATAAGGCCATTGAAGTGATACGAATGAAGATGACCACTGACGCAACATAAATTGTTGGCCCGCTAGTACTGTCTTCGCCATCCGGGGGGTCACATTCTTCCTCGACACCGTCAGTGCGCCTCCTGTCCCGCCGTATCTTCCTACGGTCGCGATCGTTCAATCCATCAAGGTTCATCACCTGCTCTCCCTCCTCTTGTTTGATGATGGATGCAGGAGCATGCAGCGTTTTGGGGCTTTCGCATTGAATGACATAGACCAGGCCGGGCTGAACGACTTTAATGTTCCGCTTCGTAAGATGCGCAAACGCCGAGAGCTCCATATGGCCGCCATAGGTAGCTGTAAACGTAAATCAAACATAATCCAGGGCAGAAGTAAACAAATCGCATACTTACCATTCTCCCGCATACCCCGCAGATACCCTTCCAAGCCTTCCTTCCCACTCCCGAACTCATCCACGTCTACAAAACCCTCATACCGTTCACGGTGCTGAGCAATCCAGTCACACACATCGCGCCTCACTTGGGCGTGTCGGGCCGGAGAGCCGTAGTATTGATCCGAAAGAGCGCGAAAAAGGCAATTCCCGTCACCAACAGTGGGCGCTGCATAGAGACCCAGTGACCGCAGCTGACTCTGTAATTCGGCAGTGGACGAAGTCGGATCGGTCAAAAGCTGTAAGTTGCCATATAAGGATCCCTTGCCCATCACAGTTAAAGAGCTGGATGAATATACCTTGGCTTTCGACGAGCGAGTCGTTCGAGAGCGTACTGCAAGCCCGATATTAGCTGAAAACAGCCTGTAGGAAGGGAAAACTAACAGTTACTTCGCCTTGCAGAGCCCATGGTTGAGGTGATGGTAGTAATTGTTCAAGAGGGGTTTCTCAAATCGGGGTCTCGCCTGATCAGAAAAGACCCCGGAGACCCCCCGGTGGCAATGTTTGGCTGTGCTTCTGCCGAAAGCCTCTGGCACTTGGCAACATTGTTTGCGCTCCAGCATCGTCCTCCATTAGTCTCCAGCATGCCCAGGGTACATCATTATAGAGTCCCCAGGCTCTAGTGTCCCGCTGCCCCACTGTGGAGCCAGCGAAGCAATGAGCCGTCTGTGACAGATTGATTGATGATGCTGTAAGGACTTCGGACAGCTCATGTGGGCGTTATGTCTCTGCTTTGAACTATCACTCTATCTGAAACTGCGGAAGCAGTTCCCAAGGTGAATTTTTCTGTCCTTATCTCATCGTTGTCGCGGTCATATGCACAAGACGCAAAAATTCAGTGAGACAAATACAACAATAATCTCGCGTATTGTCACGGATCGATGCGGCGGGAGCACGCCATGAACGCGTGTATGCCTATTTTGAGAGGTCTCAAATTTTTATTTGATGATCAGATTCCGATCAATCTCCCCCTTCTTTTCATTCTGACTCATAATAAATAATGTCCAAGCCTCTCAGTGCGTACCACTGTCCTTTCCCATAGAAATACACCATAATGTAGTATCTGCAGTATTCGTCACCGGCAACGCCAACAAACTCAGGGAAGTCAAGGCCATCCTATCATCCGGCCCCGTGCCGGTCGAGATTGACTCCAGAAGTCTAGACAGTGCGTCATACCCTCCGGCTTTCCTCTTCCATAACAATCGGCCCTTCTAGTCGAAGAAATACAAGGGACCACCCAAGAGGTAGCCCGAGCTAAATGCAGCAAAGCCGCAGAACTGGTGAGATTTTCCCCCCAAGTCATAATACATCGTGTGGTGATCATCTACTAAGCTTAACGGACCATGTATAACGGAAGACACTGCCCTCTGCTTTGAGGCCCTTAAAGGCCTCCCAGGTCCGTACATCAAGCACTTCCTCGCAGATATCGGCCACCAAGGCTTGAACAACCTCCTTGTTGGATTCCCTACAAAGGCTGCGTGGGCCTTGTGCACTTTCGCGTATTGCGAAGGTCCAGGTACTCTTGTTTTTTTTTTCTTAATTATGTAATTGTACGCGCTTTACTCATATCTATCCGCAATGGCAGGTAAAGAGGTTCACCTCTTCGAGGGACGAACGGACGGTTCTGTCGTGCCCGCAAGAGGACCTGGAGTATTCGGATGGGACCCCGTATTCCAGCCCGATGGCAGCGATTTAACGTGGGTCGCTCTATGCTTCATTGATTATCCGACTGAATGAAATTTTTGCAGTTACGCTGAAATGTCATCTGATGTAAAGAACAAGATTTCACATCGCTATAGAGCGCTTGAAAAGCTTCGCGTCTATCTTCAAACAATAAATCCTTGAATTCTAGAGCATCATGGAATATACCAAGATTGCGAAATCTGAAAATGATGTCAATTTATATGTCATACAATAGCTAGGTTGTATAGTAGAATGTAGCGAGTCCGTATGCTCAGTATAGGATGCGTAAGAGACTAGTTTGATTTGGTGCCTTTCCTGCCAACAATCGTCATTTACTATTCTCCTCGCAGTAAACAACCCAACTGCCTGCTGCGGCGTGGCGTGCTCCCATCAGCCATCCCGAAGCCTTTCTTGACCAAAGGCCTGTCTCAGCCTCTCCACCGGCACAGCAGCCATGTTGTCGCTCCCATGGCGGAATAACAACCACAACAGTCCACTCTCGCCTAGGGCAACCTGTTCATGCCACCAGTTCATCGGCCTCTCGAGCATAGCCTCACGTTTGACACGAACCATGGCAAAGTCACGTATGGACAGTCCGGAAGGAGAAGCGCTGATCAAGGCTTCGAGGAGCTCAGAATCAGGACGGTGAGACGGGTGGTTGACGTGAACGAGAGAGGCTCGATGAGCAATCTCGGAGTCGCCAAAGTCTGAAAGTCTCGCGAGACTCAACACCCATGTCCATTGCCATGGCCAGCCTGTTAGATGGAACGTACCATATAGAAAGTAGCCAGGGATGGCAAAAGAAGAGCGAGCGGGATGGAAAGGTTGTAGACATGTACGCAGGCTCTAATGAGGTCGAAAAAGGCGAAGCCTTGGCCATCTCTGGAGCTAGAAGTTACAATGGGCTATGGGAGATGTTAAAAATGAAAGAGCTCCTACATGTATCCGTGATTCGCCAAGGTATTCAAGGCTGGGCAAGACGCTCTGCACCGGCGCGAGGGGGGGGCAGTAATGAAAGTATGGCAAAGAAATCTAGATTCTGCAGCAATTCGCGACGAGAGAGACGTATAAATAGAGTCTGCAGACATCGCCAAGAGTTTTATCGGATATTTATGTTGCCTGAGATAGTTGTATGCCTGCCATAGGAAGAGAGCTGACGCCTGCGAGATCAACTCGTAGAGCATCTGAGCAGCAGAAGGGACGACCAGCGAGAGACGAGCCAAGAAGCGAAAACAGAAAGAGCAAGATAGAGTAGAATGAGAACAAGATAAGGGAATAGTATACTCGTGTTCAAGCAGGAAAACGCGTGTTTTTAAGCTCTCCGGTATCCGACGCGATGGTATCATTACGTCATCGATATTTTCTGTTTCCACTTGGTCCCAATTGGTCTTGTTACCGACTCTGTGTGCTTGGAAATGGTTATCTCTGTTTCGTATATTCCTTCCTAGGAACATTGCTTTCACAGTTGCTGAACCTTATTCTGTTCGCTTTTCAATTAAGTATATCCAATATTAATGATGACCATTGAACGTTGATCTGAAATCGTAGTATTATATTACTATGACTCACAATATGTCTATGGACCTAATCTTTCGTGCTGCGCCTAGAACCGATAGGCATTCTGTACTACGTTCAAATTTCTTTCTTCAGGTTGATGCAACCGTTCGAAATCACCGGTGTACCGATCATCATTTTTACTTCTCAACATTCGACACAACGGTCCGGATCGCTACGACCTGTGATGTTCTTACGATATAATTTTAGAAAAGGACCGGTAAAAGAGCGTTCAGATGACCTTCTGGGCCACTCGTCGCGGCGCCCATAATGATAAAAGATATCCCACGGACCGTAGAACAGTGACCCTGGGGGTAGTGGAGATATAAGCTTTGCTTCTCTTTTTCCCCACATTACCCCACTACCCCACCCCTACAACCAACATGTGGATTTTACCATTGCGTGGGAAACACATGGTGTGGGCCATAACGGGTACGCTGGTACAGGTGTCCAATATCATCTTGCTCACCTGGTACTCTAGCTTGCTGCTGTCAAGGCTTCCTCCTTCTTGGATATGATCAAGGCGTTATGAGCGGAATCGTAAGTAGAGTAACCTTGCAAGCTCTCTAGAGTGACGAGCAGCACCCTTCTTGCAGATCGGTGCGAACAACCAGTTCGGAAAGGATTTCAACCATCCGGGCACAACAGCACAAGGAACTATTGTGAGTCATTGATTCATCACTTCCCCCCGCAATTCTTGGAAACCGCGTGCCTATAGGTGGCAATATATGTGCGTAAATCCCCGTTGCACTAAGCACCTCTCAGCCACTTACCCTGCGTCTTAGGATATTGGCTGCGCCCTCGGGAGCCTTGTGGTCTTTTTCTGGGGCGAATCTGTCGGACGAAAACGAATGATCATGTCAGGTGCTACCATTATGGTTATCGGTACCGTAAGTCGGCCAATCGTTCCTTTCGCATCATCTTCTAAGGTTCCTTTTGTAGGCTATTCTGACGAGTTCGACAACGAGAGCTCAGCTCTATGTTGGACGTATTGTGACCGGCTTTGTACGTATGATGTTCTGTTTAAGATTACGTCGCTGATATCGTGGTACAGGGTAATGGCTTTAATTCTTCTTCAATTCCGGTTTATCAGTCGGAAACTTGTGCTGGACATATTCGAGGAGCTTTGGTCTGCTTAAACTCTACGGTTACGATCATAGGACTGGTCATAGTATGCTTCAGTTCATAGCTGTTCATCAGTTCATCAAACTGACTATCATGTAGGCTTATTGGCTGGACTACGGTATGAGCTTCGTGTTAGGTGAGGTCTGCTCTCATTCACAAGTTCGGCTGCTTTTCCTTACCTACTTCCACCTCAAGGACCAAGCCAATGGCGTCTACCGATTGGTTTCCAAGCCGTCTTCGCGCTATGCCTTCTTCTCCAAAGTGCGGTGCTTCCCGACTCGCCTAGGTGGCTCATTGCCCACGGGCACAAAGAAGAGGCTGCACAAATCATTGCCATGCTCGAAGACCGGGACAGTCCAGACCATCCCGATGTCTTAAGAGCGCAAAGGGAGATCGAGCTGTCTTTAGAGCAGGAGAGTGCTGGAGGTATGTCGATTTTTGAGTCGCCGTGTTTTTTGTTCACTGATACACTGTCCAGGACCGTTCAAATATAGCGAGTTGCTAGAGAATGGTCCCATTGGCAATTTCCGCCGGATATGCCTCTGTATAGGTGTAAATGTCATGCAACAGTTTACAGGGTACGTTCACGAGGTCTATTGATAGTGCAATTCTGACTTCGGGATCCTAGTTCGAATATGATCAAGTTCGTCAAATGTGAATATCAGCTTTGTTCTCTCTCTCTCTAACTATCCAATATTAGCTACCTCGCACCCGTGGTATATGAGAACACGATGGGCCTTTCGCGAAACCTTTCTCTAATATTAGCAGGATGCACTTCGGTTACCTACATGTTCGCTTCATTCATCCCTCTTTGGGTCCGCCATCTCTACTTTCTGCATACTATCTCCCGACTCACTCTCACTGAACAGACGGTCGATCGCTATGGCCGCAGGCCTTTGCTGATGATATCCGCTACCGGTCTCTCAGCATGTTTCATCATAGCCTCTGCCCTTTTGTCGACTGGAAATAAATCTGCGGCCTATGGTGCTACGGCTATGGTGTTCATCTTCCAAATATTCCTCGGAATCGGGTACCTGCCTATCGTAAGCCTATATTCAACCACCAGTTTCTGATCTCACATGCATATTTCACAGCCATGGCTCTATCCAGCGGAGATCAGCACCACTCGTATACGCGCTCGGGGATCTGCAATATCAAGTTTCTTCAATTGGATGTAAGTCTCGTTTCAAGTATTTCTTGAATCTCTCATCGTCATCATTCAGGTGTGTCTTTGCGGTCGTCGAAATGACACCACCTGCCATTCAGAACATCAATTGGCGTGTCTTTATCATCTTCGCGATATTTAACGCTTGCTGGGTCCCCATCGTCTATTTCGTGAGTAAACTCTCCTCGTTGTGGTGGACGAGATTTTTTTATCATCGTGGTACCTAGTTCTTCCCCGAAACGCGTGGCCTGGAGTTGGAAGCTATAGATCACATCTTCGAGAAGGGTGGTATCACCGGAGGAGTTTGGAGTAGTCGTGGGCGCACTGTTGTGGGCAACCCGGTGGCCGAAGCCGTGAAAGCCGAAACCGAAATGGACGTTAAAGAGGATACGGGAAAGGAAGACGTGTAGGAGCTCTGGTGGTTCTAGAATCTTTCTACGGTGTTCATGAGCTCTGCTAGATGATTTCTTTTTTCTCTGTTACGACAACTGTCAACGTCTGCTCTCCACAATTTTTTTTCGTATAATTCTGGCCGCCCCGAACACCTAGGACGAGGAAAAGAACGACGGACGGGTGCTTCGCTGCCTGTAAGCTCGAAAGAAAGTGTCGATTTATGGGGAGATCCGCGGAACGTTCCGAACAATCTTCCACATCATCAGAAAATCCGTTCTGATGATATGTTGTCGAGGACCGCCGGTATTGGGCACTCGCTAATCAAGCCTGCAAAGAAAGATTCCGCCTTGCCCACCGAAAGCGTTTCATCCTAGTATTGTTGTCCCCGAGTCTTTCTGGGTACTGATACGTACGTGTTCCGTACGGTCCCCTTAAATTGGGGGTGAGTACTTTGCCAGCGACCCAAGCTACTTACCCGCTTACATCGATTCTCTAGCTCAGATGGCGGGCGTGATGCCAACATGCCCAATTCCCAGCAATTCCGACATTGCAGGTATCGGCGTTCGTGTTACTACGTACTCCAAGGGTGTCTTCCTTTATTCGTGGCCTTATCAGGCGTCATATACCGCTTTTCGCATTTCTATCTCGCCCTGTGGACTGGAGAAAAGCAGGGTGATTCCGATTCGGTAATTATGGAGAGGATGTTCCAAGTGCATCCTGCGTTCATAGCAGCCGTCAAGTCAGTGGAGACTTCCTTGTTCGTTACCAGCATATCTGTGCTCATTGGTACTAATCATCCCGAAAATTTGGGATAGACGGCGCAACGGGTCATGCAGCAGAATCCTTACGATCCGCAAGTTTTGATGAGAACATTGAGAAGGGCCCAGCGTATAAAGGTCACGTTCAATTTCAAATTTCAATGTATGATCACGTGGTATATGAGTGACTTCAACAAACATCTAGCACGCAGACGGCGATTCTCTTTTGCCATGCCTCAGCAAGATGTATTCACAGCATATTTACGCGTCAAAGACGTGTCGTACTCTCTAGTAGAGGAAATTAAATGTCGAATCTAGATTATTCTGGCCAAATCTGCACCTTTAGTATAGTTATGCATTTCCTATGCTTTTATTTCGTTAACCATCCCCTCAGACTCAACTGTCGACTTATCGAGAATTTCTCCAGCTCTCGGTGCTGCCACCGTCAAATTGTTAGTCGGTCGTGTTCTGATATAAATCAATGAGATTGCGATGCTATTTTGGATGACGAAGGACTGATGATACCTACCGAAATCCATCCAGATGCGGTCATCGTAGACGTAAGTCCTAATGGAACAGATATTGTCGACGCCCAGTGGTTTCTTCCGTCAAGTTACATCTTTCATATCCATACAACTACCGAACGGCTCTCGTCCCATCCAGCATACAGAATTCTGGCCTGTGCATCCACAACGTCTAAATCACGTCGTGCAAAGGCCAAGCGCCAGTGTTTGTGGTTCGCTCGTCTCGAAGATGACCTAAAGGATGAGACTAGTAGGCTTGTGAACCCTGTTGATGATCATTCCTGACGTGTTCTATTCAACGATAGAACAGACAGAATGTTATTAAAGTCATGCCCGGCCGACGGTACATTGTCTGCGATCTTTCTGTGCCTGGCTAACCGTGACGAGCAGCGAAGGGCACAATTTGCAGGTATATTAGCATCTCCAAAAACCTTTCCATGGTAGACCACAGGTTAGAAGCTCTTTCCCCGTTTGACTGGCCTGGCACTAACACCGTCATGACAATCTAGCTGTTCACCGAACAGCCACCAGAAATTTTACATATCTTCCTTTTCTATGCAGCTTTGCGCCGCTCGAGGCGTCAAAGAAGGCGAAGAGACTTTCCAATTACACCAGAATTCTGCTGCCAACCGCGGAGCGCGCGGAAACCTCTTGCCCTACGGCATCAAGTGCACCTGCCGCGCCTGCCTCAACCCTACCAAAAGCGATCCTATCCACGCTGCTGTCTTCAACTGTCCTTGTGTGACCGCTCTGATGCAGAACCCCGATAATACGAGAGCCGGGAGCGCGTCCGGACGCCTGAATCCATCCTGTGGTGCAGACTGTTGCGAGGATCCAAGAGGAAGGGTCACAAGGATCGCAAGAGTACTACAAGACGCTTCACCAGTTGTACAACACGCATATGCACCAGAACGATGAGAGGAAGGCACTGATGTATGGGGAGCAGTTGTGGATGGTTAATCTGGCTGCGGGGGAGAAGCGCTACGAAGCATTCAGGAAGGTGGAGCTTATGAAGAAGTCGCCTCAGTGGATGATGGGGAAGATGATGAAAGGAGTGCCGGTGCTGCGGCCATTCATGTGAAGTATGATCCAACATATAGATGCCAATAGTTCTGATTGGAGAAGTGCAGAGATCGCCACCTTTTTCAAGTTGTCCTTTACGCATGTCCTGTACCATCGATTTTTCCGAAAATTTATTAAACAGGCACAAGCAAGACCAGTTTTTGAAGAGATGGCGAGTCCGTCGAGATGTGAGGCGCCCCATAATGTTGAACCTTCATCAGGAAGGGCCTTCATAGCTAATGACTTCGAAGATTCACGTCGTGACAGAGATACCCCCTCGTCATTCAATGCCATGATTTTTGACGCTGTGAAATGAGCCTCTTGCAGCATACTTTGTTTAATATAAGAAGAAAATGTTAGCCAAAATGAAATTGTACTGGCTTCGTCCGTTACAATCGGGCCCTTCCTGGACAGCAAATTTTTCGAACGCCAAAACGGTGGCATATTGGTTCGACAGGGACAGAAGTACAATAAGTTTTCCCAAAAAAAAATAATAACGGCCACGCAGTTGCAAATTATTTGTCAAGGAAGAACAAGGAAATAATTATTGAGAGCCTCGCAGGCTAATTCAGGGGCATTGTTCGTTGATGGCAAGAGAGCCGGTGGTTTTGCTACATAGATGACTCGACGCCGAAGTCATTTCGGAGCCGTTTGCTCTGACTCTATCGGTGTTCAAAATAGCAGTTAATTTGTACATAGTATCAGCGACTTGGCGCGAGATAAGCCGAGTAGTCGGCAATTAAGTTGGTAGCAGATTAATACCATTCTAACAGATTGCCATGATTTATTATATGGAGGAAAAGGGATGGTAATAATGCTTCTGAGACATCATAAAACTATCACTGTACACTTATAGTACTATATAAAGTGAGTTGGTATGGTGTTTAATGTCAGGACCCCCTGTCTGATTTTAGCCGCGCCCCTTGTGACAAATTGAAATACGATTGACGTCACATGACCGCGTGTTTCCGAAAGTTTACCTTGTCACTACCACCATTGTTCTACGCAACCGACCTTAAAATCACACAAAAATGGCTGCCGCTGTATTCTTCCTTAATCCCCTACTCACTTTCTACCCAACTCGGTTTTATCATCGTGGTATTATAGCTTTGGGTCCGAAAAATGATTCGAATTCTTCGCCTCGGAATGATGGCCCTGGTTTCCCCTCCACCCAAGAGAGGAAGACTCCGCCGCCAAAAGAGTCTGTAGCTGAACAGATACGCTCCTCCGTGCAGAGCACTCCGCTCAGCAATCACGCCCCAACTGTGAATCCCACAGCGAATCCGGATCATCTTGTGGCAGATTTCGACCGGTACATCCTAGAAGACCTCAGAATCCGCGTTTTCATATCCGCCGACCATTATTTCTCCAATATTCTACATCTTCCTGACGACTGGCGGATGAATGACGAGATAAAATCCAAAATCGAGGCCGTCAAAAATGACGTCGTATTCGAGAATCATGTAAAAACCTACGTTGCATTATGCAACCAGAGCAGTCCCGGGGAGAAGACCTTCTACCATCCCCACAGCCTGATGTGTAACAGTGCATTCGACGTTCTCGGTGCCACTGAAGACTCTAGACTCGGCATCTATCGACAAGACGCGAAGTCGGTTGACGGCGGTTTAGAAAAGAACATCCCCGATACCTTGGGCGTTCTCCGCGCGATGTTCAACAGTTCCGGAAATGTGGTTGACAACATGGAGGACAAAGGCCCAGAAGACAACTTTTCGTGGGCGCAAACAATGCATTGGCAGGAATTCAAGCCTAATGAATACTACCTCGACGAGGGGACGAAAGCTACCTATAGATTTATAACACCTGGTAAGCACTATTCACTTGCTACTGTGTTCTTCTCACTGATACCTATATTCAGAGGACGAGGATCCTAAGGGAGAGGTGAGAGGCAAAACCACCGTGAGCCGAGACCCTGGCGGCATCCTCCCTCCTGTCAAGTCGCGCACGGGCTCCACCTCGAAGAAGCGTCGTTCGGAAGATGAGACTCCTCATGTCGACTCCAAGTATCGGCGCTCTGGGACGGCGCCAGATGTTTCGCAGGCCAGGAGAGGAACGGACGAGTCGGTGGCACTTAGTTCTGTCAAAGAGGGAATCGCGGCCAAAGATATTGCAGAACGGGAGGAGGAAGAAACCCAGGCCCGCCGAGCCGCTCACCTTCAGTGTGGTCGTTACGCCCTCGAGATGCTGTCTAGCGCCGGTTTTCGGACGCACTGTATTGGCGCTCTCGTTACGGTAGGACGCATACAACCCCTCTACTACGATCACTCGGTTATCATTGTATGCAAACCGATTGACATGTTTAAATCGCGTGGCAAGCGGCCGAAGATTACGGAAGAGGACGTGACGAACGAGTTCGCCGCAATGCTTGTGGGATTGGGTGGACTCACTCTGAAGCAGCGGGGCATCCAAGAGGAATTCTGCGATGACAGGGCGCTCATCGAGAATCACAAGGCGTACATGCGCAGGTGTAGCAACCCCAAGGACAAAAAGAAGTTCGACAAGACGGCGATGTTTGTTGGGGTGAAGCTCAAGCTGAAGTCGGGTGAAGATGAGGAGAACGTTGAAGTCATCCTTGGCCGAATTCTTTCACGCCAGCCTGGGATCGTCGGTCGGAATACTTGCGTTGTCGAGGCGACATCGGAGCACGATGAGTGGAAGGATAAAGAACTGGTTGTCAAGATCAGTTGGCCTGCTACCAGTCGAAAATCGGAGGCAGAGTTTGTCATTAAAGCCAGAGAGAAAGCGCGATCCATGTAGCAAGGGAAAAGGCCAGACTGGGCCTTAGACCATTTGCCCGACATTCTCCTTTCTCAAGACTTTGATCATAGCGCGGATTCTACTCAGGCGAATCTCGTGGCTTTCTTTGCAAAAGCTATGTTCGCAGAGGAGGAAAAATTTGAGTATGAAAAACGCGTCTGTCGAATTACGGTCCAGGAGAGGCTGTATCCTCTGGAAGAACTGCGGACGGTTCAAGAGTATGCTCAGGTCTTTTTTGATATTTTGCAGAGTGTGTACTTTTTTTTTGTGTGTTCCCGGTGTTTCTGATGGTTGGCATAGTTCACAAATGGCTGTATGATCACCCAGGAATCCTCCACCGTGATATCAGTCCCAGGAATATCATGTGGCGCCGCACCGTCGACGGTCATTTACGTGGAGTCCTCAACGACTTTGACTTGTCCGCCTACCGACATGAGACTGGCCCTTCATCGCGTCAGCGCACCGGTACTCTACCCTACATGGCGTTCGAACTCCTCATCAACGACGAAAATGGGCATCCACCGAAGCATCTCTATCGACACGATGTAGAGTCCATCTTCTACGTCATTCTCCTTCTCTGTTGTCGTTATAAGGTCGTGGCTATACAAGACCCTGATGGACGTCCGATCCTGGAACGCACACAAGTCCATTCCCCATTCGACAGCTGGTATAAACTCGGCCGTGATGGTCTGAAGGACACAAAAATTGCTTTCTTCACGGGACATAACTCATTCTCTCCTGTGGTAAGCAGTGGCTTCACGGACTTTCAGCCCTGGATAAATCGCATTCGCCAGCATTTCCTGTTGGGGTTCCATGCTCAGGACCATCATAACCTGTACAAGGACGTTGGAGCCACGGGGTCCTTTGATGACGAAACTCTGCAGGCCTGTGTTTCTTACTCAGCCATCGTCGAGACCTGTAGTTAATTCACTGGTTCGGCTCTCATAGTACATAATGACCAGCTCAAAGAGGGTGCCTAATACTAGATCGTAGTCCTCACACTTTCTTGTAGCCTGTATCTTTTCGTAGTCAAATAAATGTACTCTCTTCCGACTTCGATCACTGGCAAGCTAGCTGAGTTTCATTAGACAATCAGACGGTCTAAAGAAGTGTTCCCTCCATGTACTACTATGAATTATTTTTCTCATAATTGAACTCGATAAACATCCTGAACCAACCAGCGCCTTTCGGGCACGGCACGCTTCTAGAAGCTGTTCAAGCAACGGAATCACCATCGTCCGTTCTAAGTTTTTATCACCCTGTCCTTAACGTGACCGCCCAAAGTTCAAGATATTACCACCATCATTCAAAATACATGCGTGTACGGTAATCTTTGATTTGGACGATATGTAACAGTACCATCAACTGGTCCAGGTGTTTGTGGTTCAATGCCTCAAGATAGCATTCATATCGAAAATGGCGATAATGTCGGCTGAGAAGATCACAAAGGTCGCGACGTTGTGTTGGGATGCCGATCCGAGGACACGGAAGCCGTATATGGAATTGGCATTGGGAAGACAGACCCTGAACAGTCTGACTATTCTTCAGCCGTGTCCTTGAACTCATGTAGCGAAGCCTTCCTCTCTGCCATTTCCTTCTCCCGTTGTTCCTCCGCCTCCCGGCAGGCTTGTTCCACCTGGCGTACGATTTCTTCTTGGGTCCGGAAGTCTTCGTTGGTTACTGCTGGCGGTCCTCTGTGGACCTCACTTGCCTTGTTCCATGACGACCGATCTGTCTGGAGGTGCGATGACGGAAGCGTCTTCACGGTCAACTGGAGGAGTATATCAAGTGGTCCATATCTTTCTGGTGACATGTATCTCCCATCCGGCGATCGTTTACGAACTTCCTGAGATCATGCCTTGTCCCAGCCGGCCAGCTTGTTGACAAAATTGTCATGCTAAACCGGCGTCAGGTTGACGGGAAAATGCTTTGGGAATGACCTGATGATCGAGAGTTACTTCGAGGACTCGGCGATGCCATTGAAGGTGAGTTTGAGGACTTATAGTGAGACCGGAACCGAATTTTCAAACAGAGCACAAATGCATGTATGGGGAAAATGTTTCTGCCCACGGAGATATCAATCCGGGAAGCGTGTTCCTCAGCGAGGGCTCGTCCGCCGATAAGTAGGGTTTTATATTCAATCTTGACCTGCAAACCCCCGTTCCGGTATGACAAACTTCGACCGTGCACGAATTACACTTATCATAGATTGAAGATCAAGAACTTTCTACCATTTCTTTTGCTTGACAGTCTAAATAAAGGGGAACCTACACTATCCGCTGTCCATCACCATCTGGAATCATTTCTTCTGGTGATTCCCTATGCCCTCTATCGCTACACCCTCCTTCGTCAACCCGACAACACCAGTATCTACAAGGAATACCAATCCTTTTTCCAGTAAGCAGCTTTTACCAGCCTTATGACACATCGATGTTCACTGACAGTAGCCGGTCCCCAACAGCTTTACGAGGCCCTACCTTCTCGCTTGATGGCCTTCGCCAACCTATGCGTTTGTTTGATAGAAGCTCAGGTACGCCGAAAACCATATGTGCCGGAGGCCAAAGAAATTCGTTTGGCATATGGGGCTATCAAGACATATTTCAGGATACTATCGCAGCCTCCGCCGACATTCATTATGTATAGGGCAGTCAAGGGTACTGTATACGGCGTGGATAGCGCTATATTGAGCCTACTGGAGCTTGTCGGATAGGCATCCGGTTGCATCTGTCTGATATTCGATAGGTATGAAAGTTGGCAGTGTACCTGCCTGAATTACTCAAATCATTGGCAAGCATCGTCGTTGTCCAATTACCCTAATCCTTCGCTGTAATCGGCCAGAGGCTCTAGCATGACTGGTTCGACTGGATATTGTCACAACAAACGCACTTACAACGCCTAATTCAGCGCCGTAGCGGATCTAATCGAGCAAGGGCGTTCAACTAACGAGTGAATCTAAACAAAGCTTGAACAAAGCACCTACAAAAATCCAAGTTTTTTCGTATCGGTCTGCTGTCGCCTCGGAATTGTACAAAAAAGGCTTTCTCCCCCCTTCTCTAGACATTTCTCTACACTACCTCCAAACCATTATTCTGGCTGTTAATCCACTGATTCACCGAGGGTCGGTACAAAGATGAATCGGTCCCAGACATGACGTAGTTTTTGTGAGCATCTGATCCCTGGCTGGTGCGTCGACCGAGTTGCATTAATCATCCAGTGCTTATGGAAGGCATTTGTAAGGAGATGCTCTAATGACTTCCCAACCAGGTCTCACCAGTACTACCATGTCACCAATCCCCAATGGCACTCTTCTCTTTAATGAAATTCCCGAAGGTACGGCGTTACGCTCAAAGCTCCTCTGTCGGCTCTGAATATCAGTCTCATCGACCGCGTATTTTAGGTTACCCAGAACCAGGGAAAACAACTGTTTACGACACGACGCAGACAATCGATCTCGGAAATATTCCTTTGAATGGGGGAATTTTGATCAAGACCCTCGTGCTATCGGTCGATCCGTATCTGCGAGGTAAGATGCGTGATCCTGCTATAAAGTCGTATTCCGTAAGTGTTCTCCTGGCGTATAACGAACGGATTCACTAAATCCACACAGGCGCCATTCCTAATAGGCCAGCCGTGAGTACATGCATTCAAGCCTTCTCTGTCTACCTGAAGCTATACATGCAGACTGACAAACCATGGAGTGGGCTTGGTATTGCGCTCTGAGAATCCGGATATCAAAGTTGGAGAACATATTACTGGAGTCATCAGTGAGCTAACTTATGTATTCCATTTTTCGTGTTCCGATCCTGGAGACCAGGTTTCCAGCAATACAGTGTCATCACCGCCTTGAAGCTTTCCACAGTTAGTGTCATAGCCAAGACGGAAGAATCTATCCCATGGTCAGCGTATATCGGAGTGCTTGGCATGCCAGGTGAGAATAGTGTTATGTGTTTCGAACTTCTCGGATGAAAGATCCTGTTCAACTCCAGGTAGGACAGCCTTTTACGCGTGGAGAGAATACTCCAAAGCAAAGAAGGTAAAAATACCAACCCTTCAGTTTCGTGCCTTGGCTAATTTCGAACAATTAGGGCGAAGTCGCATTCGTTAGTGCCGGAGCGGGTACGCTATCATCTTGTTGTTGCTACCCTCATTTTGACGCATTCATGTTGTAGGTGCCGTCGGAAGTATGGTCGTTCAACTCGCAAAGCTCGACGGGCTGAAAGTCATCGCTTCTGCTGGTTCTGACGAAAAAGTCAAATTCATGGAACAACTCGGTGCTGATGTCGCCTTTAACTACAAGAAAGTTGATACTGTGTCTGTCCTGAAAAAGGAGGGCCCAATTGACATGTAAGTTGAACTACGCCTCTTGTACCTATCTTATTGTCTGGCAGATATTGGGACAATGTCGGTGGCGCGACTCTTGATGCTGCGTTTGGCTCCGCTAACGTGCACGCTCGATTCGTGGAATGTGGTATGATAACCACGTACAATTCCAAAGAGGGATATCCGTTCAAGGCTTGTTGATTTCTCCGTTCCCGTCCCTTCCTCTTTGACGATGACTTGTAGAACATATTCGAGATTGTCTCTAAGCGTATCACCATCAACGGTTTCATTGTATGGGACTGGACTGATAAGTGGGAAGACGAGTTCTACCGTGTAGTTCCGAAGAAGATTGCGTCAGGGGAGTTCAAGTATTCCGAAGATATCACCAACGGGCTTGAGCATGCTGGGGAGGCCATCAGACGCATCCAGACAGGACAGAATATCGCTAAAAGTGTCGTGCTGGTTGCTGAAGATAAGCAATAAGTAAACAGACTTACTATTATTAGTATGATTTGCGATGTCAACTACTATACTGTACGTACTTTCGTCTCTCAAAATAAAGGATGTAACGCGTAACGGAGGTTGGAGAGCGTTACTAACCTAATTTCGATGGGCCTGACGGCCGGCACCACATAGTCTCATTCCTTTGTTGGAAATCTGCGAGAGAATTCGAGCATTCCGGCATTCCGGCATGCTGAGTAAGAAATCGATTCAATAGAAATTAATAGAATAAGTGTAGTTTAGTATAAATATATGAAGTCAATGGGCAAACACTTCAGGAGTTTGTAAATTGTAACCCAAAGACTAAAGGTCTACAAGCATTGTACTTTGGATATAGTCCAATCTCAACACTCTTATTCCAGAAACATAATGCATAACAGTGGTACCAACACACAATAGTATGTACAGTATCATCTCTTTCATTGCAATGGATATATGCTCACTATCCTCTTCTCTCAAACTTGACTTCAACAATCAACTATTATGAAGACCATTTGAAGTACCATAAACAAGTGTACAGGGATTCCTTGCACCCAGGCTGGTCATTCATTGTCACACTTGATCCCCAACCACCTGCATCCAGTGATCCTTCTCATCCTCTCCCTGAATTTGCAACTGAAGGTGGCTCCCACAAATTAACCTTATGTAGTCTTGCCATATCAATATAGAAAAGAGTACTCCCAAATCTGGATCACAGATGTTTCATTCAACAAGTTTGAATCTCAATCTCAATGTCTGGGCCAGGTCATTTTAAAGATATTTCAGCCCTCCTTGATGCCTCTTCCTGATATTGATGACAATTATTGATTATTCAAGTATGTCAGACTGAGAGTAATGTCTTTCACTGGGAATAATACATATAGAGACCTCTGGCTATTACAGAGAATGACCATACTATAATATTAACAGAATATATATGGTTGCTTCTTCCTTTTTGTATCTCAGGAAAAAAGCATCTCACTATATCAATGATTTCATTGATGAAGACTTGGTGGATAAGTGGAAATGACAAATTCTACTATTTTGTTCCAAAGAAGTTTTGGCAGTTGTTTGGTCTGGATGTCAATCATTTTCTCTAGATACAGACATCTACATGACTTCATGCTTCCACTTTCTTGAGATGAGAATAGCTGCTTATTCTCACAGTCTACCTCTGGTGATCTCTGGTTTCCTCTGCTGATTTGTCTGGTTCCAGACTCACTGCTTTATCTGCTTAGTGACATGAAGACACTCTGTGTACTAAAGTAACTGTTGATCTGTCCCCTACTGGCTTACAGAGCTATCTCAAATCAGATACTGAAAGTGTTCCAGAATTGATGGTCTGAGACTTGGGCTTGAATTCCACTGGCAAGCCACAAGCTGCCTTTCTCTTGACCCACTGCTTCATATTTAAATCCCCTTCCTGTGCCTCAGCTCTACTTATCTGAAACTGATGACAGTTGTTCTTTATCAATATTATCATCAACACAGTTCATGAGCAGTTTCTTCCAAAGGAGGAATGGCACTCCAATCTTATGGCATGCTCTTTAGTGCACAAACCATGGATTCCTCATATCCAATATCATCTCTTTAGTCAGCTCATCATCAGAGTCTTGCAATCAGCCTTTGTTCACATGTCTTATCTCAGATCTGGCTTCAACTTGTGCTACTGTATGTCTGTGAGGTGTCAATCTTTGAGGGCATAGTGCTCCACCTCACAATGATTCAGCCAAGGAAGAACTGACTGACTTGTATATAAAGTGCTCCCTTCATTTGCCATGTTTCCCATTTGGCCACTAGGCTCATCTTCATATGGTTTGAGGGGAAAAAATGAGACACTGTGCTTGAGTCCTTTGTCAATAGTGAAATCTACCCAAGTGTTAAGCCTAAGTTTCACATGACTATCAACACGTGATAAACAGTTTGGTACCTCGCACTTCAGGTATGTCCAACTGAGTTCACTGAAGTTAATAGTGGAAGTGAATCAAGGCTCAAGTAGTAAGAGCTCGAGAGTAGTTTGGTGAAGATAAACTTTAGTTTGAGACTGGGGTATTACAGCGAGAATTGTGCTACTTAAATACTATTCCGTGGTCTCGCTATAAATAAATGTTCACAAAAGATATTGTCTGTCGTAGAGCTGTTACCCCTGCTGTTGCCAGGCTTTCCACAAAAGCTGTTGTCTTGCTGTTGTGCTGTAGTCGTTGCACTGCCGTCTGAAGATGAAAGGGTATTGTCTCTCCCTTCACAGCACACAGCAGTCGGATAGGAGGGTGACTGACTTGGGTGCTGAGGTAAGCATTCCCATAGTCCTAGGCGCTGGCCTAAGCACCCTGACTAAGCAAGATAGGGGTCATTTCTGAGGAAAAAGAAAAGAAAATAGGAAGAAAATAGAAAAAATCATAACACCAAGACTGAGAAAGATTATGTGGACAGGCTTGAAACATGAGTTTCTTGGATGAGTGAAAGAGCAGATGACTAGAAAACTGAAGCAGATAGAGAGTCTATTGAAATATGCATCCATTATTATATAGTTGAATAATACAACAATATCTATTCCTCTTTATAGTAATTACACTATAGTCCTATGCACCCCAACAAGAGATGTTCAAAGCTATCTGGATCATACAAGTGAGATAGCCATTATACCACAAGTATCTTTTCACATAATATACTACAACTTTTATACAACATTTCAGTGCCAGAAGAAAAAAAAATCCATTGAATATGAACAGATAGAAACTTCAGGAGGCATGACACTTGTGAAGACATTCCACTGTGTAATAGAGAAAATTTACAGGCTGCACAATAATAGAACAGGTATAATACCATCTTATTAATGGGTAACCCAACAGTTGAAATCACCATCCAAAGCACACTTCCACAAACTGGCCAGATTTCCCACTGCAGACCACAATCTCAATCAATGGATTCTTGTCTGTCACTGGCTTCAACTTTTAAGCAGTCTATTTCTTCATCTCATCCATCATATTCTTTCTTATCTGTAGAATCAAGAACCTCTTGAGATTCCTGTAGTTCTCTTGACTCAGAGTTTCAATGATGGACTTCCAATCAAGGTTATCAAAATTGGTGACAAACAATATTCAGGCTGCCAAGAGTATTTTGTTGATGGAGGAAGAAGTGACTGTTTGAAGCATTTCAAGGGTATATTCAGTGCAGGCAGCTACAGTATTAAAGTCATTGTGTATATGAACAAATTAGAATATGATAGATTCAAGGTTTGTGCTGTACTCAAGGTTTGCATTGCAAGAGAGTGAGGCTGCCTCTAGTTGATGGAAAAGATGAATATCAGTGCAATTTAATCAAGATCATTATAATACATACCACTGTGCATTATACTGAGAGGAGTCAAAGAGATACTCAAATGCTTCAACAATGGACCAGCAATTGAAATGATTTGTAGAATGAAACTGTCTTCATAGCCAACAGTAAACAGCAAAGATGGTAAAAAAGCAGAGAGTTCATTGAGATAGAATGGAGTCATTTCTTCTGGAGATGAGCTTTTCTCACACAGGTTATAGTCCAAACATGCAGACTCTAAGAGTTTACATGATGACAGAATGCAGATTACATGGTCCAGAGTAGGGAAAACACATGATTTGAGAGCTAAGTGTGTGATACTGGTGAGACTGGATAGAAAAAGAAGAAAAGCCTCCAAGTTCTCCTCTGAAATGAGAGGGAATGATGCATTGTTTATATTTAGCTTCTTGAGGTTGAGGAATATGGAAGACATGGCTGTTGAAGGAGTCTCAAGGAGAGAAAGATTTGCTAAATTGCAGGCCAAGATGAACATGTTAGAGCCATTGTCATTGTTCAGTTCTTCAAGTTCCTTAAGAATTAAGGTATGGATGAAGTTGAGGAAAGAGCAGTATGAACTAGCAATAAGGTGCCTGAAGGTTGCATGATTAACAAAGGAAACAGTTATGGTTTGGAAAAGATAGTATCAGCTGCATGGCAGCCATGTCCTAGAAACTAAGAAACAAGATAATAAAGCTGACCAGCATTCATCTGTGAGCTCTGCAAGGTCACCAGGGTAAGGAAAATAATAAACATTGTCAATAATCTTCTCTATGATCTCTGCAGGGAAATCACCTTGGGACATGAGTAGTGACATGAAGGATGATGGTGGCTCAAGAAGCTGAGCTAGCATGATCAAACATGTCATGAAGTATTACCTAAGGAAGCCTGCCTTAGGTCATGGCTGTCAGCATATAGACATGGCTTGTAGACTACAAACTTGTCAGTGCTGCATTCCCAGATTTGACTCACAGATGCTTGGCAAATGATATCTCAAAAGTGCATAAACATAGATACTCCTTTCCACTATTTGTTGCCTTTCAGTGTTTATCAGACTTTACCTAATTTCTGGGCAGTCTGTCCACCAGAGTCAAAGACCTGACAATTGAACAGTGTGTGGTCAATCTCTTGTCTGACTCAGATGACAGTGCGATGCACTGGAACTTCGAAGCTTGTGTCAGAGGAGTTTACCAATGATCCTGAGCATGCTGGGGAGGCCATCAGATGTATCCAGACGGAGCAAAACATTGCTAAAAGTGTCATCCTAGTTGCTAAAAAAAATACATGTATAGAGTTACAGGGCCTAATGCCAAGTGTACCTTTCTCTCGATGATGACTCCCTTGTTGATCTTGTTGACGAGTTAATGACGCAGCCCTTTTGCGGGTGCGCGCTGGTATTCTTGGGGACAGGAGGTAAATACATGATGGGGATGTAGTACTGTCGAGGATATCTGTCACGTCGAATTTTGGATACCCTCGAAGAAGGATTTACTCTGGGACTTAAAAATACATGAAAACACTGTGTGAGAGTAGTAAAATCAAAGAACAACTTACTCGAGGCAAAGCATAAGAAAGGATAAACGAGCAATCTCATGAAGAGTAGTCGTATGCTCCCTCCAGCGAGTCTTGGCTCATAGGAGGAAAGACTAGTTCATGTCTACGCTACCATTAGAGTAAAAGAGAACATGCCGGTGAAGGAGCGAGCAGAGAGAAAACGGAGAGGCGCAGAAAAGCGCAAAAGGGTGATCCAAAAGGCACAGCCACCCCGAAAAGTTGAACTTAACCTTAACTCAGAACCGTCACTGAGAGATCCAGTCGCCGCTGGCACGCACTTATCAAAGGTTCATTATGGTGTCCGTGTTGACCTCTGAACACATTTCATCCCTCTCCGGATCCTTCTAGGTGCTCATGCGTAGTCTCAAACTGGTAATACTAAGTACGTTGCCAGTTTCCCAGTTCATTTCCCCACTTACACACATTTCTTAGCTCGGTTGACGGGCACGCTGCCAATATGCCCAATTTCCAGTAATTCCATGGATTGGCATACGTGTTGCTACGTATGTCTCCAGGCGCCGGTTCTTGCCTTATTCGTGGTATTATTGGGCCTCGTCTACTGCTCTGCACACTTCTCTTCTGCCCTGAGAACTGGAGAAAACAAGGGCGATTCCTACCCTTCACGCTTTCTATAGATAATATTCTTACTATCATTCTTATAGAACTACTGTCAGAGTTTCTTTTGGCGATGCATCAGATGCCAATATGGATGAACGTACTCCAACGTTCAACGGGGACACCTTCATTCCGCATGGCTTTGACTGCGACATGTAATGCCATAGCTGATTCCTGGAAATCAGCATTTGCAATGCCACGTCGCAGTAAATAGCCATAGAATTCTCGAGCGAGGACTGGTCCATCTACATCTGCCATTGTCCACAGGGTTGCAATGACACAGCGATAGCCGATAGTCTGGATCACAGCAGCAAGGCTTATCATCTCATCTGGAGCTAGTTCAGATTCGCCCGTGCCACTATGGCAGGCAGCCAGAAACGCCAGCTCCCCGGATGAGGCAGTGGCACCTGCCATAATCTCTTTCACAGACAGACTTCCGCCGTGCAAGGCAAAGTACGACTCTAAAGGTTTTTCTGTGTTCAAAAAGCCGTGGCATGCAAAATGTAACCAGCCTTCAGTTGATGCGCCTGTTGTAAACACGTCGGGTTTAGATTCTTGGCCGTCTAACAGGTTTGCTGCATCAGCAAATATATTTCGAAGTTCCTCAAACTCCAATTTGACCTGCATCACAAAGCATGTCAAAAAAACCCTCTCAGCCGGATAACATGGTTGAACTGATGTTTACCTGGGGCAAGGTATTGGACTGACCGAGGGCAAGTAGCTTCACGCCTTTCACAGGGAGGTCTTTGACATCTTTCGTAGACAGGTCGGGCGCGCGAGCTCTAATCAGAGCGGACAAAGTCGGTGTATAGGAAGAGACGAAGATGTCTATCAAATTTCTCTCTCCTTCGATATACGGCCCTGCGGAATGAATAGGCAATGACAAAAGTGCACCCGTTGGACACCACCATATACGAGACTGTTCCGCGATTCCTGTTGCAAGTAAATGCTCAACGACGGGTTGGCAGACGTCCTCCCACAGGACACGAAGAATCTGGAGTAGCGCGCTGGAGGGTCCATCCTCGTCATCAGTCCACGGTCTGCTCCCCCGCGCGCTCTCTTTCACACCTTCCAGTGTCTCAACGATACTGGAGAGTGTCTGCGGCAGGTCCGGTGAAAGGGGAACTAAGCTAGGTGCACCCTCACTGCACAAGATAATCGCGTCAGAGCGATGACTGTCAATATTAATGAAGACAACAGGTCCGCCACTCGCAGCCGTCTGGAGAGTGCTAAACGGCTTGGTGTGGAGAAAGTCCTGAAATCCGTCAAGCTGTCTGATCTTCTTCAGCATGTCAGCCCATTGTTCCAATTTGAGACGACGATACTCGCGTCTAGTCTCCGCGTCAAGAATATCGTTGCTTGGGGCAATGGAAAGAAGCATCAGCTGTACACAGACTTCCCGGAAAGCATCTATCAATTCCTCAGATATCGCAGGGAGCTCTCCTAAAGGATACGTGGTATCTCGCATCTTGGCCCATATTTGGCCCCGGCCCTGCTCGAGGATCTCGATCGCGGTATCCAGTGCTCCATGCTGTATAGCCCATGATGCTGCACGAGACGGTAGTTGACGGACATCCGGCCGTGAAAGGAAACGATGCTGGGACTCGCTCGTGAAGCGAACATTAAGCGCTCGCTCAACGAGCGTCAGGGCAAGTTTGTATGCCCGTATAACGAGAGATGTGTTATGTATGCGAGCCATATCGGCCAATGCGAGTGCTACCTCAAACCTCTCTTCAGCACTCGCGTTGGGATAGGCAGATAGCTTGTCGGCAATGGGAATGCTTGGGTCAGAAATGACGACACAGTGGTGAAACCAGAGTAAGTAAGGATGATCGATGGCTATCGCGAGCGCTTCAGCCTCCTCCGCAAGACTGACTGCTTCTTCGAGATCCTCTGTCCGGCCATCCTGCTCGAAACGAGTTTTGAGAGCGATAGAGAGGTTGTGAATATGCTTAATGCGGTCAGAATGGTCGCCCGGACAAAGCTTCAGGGTTTCTCGGCCTTGAAAGACTGTATTGGCTGTGGGATTCCTTTGCGACATAACGAGACGTAAGTAGTCGCACTAGAAGGACCGGTTCTTCCCCAGTTCTTTATCGTCATTACATTAACGACATCGATAAGATCATATGACGCTGGTGATGGAATCCTACTCGCAAGCCAAGCCTCTGATCTCCTACAATCATCCTTTGATTCCATAATCTCGAAAATGCTCTTGTGGTGGATCGACGTCGCCGTGAGCACTGCCAAAGAAGTGCTCTGGTATCTTCAAATGTAAGTTGTCTTGCCAATTTCGATGATACCAGCACTGTTTATTTGAGCAATTCTGCACACAGTTGTCCTCCTCCGAAGTTAATTTATAACTAATCGCTCAGTATCTCTCTTTGACCTAAGTTTCAATTTAGGCCTCTGGATCATCCCCAGGTGTAAGCATCAGTCCATCATCGGCATCGTACTTTCATGATCTTTATGTAGCTCTCCGCCATCTGAGGCGCCTCAAGAGAAGTATAACCTTAATTTTCCTGTATCTGTTGAAATCGCGACATTGACACGCTACTTACAGGCCTCCGCCTCCTCCCACAGAGATTGTCATCCCGAGGTTTGTCAATAGCCTCCAAGTATTTGATTATCTCCATTAAGTCGTCATTACATTACATTGTTAACAGCCCAGCACCGTCGTTATTTGCACTCATCATCGGCATTGACGAGTATAAAGACCCAGGGGTCCCTAATTTATCGGGGGCTGTTGCCGACGCGAATCATGTAGAGAAGTTCTTGGTTGACGTTGTCCGCGTCAAGCCTGAAAACATCAAGCACTTGCGCAATGAGGAGGCCACACGACACGTCATTATTGAAGAGATCTTTCGCATGGAAAGTGATGCTCGAATCAAGAAGAATGATCCCATCCTCATCTTCTTCGCTGGCCATGGTGCTTTTGGCAAGGTAGAAAGCTCGAGCGAGAAAATCTCAATGCTCGTCCCTTATGACTTTAAACCCGTTTGCACAAAGGAAGAGGAGGGGCAGGGTGTGTTGGATATCACGTTAGAAAGACTCCTTGCGAACCTGGCAGACATGAAGGGCGACAACATCGTGGGTCTTATTGCTCCTGTTCTGTGATATTTCCCTCTCATCCATTATCTTCTTGCTTAGACCGTGACTTTTGACTGCTGTCATTCTGGTTCGGGTACTCGAACTGACGAATATGATCCTACTTACGCGGTGCGCAGCGTTGACCTTCCTCCAGACTATATGATCCCCGACTACATCCTATCCAATGCGCGCGCCACAAAGGTTCCTGACAAATTCGCCATGGCGGGTCTTGCCTCCCACGTCTTGCTTTCGGCCTGTAAAGAGCAGGAATTTGCGCAAGAGAGAGACGGACGTGGAGTGTTCACGAAGGCGTTGCTCGGCCAACTGGAAAACTTGGGGAGCGTCGACAAAATTACCTACCAGACCCTTATTGCTCGTCTGCCTGATCTCGGAGTCGCGTGGGTGTCCTTAGTTTTAGTCCTGCCATTGACTCACACAATGCCGTAGACAACACCCTCAGTGTGAAGGCATTAACCAGTCACGAATATTGTTCGATGCAAAGGCTCAAAAACCCGAACGCGTGCTGTATTCACTTCGAAAGCTGTCGGGAGACTCGGAAGTGTATGTTCTGGATGCCGGAGAGGCCATTGGAATAAAGGAAGGCTCCCAGTTCACGGTCTTCAAGGACCTGAATGTGGATTCTACACCTGTCGGTGCTCTCGTTGCACACGAGACGTCGCCTTTCACCACTGTCATGCGGCGTACGCCAGATAGTCCTTCGTTTGAGCTTGACAAACAGGGCTTTGCGCTGCAGACCCTGGTGGGGAATGGCGAGGATTTACGTTTATCCATCGAATTGAACTCGAGGCTTCTCGATGTATTCCAGAGTGTCAAGGACGAGATGGGGAGAACAGACGCTGCTAAGAGAGGAATCATTCTCGTCGAGGAAGATGAAAATCCAGATCTGATTGTGGCAGTCGAACACAACGAGGTGGTGTTCAATATCACTGACCCTACTTGCAAGAAGTATGGTTTGGAGCGCATGCCGTTCGAAGTTCCCATTGACATCTCCATCATTTACCCCATCCTTCGGGGCGCCGCGGACTTCTACTGGCTTCTCCATCATACGAGCAAGACCAATGAAGGCCTCCTGGCGAAGAACGTCAAGCTGGAATGTTTCTGTCTCCAGAAGACCGGAAAGTGGGACAAGAAATTGAAGCCCCTTCTGGCGCCGAAAGGAGACAATTTGATTCAAGACAACGGAGTAATGAACATTTTTGTTGACGACAAGAGCATCTACGGCTTCAAGATCACAAATGAATGGAAGGTCCCGCTTTATGCTGCCTTGTTCTATCTTGACTCAAGTGATCTGAGCATCAGTGTGTTTTTTTTTTTGTCCGTAGGGTGTATGACGAACTTGAACACTTTTCTGTCGCAGCCCCGTATTACTTACCTCCAACTGCGAAGGCGAATTTGGTGGACGAATCACTTCCGGCGAATGACTTCCTGACGATCGGTTACGGGTCGGGTGGCGGGAGGCCGAGAGAATATTACTTGAGACCAAGTCAGGACGTCGACATTGGGTTTTTAAAGCTACTGGTTTCGACGAAATACGTTGATTATTCAAATTTGAAACAGTCATCCCCGTTTCCTCAAGGCCATCGTGCAGATGTGGTGTATCAGTCGGAAAGACGGCCAGCGTTATGGGACACGATACTGATCACAGTCGTTCAGCGAAAGCGAAAGAGTGCATAGCCGCGGAAATTAGATGTCGTATTGGGATCCTACGAGCATAGTTGTACGAATAGCAAATGTTGAACTATCGAAGCAGCATGCTTTCAGTCTCCAGTTTGAAACAGTGTCAAAGTTGCCGGGAACCAATGTTTGCCCATTTTCGATAGGCCAACAACGGTATGCCTTGATAAGGGTAACTCTGTCACAACCCAGGGCTGACCTTTTCGACCAATTATTTAGACTTCAAATGATTGTTTGACAGATGCTGAGCAGTGTATGATACTGAGATAACGTCGGTGGCGCGACCCTTGACGCTGCCTTTATATCTGCCGCGCACCCGACTCCTGGCATGCGGTATGATAACGATGGATAGCTCCAAAGAAGAATATCCGGTCTCGGCTCCTCGTTCCCGTGTATTCGTCCCCCCCCCAACTGACGCTGCTTTATAGAATATCTTCAGGAGCCGCTAAACGCCTCACCATTAACAATTTTATTGACGGGGACTTCACGGATAAGACGAATTCTACCATTTGATTCCGAAGAAAATTGTGTCAAGGGTAGTTCCCCAACGGCCTTGACGTATCCAAACAGACGGGGGACAGAATATTACCACAAGTGTCGTCCTAGTTTGCTGAAGATAAGCCGTAATAAACGTATAGTTACAACGCATTTGTAGTACAATCACATTTACCCATAACAGTAGCAACAGTCTGATAGCAATCACCAAAAAAAGTCTCTTCCGCGTCGTCCCTTACTTACAGATAACATCCTCCAAGCCAAACGCCTTCACCAACGTCTCCTCACAGGGACCCTGAAAGGAAAACTCGGCAATCCGATCCGTATACGTCTTCTCGATATTGAACACCGCAACCCTCCCGCCATTACCACGAACGATATCGCCAAAAATACCCGACGGGAGGACCTCCGCCGAAGTCCCAACGACCAAAAACAAATCACACCGTTTATCGATCATACTCGCGATCTCCTCCAAGTCCCGGACGCCCTCTCCGAACCACACGACGTCCGGTCTCAGCAGGCCTCCGCACCGTGCACATCGTGGGAGATCTTTTTCGTCGATGACGGGTTCCTGGGCGTGGTTCACGTCAGTTTCGAAAGAACGTTCCGTGCCAGCTAGGGTGGGACAGATGGGACTCTTGGTGTTCACTTCCATGTGGCTACACTGGGTACACCGGGTACGGCATATGTTTCCGTGCATCTCCATGGGACGAGCGGAGAGTGGAGCATTGGGAGGTAAGGCGCGTGTGGAGAGGTTATCGATATTCTGTGTGACGAGACGGAACGTCGCGGAGGGTGCGACGCGTTTGAGTGTCTCCGGTGATGAGGAAAGCAGTGCGAGAACACGATGTGCGTTATTAGGTTTCGCTTTGATTACTCTGCCAAGACTTGGGGTTTAAGGTTGAGCCTCCGAGTCGGGAGAATTCGCACTCACAGTTCTCGACGATAATGGTAGAATTGCCAGACAAGAGATGGGTCTTTGTGGAAGGCTTCCGGCGTTGCGAGGAGGGTAGCATCCTCGAATTTATATGAGCCACACTGCGAAAGAAAGCAGGTATAATACTTGGCAACTTACGTGCCGTCTCCACAATCCTTTTTCACCTCTAAAGGTTGGAACCCCTGCGATTAAATGAGCACTGATCTCACGCCATAGAAGCAACAACACTCACCCGAGGCAACAGACAGTCCCGCCCCAGCAAGGACAACAATATGGCGGGCTTCACGTACGGCCTTGCGAAATCCTTCGTAGTCATTAGTAGCCTTCATGTCGCAGTTTTGACGGATCTCGCACTCCTAACTTATATTGTGGAGAAATGAATGTAAGCGTGACTTGATAATGCCACATTAGTGGGTCCCAGGCCTGTCGACGGCGCAAGGATAACGCAGACGCGCGTATACGGATCACGTTGGAAAAAAACATGATGGCACGATCTTTCGGTGGTTCGGATTCTGGAGAAACATGCATTAGCAGTGGCATAGCGGTCAGGTTGGAGGGGTATACATACGCGACTCGCCGACACGGAAAATTCATTTACGAATATATAGACATGAAGATTCAACAAATGTGGTATACAACAACATTATAGCCGCAGGTAACATGATCATCATCCCGGCTGACAGACCTAGATCGGTCGAAACCGGGCGTCTAAAGGCTAACCGTAACCAAACAGTATGCCGAAGACGTCTTTCCAACCTCGCCTAACAACAATCTGCGCACCCCCGCCGTACTCCTGCCCTAACCACTCCAGATATTTGGCATCCACACGGCTGAGTGGACCCAGCTCAAAGAGTAATACATCTTTAGGTGTAAGCTGCACGATACTTTTCGGGCGATCCGGAAGTGGCGGGAGAAATGGTTCCAGCGTGGACACCTGAAACGAAGTATGTGCGTGGAAGGTCTGGAGCAACGCCAGGGTCGTCAACAGCTGTCCATCTCTACGTATTGTATCGTCGCCGCCCCCAGGTTGTTGTTGCCCGTCTGAAGCTGACGTGAACGCAGAAGCAGAAGGCCGCCCGCTTGACCACGACATACCGCTTGATCTCCGCATCGGTTTGTTACTGCTAGTTCCAGACGGACGGCCCTCGATTCCCAGACCTAAACTTCGGACATGGTCAGATCCATTGATTGCAGTGAGAGTAAGGTCATCGTCTCCTTCTAGCCGGACGCTTCCCCAGTTCGCAGACGCATTTGCAGGGGAATATGATGAAGGCGAGTTTCCTCTCCACGAGCCTATCCAGAGTCCGGCACAGATAATACAGACATCTTCGTAAACTCGCCACACATCCGTCCATGCAGTGATGAATTTTGATTTCGGGTCAGGAGAAGAGGATCCTGATGGCGAACAGCACGATGTGTTGGCGCAATGCGAGGAATCAAGTTGAAGTATGCGGTCAAGTTCGTTCCACTAGGAAGAAGTGGTCAGTACCTTGATGGGCACCCAATATTAAATTGGGATATGACATACAAGCTTGATGTCACTCCATGCAAACCTGACCGATGATAGCCGATGTGTACAACCGCGAGAAGAGGCTCCTGATGGGGGAATCGATCGTGACGAAAAGAAAGCTGGACGAGTTGCTTTGTTTGGAGTGGACGAAGTCAAGTCAATGAGAAGGTCGTAATGAGATGGTTTTTCAAGAAATATCGCATCTGTCGTGCCTGGGAGATTGAAGAATAGATAAATACATAATGTGAAAAAAGGAGCGGGCAGCATACATGCAATCCATCCACGACCGGAAGCACCTTCTTTCTGGATCCTGTCCAGATCACTCAGAGTTACCATGCCCAACACGTTGATACCCTCCTTGCATTTGCCTCGCAGACGCCCCGCAGCGACGGTGGGACTAGCCACTTGATATTCATAACACATGTCCGCGGCAACGTGACACAAGATGCAGGCGGCTTGAACCGGAGGAAAGGTGTAAATGAGGATGCGCTTCCTGCCTAGAACGTGCTTGTATAAGGTCAGTGAGGACGGCCCAAGTATCCTTAGGAGATGGGGTAGATGTAGAGTAGGGTTGCCGACAGGCCCTTCATGCTCGTCCTGGAAAAGTTAGCACAGACTCCGAGTAGACAGAAATAGCCACTACACACCCCTTCAAACTCAAAGCTCCAGCCATTCCATTGTCCTGCGCCTCCAAGGTCGTCTTGCCTCAGTTTGCGTTCTTCAAAAAATATCCGAGCGGGTTCCCAGTCTTCGTCGCTAGGCTCAAGGATCTCGGACACCTCCAAGCGGGTATATATGGTCTCCACCAGATCTTTCAGGGCTGAAAGATGTCGCCATGGTCTTGGACGTACGGATTTTGCTAACAGGATTCCGAGAGAGGACAGCCGGAAGCCTCGATGACCCTGCTCTGTGGTTTTCCTCCGACGGAAGACGCAGACACCATGCCGATCGTCCTTGGTAAAGTAGCTGGGTCGAGATAAGTAGACAATGACGGAAAAATGAGATGGAAACACACATAACATCCTGCTCCACTAGATGAAGACCACTTGGCAACGCACTGAACTCGAGGTTATCCAGAGAGACATCTGGCGGGAGATTAGCAGGCGACCATTTTCGTTTCTTCTTTACGCACCATCAGTGGCCTTGATGCTCCAATCAATAACGTTGCCTTGAGTGGGATGGAATGAAGCGTGGAAAATAGCAGCTGTCAGGATCGTTGTTAGTGGGTCGGAAGCTACATGGCAGGTAGTGGAGCACCTATATCCTGGGGGCAGCTCAGTTCGGACATCGAGGCCCTCGACGACGACGACGACAACGACGACGACGAGAATAAATAAGCAGCGGAGGAAGAGGGAGGTTAATTTAGGGGTGAAAAGAAGACAATTGAGGTGGTTTCGTCATAATATGCCGAGTTTGGGAATGTGATCGAGAAGTTCAGCGCAAAAGTATAGCCGATTACATCTTGCCTTCAACGACGTCGACGACGCGCTGTTCCTCCGCTGCCCCTCCTTGATTCCCATCCAATATGTCCGAAGCGCAGCAAGTAAATGTCGCGGATTTGGATCTTAACCAGCTGGGTGATGTCCGGAAACAACTGGAAGAAGTGAGGGAAATAGTCATCAGCGTCCAACGTTGCGCTAACGCTGAGCTTGAAGGAACTCGGCCACCTTACCAGCTCATTTGCGCAGCTGAAGCAAGCGCAAGTGAAATTCAAGACTTGCATTGAAAATATTGGCGACATGAAGCCTCAGAATAAAGGTATGAATGAGCGCCTCCCCGTTCTTTTGTGGGATTGACACGAGACTGGATCTAGACAAGACTATACTGGTGCCCTTGACGAACTCTCTGTACGTTCCGGGTAAAATCTGCGATACTGAGAATGTGATCGTTGATGTCGGGACGGGATACTATGTACAGAAGGTGCGCAGTTTTACAATATCGGCTCGTATCGATGCTTTACCGTTTTGTTTTTTTTAGTCGCGGGTTCAGGCTGTGAAGCACTATTCTGACAAGGTGGATTTCTTGAATACCAACCTTATTGTCCTCGAGGATACCATTGGAAAAAAGCGGGAGAACATGACCTATCTTTTGAACGTCATGCAGTCCAAACTGCAGGCCGAGGCTAAAAACGCTGGGAAATCATGATCAATATGCCGATTGTATAGGGCTTTGTCATTGTATGTACGTTGTGAGTGGCCAGCCTAATTCTTCATCAGAGACCAGACAGCTAATGAATACGCTCTAGGCTATCTGTAAGACTCTATTGCTTTAAATATCATTTGCCAAACCCTCAAGGCTTTTGATGCCGGTCGAAGGTTTCCGTTGCACAGACCTTGAGCCGAAAGTCTAGCCGCCTTCAGCAGCAAACGCACGGAAGGAGCCTGAGACGCATTCAAGCTGGGACCTACATGAGCCTACGGATCAAACGTCCCGTGAGTTTCGGCAAATGATGGCGCTGTTACATACGCGCCACCGAGCTAATAGTAAGCCGGATCTTCTCTTGAGTTTCCAGGCACTCAGGCCATGCGTCTCCTTCTTGGCCGGGTATCGTGAGAAGCGAGGCACCTCGCAGGGACAATTGCGCGTGAGGAATGGAGGCATGAGGAGGTAATATACCATGGGATTACTGCTACGCCAACGCGTGGAATGTTGGACCTGATAACTGCGGTGCCGCAAGTTCTTCGGGGACGGAGGATAGGCTAGATTACCAGAATACAGAACACGGGTGCAAGAAGACCGCTAAACTCTGGGTTACATCTTTCGTGACATGATGCACTGGGAATCGCTTATTACTGGTAGCACGGAAGGCAAAAAGCACGCTGGAATCAGGAAGCTCTTCTCCCCAAGTCTACCCCGCGACGCCAATATAAACGAGTTCCGCCCTGAGACCTTTCGGATAAATGGCAAGCGATTGTCCTCCCCAGTGCGGGGTACGCGCTTTTGGCTAGGGGTGCATGATTGGATGGCGACTACGAAAGGGGCAGTGCGATGCAAGAATCGACATTAATGGGATCATCTCTATTACTTCCACGGTTCCGAGTTGGAGAAAGCATATGGAAAGCATATGGAAAGTAGGGAGAGGTACACTGGCCCCAGAATTATAGTCCCGAAGTGAGCTAACCGGGACGAGCCAAAAAAAAAAGATGTCAATGGGCGGAAAAACTTGATGGATCTCCTAAAGTCCTTCTAGGAACAAGTAGCATAGGGCTAAGCTAGACCTCCTCCATCTCTCTGTGCCTGTTTCACGAACGGAAGAAAAAAACGCAAAACAAGTGAGCAGCAAACTAAATACGATCAGGGTTCACGTGTTCGTGTGACGGAAAGTGGTTGTTTGGCTCTGGTGCATTCGGAAGCCATCCCGAAGGGCTCTTGCTCCTCATCTGATACCTCTACCATTCAATTATGTCTTATTTCCTTCCGCACCTTCCCTCCGGCTGGCATGTCGATGAGGCCATCAAATCTGAGGAAGATCGTGTCGTGGTGACCCGGTTTGGCCACGACTGGGACAGCCAATGTATGACCATGGACGAAACGTTGTACTCGGTCGCTGAGAAAGTGCAGAACTTTGCGGTGATATACCTTGTCGATATTACTGATGTTCCAGACTTCAACAAGGTCGGTGGCTTTTCGCAATAACAACCGGCTGCGCGGCTTACGAATATGAAAGATGTACGAGCTGTATGATCCATGCACTGTGATGTTCTTCTATCGGTAGACCCTCGTTTGATGCCATCGGACTGAGCTAACCGTGTCACATATCACAGAAACAAGCACATCATGATTGATTTAGGCACTGGTAACAATAATAAAATGTGAGTTGGTCCCACGCACACCAATTGACTTTGAAATTGACAAGTTCTCGGCCCTCTTCTTCAAGAAACTGGGCTATGGATAATAAGCAAGAGGTAAGCAACATTTTATGCATGGGCCTTTCCATTGCTCACCTCGTCGTCCTGATACAGTTGATTGATATAATAGAAACTGTGTATCGGGGCGCTTCAAAAGGTCGTGGTCTCGTTGTGTCTCCTAAGGGTCGGTTACATTTCATTTTCGCGTATTTACTTTACTCAATGGTGCGCCAGACTACTCCACTCGCTACAGGTATTAGACGTACCCGTAGGGGGGGATCGTGGAGGAAAGATAGATGGATAACATCACTCAGCGGGACTACAGCTCCCCCCATGTTCTACGTGTCAATACCCCAATTATCAAAAATTTCTCCGAGGCCTTTGCTGTCCCCAGATCCGCAGACCAAAAATAAACTGCAGGAACCGAGATGTTTCGGGCCCCTCTCTCCTCCGTATATCATGGACCCACTTCCGCCATATGGGTCGTTGCATTTTCCAGAGGATTAGGTGAGATCCGGCTTGCACTGCTTACCCTTTCCCCCAGAAATGACATCATCAATACTTCGATCATATAAGCTGGCTCCCGCTCTCCAACGTAATCCCCCACTACATCTTTTCCGAAACACTCATCATCCCACAAAAGAGAATCGACTGCGATGGCGCTCTTCTATGTGTACGTATTTCCCCGCCTATGGTATTTCCAATGGTCAACTACTTACCTAACTCTTTAGGCAGGGAGTGCCAATCGGCGCGGTGGCCATCATGCTCGCCCTTGTGGCAAGTATGGGAGGCTTCATCTTTGGTTACGACACAGGTCAGATATCCGACATCCTTGTCATGAAGGATTTCAAGCTACGGTTCGCTACATGTGGAATCCCCGATGACCCCTCCACTTGTTCCTTTACCAATGTACGGTCAGGTCTGATCGTCGGTCTGTTATCCATCGGTACCCTTTTCGGGGCTCTCTTCGGTGCACCGTACGTCTGTTCTCGCCTTTTTTTTTGTTTTTGGTGATACTCACGAGATGAGCCAGGACTGCTGATTACCTCGGCCGTCGATATGCCATGGTCGTGGAGTGTGGCTTGTTCATCATCGGCGTCATCATCCAGATCACTGCTACCAGCGTGTGGCAACAATTTGCCGTGGGCCGCCTTGTCAGCGGTTTGGCTGTTGGAGCGCTGAGTGCCGCAGTTCCTATGGTCAGTTGCATTTCTCCGTTGCAAGTCGCCCTTGACCTGACTTCCATTCTTTCTTTCCACTTCTAGTACCAAGCCGAAACTGCTCCTCCGCAAATTCGTGGAAGTCTGACGGCAACATACCAGCTGTTCATCACGTTTGGTATACTCGTTGCGTGTTTGTGGATTTATTACTATGTGCGGTCGTCGCCTCATCATTTCACAGATTGCATATCTATCGGTACCCGCTCTATCGGCGGCGCAGGATCTTGGCGGACTGTCGTGGGAATTGGCATCGTCTGGCCCTTCATTCTAGCGATTGGGATTCTCTTCATGCCTGAAAGTCCTCGGTGGCTTGCAAAACACGGACGTCTCGAAGAGGCTGGAACCTCTATTGCGAGGACCCGGGGAGTCCCGCCTTCAGAAGTCAAGACAGATCCAGTCGTCGTACGGGAACTTGAAGAAATTCGGAGTAATGTGGAGTACGAAATGACTTTTACGGGAGGTTGGCTAGATTGTTTCAAGCCTGGCAACAAGATCTTGTATCGAACCCTCCTCGGTAAGCTTATTTGTTTACGCGACTAACGTGTTTTTCCTGATTGAGCTTTCCGCAGGTATGACACTACAAAGCTTCCAACAGCTAACTGGGGCCAATTACTTCTTCTAGTAAGCCCTTCCACTTCTTGGACTTGTTTTTATCTCATTCTATATTCAGTTATGGAGCGACTATTTTCTCGTCAGTCGGTATTCAAGATTCTTACGTTACTCAAATTATTCTTGGTGCTGTCAACTTTGTATGCACATTTGGAGGCATATATGTAATGGAGAAAGTGCGTAAATTCAAATCGGAGTTCTTATTCAAACGCTAATCGTTTGAACGTATATATAGTTCGGACGACGTGTGCCTCTTATTATAGGAGGTATTTGGCAGGCCGCATGGTTGTTCATCTTCGGGGCAGCTGGTACTGCAAAAGTACCTGCAGATAACCCAGGAATTGGAAAGCGTGCGTTGTCTTCCATGTTCGCCTTTCCTCGAGGCTGATTGCGATCGTCGTATAGTCATGATTGTCTCTGCATGCATGTTTATTCTTGGATATGCGATGACATGGGCCCCGTACGTGTATTTTGGCTTTTCGTTCCATCGCTTACTCATTATTTAAATTTGCAGGGGCGTCTGGATATTGATCGGAGAGACGTTCCCTACGAGGACTCGAGCTAAACAGGGTGCACTGGCGACTGCTTCGAATTGGCTATGGAATTTCCTCCTGGCCTTCTTCACGCCTTTCATCGTCAGTGCTATCGAATTCCGGTATGGTTTCGTGTTTGCCTGTGAGTGTATCCATCTTCTCCTTCCGTACGTGACTTGCTTGCTCATGCATTATTATTATTGTAGCGTGCAATCTCACCGGAGCTGTGATCGTTTATTTCTTCTTGTACGAGTCTTCTGAGCTATCCTTGGAAAACGTTGACCAGGTATGGTTTTTTGGCTATGAAATACAGTGGGTGACCTCATGCTTACTGCGCTTTTTTAGATGTACAACGACCCTGATTGCAAGCCATGGACTTCTCGTCAGTGGGCACCTCCTGAGTACAAGGATCGCCGTGACCTTGTTGAGCAAGTGCGGGCAGCTGAAAGTCGCAAGGATGCCACAGTGGAACACAAGGAAAGTGCGACATCTAGCACTGACCATGCTACGGAAAAGGTTTAACGTATATATATAAACGCTCTTCATGACTACGATGACCCCCCCCTCTAGTAATAATGTCCTTCTCTTCATCATTCGTGATGTAGATGTATTTCTATTGACCTTGGCCAAGGTAGACGCAAGTGTACAGTGCGCCATATACGCATGAATAATGAATAATTATTGTTATGAGAACTTGCCGTTGATCGCAGCAAGCCATGGGTGATTTCCTCGCCGCAAAAGTGAATATGCTGGCACGGTGGAGGGGACTAAGCCTCTCGGATAAATATGTGGATCTTTCTCCGTTCCGCTTGCCACATAAGAGAAGGGGGGATACTGATAAGGACTGGGAGATGGAGTCGTCAGTGCTACTCATGTTCTTCCACTTTATCAGGATTCTCTTTGTGGCGGGATGGTCCCCGAATGAGGTGGTCAGCGCGCCGCATGCCACTGGTCTCCAGAAGCGGTTCGGTGGCGGTAGGAACGGGCCAGCACCGTATGGTGACATTAACAACAGCACCAGTTCCGATCATGCAAGGTGATTTCCGTCCTTTTCAACCCTGGGTTCGTTCAAGGATTTAGGTTTGCTTTAGCGTCGTACGCCGGGCCGTCATTGGAAGTGTCGTGGGCGGGGTAGGGTTGATGTCGATCCTGCTTGTGGGATTTTTGTTCCTTCGACGTCATCGAAGGAGACGACTGGCTGATCAAGCCTCGGAGGAGGAGGAGAAGGACATAGCAGTGGTTCCTCGTAATTCCGAATTGGAGGAAGGTACATGGACAGAGGAGCATTTGGTGGACGTGGGGAAAAATATGGTTAGGCTGGATCTTCCCGCTGGTGAGTGGGACTTTGCCTTACATGGTATACAAGTTGAATGGCTTCGAGGTCCGTCGGGTCAAAATATCCGGCATGACGATCCGCCCCCTGCTTATCAAGGATAATGTACTGTATCCAGAATGAGGCGTCTTTTTTTGTACTACTACTTACGGTGTTCACGGTTTTTATGAAGTCCTGCCTGACATTTGGTCCGTTCGCCGATTACAGTCTTTATTGCAACGTCGGAATTCTAGTGATGAGCAATGAACAATGTCGGGTGGTCCATACGTCGCAAAGACTGCGGCTTGACTACGTAGAGGTGTTCGCCTCGCTGATATTTGAGACTTATACAGCGCGCCCTTGCAAATATAGACCGGCCCAGAATCTCGTTGACCGTCTTGATTCCTGCAGACTCTGATAACACCAGGAATTCAGGTCCGGAATCTACTCGCAAGACATGATCATCAGATGCGACTGTTGGCTCTAAAATTAAATAAGTCAGCCTCATGGACTCTTCGGCAACAATATGGCGGGAAGTACAGGTGTATAGATCAAGGGCTCGCCGCAGACGACTTCGCACTCTGGGCTTCCCAAGCACCCACCACAGAACTCAAAATCGCGGTCTCGATATTGATACACCAATCTCCGTGGCCACATCCACCTTGTCTGGTTCGATTCTGTCCACATCAACCCAAGGTTCGCACTGAAGGAGAATTCACCTCCGTTTCGCATCATTCCGGGAGTAACGGTAAAGAGGGAGCGGTTCTGCGATACCAAGAAGGTCTCCTTTTGGGACACGTTGAGTTCCTGTACTGGAGGCTGGGTGATATTGCTGCGATAAAAGGTAAGTTCTAGGTTGAGATTCGACTCGGTGAAAGATAACACTGACAAGGATCCTTGAAGCGGCTGGGCATTGAATGGTACGCTCTAGCCTAACGGCAAGCGGGAGGTCGAAGATGCTTCGGGAGGCATGGACTGTGTTGAAGTCGGAGATGGAGCAGGCCTTTGAAACCCACCAAAAGCTTGTTGGGATTGCATTCTGCGATGAGTCTGGAGGTTTGGGGCTGGTCCGTATGCTGGCGCCACAAAGGACACTGAGGTAACTGTCGGGACATGAACAATCCTCTTATATGAGAAATTTGTACTTATTCTCCCTGGTAGTCAGTCCGTAGTCGGCAGTCGCTGTACCTACAGAAGCGATGTGGGAAAAAAAACCAACACGACCCTTAAGCAGGTACCACGGCCATTAGCCAACAAGGATATCCGACATCCAGACCTTCTGATATATTGATTGGCCTCTCCCAGAGCCTTTCTAGCTACCCCTTCCTCAACGCGTTGCTGACACACAGGGAAATGGTCGTATACTTGACCTGATGACTCGATGGTATGAAGGCCGTCAATTCGAAAGGCCAATAGTATATACGATGTTGAAACCTGGTCACCATCATTGCTCATGAAAGAATTGACTCTTAGTTAAAAATCAGCAAAGAGATCTGTCGTATGCGTACTTTGGCTATTCACCGACCAAGGCTGATTTACAAAATCCTATTACTCAATAGACGGTCACTGCTGTGCTCTTGCTGGCAGAATCGGTGTTCATTTTGCGCCAAAAATTGAGAAGGAGGTATGTAGCAATTGATGATAAATGGTAAGAAGCCAAGGTCGAGGCTGTGGCTGTGCTATTGGGACTGTTCAAGTGACCACTACGACAGTTCTCCTGGAAGTTTCGAACTTCTGTCTGCTGGGTAATTGCTGCAATACTTTTCTAATATCAATCTAATGTGAAACGTGGTAGCCCCACCTGAATATGTCGCGAATCGATAAGACTCGATTTGATTCCAGCATTGCGTCCTTCCTCCCACGCGCATTTTCGCCTTCCACAATTACAGATTTCAAGTAGGTGTAGGTGTATTAAGAATCTGTAGGTGGGTTATTATGGCCAAGTAGGTTTATGATATCTGAAGATAGAATTGGCTGGTGAAAGTCTGATGTTCTTGATCAAAAGATCAGCGCCGCCTCTCAGCTCCTGAAAGCCCTGAAAGCGGAACGGGACCAGGCAATCGCCAACGTCTGCGACGCCAGGACTATCCTTCGTCCAGTACGCGCGGTTCCAGACGACATCCCCTTTGAAATTTTTTGCCATATGTGTTGATATCGAGAGGAACGATGATACTGTAGTTGTCATTTGAGCCCCCTGGTCACTGTCTCAGGTCTGCAGAAGCTGGTGTAACCTGAGCATTCATGCCCCCAAACTCTGGACATTCATCCAACTGAAGGTTTACCGCGATAATCGAATTTTCCATCTCCTCCGCAATCAGCCAGCTTGAGAGAGCGAGAGATTTTGACCTTGAGCTGTCGCTTTTAACAAACAGGGATAGTCAAGTTTTTCGTGTTTTCCTCTCAAGTGCTCCATATTGGCGCAAGGCGGATATGATCATCAACTTCAAGGAGTTGGAGGTCATTCAGCAAAATGGGATCCCGTTCAGCAGACTGCAAAGTTTGTACATTGCCTTACCAGATCGAGATTTCCTCATAGGTTGTCACGACTTGTTCAGTACGTTTGAACCATCAACAGGACTGCGCCGCTTGTGTGTCGATATATCCGTTGACTGCAAGAGCTGGCAAATCACAAGGCCCACACCGACACTCCTTGCACGTATCACACATCTGAGCTTCAGCTCAAGGCTTACGAACAGCTTCTTCTTTGTTCATATTCTTCCGCATATGCAGAATCTAGAATGGCTGTCGCTTGGCAGTTATTACGAACATGGGTTCCCCTCTGTGGAACTCCCGAACCTCTTGTCGCTGTGAATCAGCAACGAGGGATATGGAGATCGTGGAATCGCCAACGCGTACTCTCATCTTGCCTCCAAACACTGGAACTGAGCGTACACCGCTTTGCTATCCCACAATGACACCGGATAATTCAATAACAAGACTGCGTTTATCGTTGACAGGTCCGATGCCAACACCCGGCGGCGTCCAGGACCTAATCGACTTTCTCTGGGCATTGCGAGAGCTACGCTATCTGTGGCTCTCTTTTATGTATGTTTTGGATGGCTTTTTTCAGCCAAATGAGTGTCTTGTCGGACGTTGCACCGCATCTCGAGCATATCTAGACTCGAAGCAAGTTGGTATTCTTGAATTTGTGAGATCGCGGTGGACGACTGGTAGTCTATTGAAGGTCACCCTAGGAGAAACTCAACCCGCAGTGGCTGAACAATGGCAGGCGCTTTGCGACGAAGGTTTTGTGAGTCGAATTAGATTTGTGTTGGAACAGGAAGAGGTACATGAGAATTGTTCACTGGGATAGTCCTACATAAATGAATTATTTATCTACATTTTAAACTCTCTTCCCGAGAAATGGCCCTCTCTCCTAAAGTAGCACCACATCCCGAGCATATCTTAGATATAGTTGCGACGTGCGAAAAACAAATCGCTATTATTAACTTTGCAAGGGTCACGGTGGGCGAATGGTAGGCTATCGAAAATAAGTTTAATAACCCTCAAAAATCTTGAATGGTCCGTAGCTGAACAGTGATGGGAGCTTTGCGATGAGGGTCTATGGATAGGATTGGATTAACAATGGAATAGGCACAAGAATACATGTACTTTCCTTGAATGTAAAGTAACAATATCCAGTGAGGTGAGCATTGCGTCTGCGTGCACTGGGACAAGCTGCTTATGAGCTATGATGAACTGAAGGTGTTGAGAGGATGTGGCCAATATACGACTTGGCAAAGGCTTAAAATAAAGCCCGATCCATATTACCCGTCGGAGGCGCCAGAAATCCAATCTAATTTCTATGCATGTTGTACAGCCTATGCTATCATATGCATCTTTACTGTTTGAATATCCCATCTGATTTGCCCCTCAAGAAATACCAATGGCCCTCTCCTCCAAAGTAGCACCCTGGCTCGAGCCTCGAAGTTTGCGACGAGGATCTACGGACGATAAGATTGGATTCACAAATGCGTACTCGGAAAAAATCCTGGCATGTCTGACCCGGGCCGATATTACCGGCCACTTTTGGGGGTCTTGGAGCACGGCGGATATCACGTTCCCGTGAATAGGAGCTCCCCCAGGATACTCTTTCCTTCCTACCACCACCTTCTCGGCTTTGAAAGTTGCATCCCTTCTTCTTGCACAATTATTTCTTCACTGCACATACTATGCCTTTCAACACCGTTCCTCATCTCGTCGGCCGGTCCATCGTCAACGGCAGGCTCATCCTCGTCGCTGTCCTCGGGGCTGGCAACTTCGGGCAGGTATACAAGGCTCGCAACATGGCGGCCACCAATGATTCTTCTCTTTATTTCGTGGTTAAATGTATCGGGATTGACGGTTCGAAAAGGGCTACAGCGGTCAGCAAGGAAATCGCCTTGCATGGTTCTGTCCCTAGACATCCCAACGTCGTCACGTACCGTGCTACGTGGGTCGAGGAGGACTATGTCTTCATGATCATGGACTACTGCCCCGGTGGCGACCTGTACAAGGCGATCTGTGAAAAGAAGGTATTTTATCGCAACGACTCACTGGTGAAGCAGGTCTTCCTTCAGGTCATCGATGCCGTGCAGCATTGCCACGCCAATCAAGTATTCCATCGGGACATCAAGCCTGAGAATATTCTCTGTTCTAAAGACGGGACGCAGGTATTCCTTGCTGACTTTGGTCTAGCGACGTGCGAAGATGACCACAAGTTCCGCAAGGCGGGCACCCTGCCATACAAGAGTCCTGGTAACCTTCCTTCCCGATGACTTTTTCTTCCAGCGTAATCTCATCTATTCATTAGAATGCCTGGGCGAGGATTTTAGATCGCCCACCTACTCGACGAGGGCCAGCGACGTCTGGGCTCTAGGTGTTCTCCTCCTCAATATGATAGTCGGGCTCAATCCTTGGCTCGCCGCAAAGATTTCAGATCCATGCTTCAATCACTTCCTCTGCAATTCTGATTATTTCCTCAAAATATTTCGCATCACGCCCTCCGTCAACCAAGTTCTGCTGCGCATCTTCGAACTACGATCTTCGAAACGCATCACTCTTCCTGAACTCCGTGACGAGATCAGAAAAATCGATAGGTTCTTTCTCACTGATGCGGAACACTTGTCAATGGTCCTCCAAGAGACAAGGAAGTCGATCAATCTTTCGGTCTCTCAACGACGTCTCATCCCCGCGCCCCGCCCATTGGTCTAGGTTTGGGTATCGACCTCAGCTTGCTTGTGCAGCCGTTTCTGAAATTCTTCAAAGCTCACCTTCCGTCCCGTGTCAGCAATTCACTGTGCAGCTGCAGCTGCTCATGATGACTCGGGCTCGTGCGACTGTTGGTGTGCTTTGCTCGTGGTGCTTTGGCGTTATTTTCTATTTCCTTCCTTAGCTTTCTGTGTTTTGTTTCATATCTCTTGGACTTGGTTGATTGGCTTTCGGACAGACGTTTTTGATTTCTTTCTCCTTGCATTTCGTCTACTCTTGAATTTGGACTTTTCTTTTTTGTTTCTCCGATCTATCTTGGACCGGTTTTGGATGTTACATGTACTCGTCTCTTTCTTGCTTTCATCATCATTTCTCACTCTCCTCTTCATTGGACTTTGTCTATACTTTAGCTTTCATGGACTATTTTTCTTCGGACCCTGTTTTTTCTTTCTTTCTCCTACCCCCCCCCCCCCCTTTTTTTTTTGTGTGTGCTCTCGTGGTAAATTTACAGGTGGTTCGACTCCCCTGGGAGCCCTTACAGCAGATGCGAATGTTACCTTTCTAGTGTCCGAACCAAGAATGGGTACCCTGCGACGACACTTGGAAACGTAAGAGTTAAAATCCATTGAACGGCGGCTTTTCCAGAGTTTCACCTACACCTCCTTCATTGTTCTTTGTACCATGTTAACGGTTAGATGCATTAAGACGCATCATAAAACGTGGTTTCGATTTAGTGGTTTGTCGTCTTCATCCCTATTTATTCATCTTCTCTGGATTTTTCCGCGACATTCTTTTCTTCCTTTCTTCAGGTTCTTTTCTTTTCATTTGGTGCTCTCGTGGTCGAATCAGAGGTCCGGTTCCGGTGGGAGCCGCAGCAACAAAACAAGAATATGATGCCCAATCCGGCATTTCAGTGTTTCCGGGTCACGAAGTTGGGTACTCGGAAATATGTAAAAACGACATTTTCAGAAGGCATGCGGAGCAATAATCCAGTGTCCATCTATATTCTATATTCGACACGGGAAAAAACAGTGCAGTGTCCGTTTGTCTAACTCGTTACTCGTTACTATTATGCATTGTATTGTACCCTCTTGAAATCAGCAGGCTCGAGACTCCAATTCCACGACGCTATCACTAGATTTCGAGCTGGCGTTCCCCGAGTCCCGTCTTAGAAGCAATCCCGGATGGGCAAAGTTTATAGTATAGATTGCCAGAACGACCATAGCACCATCGAGAACGTCTATCGAGTCGGATTTAGGACCGAGGCAATGAATGGTAATAGGAAAGTAAACGCACTGAAGTATACTTCGGTGGTGATGATTCTTCCTTTCCAACCATCTGACAGCTCGATGGTCCGGTAGATTGCCCTGAAATACGATGAGTGTCCGAGGCTTGTACGACTGGCGCAAACTTACCGGATATATAAACAGAGGGTATTGAATGCCAGAGCTATGATCATGAGCCTGATCTTCGAGGAAAGCTCGCCACGAAAGTACTGTTCGTTAATGGGGAGTGTCGCTTCGCTCTGTCTCATGGTGCTGGAGCCGAATCTGGAGTATATAGGCCTATTTTTTCGGTACCGGACGAGGAACTCGGCGGCGAGGATTGCGTAACAAGATATCACGACTTGTGTATACTTGAATACCACTTGAAAATGCATGATAGTCTGAGGACGTACCGAGTTGAAAGACAATACCACCGAGCATGATATTACCGCCGAGCTTAGTGCCTTTGTCGTCATTTGCGGAAGCGGCTATACCACCTCCCGTGCCTTGAACGATGAGGGAAATGATATCCTTTGGCGCGAAGATTGTGAGCTACCGAGTTCAGCCGTCATAAGCGTTCACATACGAAACTAACGAATATCCGTGAATCTGTGGTGTGACAAAGTTGTCAGTATGGAAAAACAGACGGGAAGGGAGTAAACATACAGTATTTCGGACTCAACCTGCTGTATGCAGGTCCTAGGAGGCTGATAATCTCGCCGAGAATAATGAAGTTACCCGCAACGAGAGGAGTTGGTCCAAGGATAGTCGTGACGATTCTGAGCGGAGATCAGTCGACCATCGGAAGGACGGCTGTGTGCCAGTACTCAACTCACTGTATCATATACGGATTCCTCAACGTTGGCGAAAAGCTCGACCAAAGCCGGGCGCTCCACCCGAGGGTCTCCAAGACTCCGGCAAGAATGATAGTTGGGAATGGCCACCACATACGATAGTGTAGGCTTTGGACCGTGTGAGCGACTTGAGAGGATGCGATTACTTTGGAGCGATCAGAAGGGGGCGCGGCGAGGGATACGTACAGGTAGACGCCCCATACAAGGCCACGAATATTATAGCGACGTATTCTGTGGGGGTGTAGCCATAACGGTAGTCGCCGTTCTTTGACGAAGCACGGGCTACTACAAGTACTGCGAAGAAGGGGTCGCGTGAAATGTTATTCGAGAAGGAGAAGAAGAAGAACTGAACCTTGATCAAGAATCATCGGAGGTTCCTAGGAATGAAGAAGGAAGGTTAATCGGTGTCGGTGCTTGTAGAATTGACGTGGATGTACCAGCTTTTATAGGTGCAACTCGGATATCCCGAGGCACAACGAATAACCATTTACCAGCGATCTTTATCTGCACGGAAGCGCGGCTCATGGGGTAATTTGCATCACAGTGGTGTAGCTAACGTCGTTTTCCAGGGTATGCAGACGCGCCAAGATACACTGTTGGCGGATGTCGATACTATAAAAGGCAAGCGCAAGCGGGGCGAGCAATTTCGTATGACAAACAGCCGTGCAGCCGAAAAAGATATCGTCGGTGCCAAGCCGCAAAGTTTGTTTCTGAAACCAAGTCAAAGGATGCACGGTTCGAACTTCCCAGTATGGACCGCATCCTGGACAGACCTTCGACGTTCATTCACACTTCCGGAATGGCTTCAAGACGGATGTACCGAATAACACTTTGGGGTCCAATAGCAAAATGAGAACCTCAGGCTCTTGCTTCCTGAGTCACGATGGAGGTATATAAAGTGAAATGGTCACGGTACCGTGGTGCTTCGATTACGGGCATGCATCTACAAAGCAAGTATACCGGGAATTTCATTGCGAGAACTCCCCGGGACATGAACGCTAGGGTACAAGAAAGCAATGAGCATACACTCGACAGCCTCAGAATGGTAAACAATAGGGAGCTTTTCTTTTCATATATAACAGACTGTTCACTTCAGCATAAGTACAAGAATAAGTCATCCCAGCCTCGACGCCTAGGTTTTTAACACTGGGTGTCATTGTAGACCTGTGTCACAAAGCACTGTCAAGAGATAAGTCATATGAAGGCAACGGGTAAGGACGATGTACGCATACATTGAAGCTATCTGCGTTTATAATCTGCTGCGCTGCGGTGAGACCCTGGTCAGCAACACATCCGTAGGTGATATCCTCCGTGTCGGCCACGGCGTGGGTGAGCTAGAAGCAGTAGATGAGATGAATGAGAATACTTCGACGCGGAGACGCGGCACCTCGTGAAGTAGAGTTCCACCACGGACGTTCCTCGCTGCGACAGTCGTGGTTCCGCTGCAAAGATCAGTGGCAGGAACCTCGTCGAAGAAGATACTGCAGAAGTATATCTGCGGTAGTCTTTAGCAAACGAAGAATTGGAACGATGACAACATGTGCTCACGTCTGTAGTCGAGATGACCGTATATGCAATGACGTTTCCGTCACACACCCCATAGTCGTCTAAGCAGTTCAAGCTAGTGCGGGGTTAGCCAAGGGGGAATGGCATGAGTGAGATCTACTGACGTTCGCGAACTGTCGTTCTCATTGGCAACGAGCTCAAGCTTATCAGTGACATTCTGGACTGGGTTGGTACTAAAGTAGGCGGTCACGGTATTATTCGAACTGTTGCCCAAGGTACTAATGTAGTTCAACGAGATTGAGGCGAGTTCTTTTGCTTCGACATAACTACGAGAATATTAACTTTGTCCGTTCGTTGCCCGGCAAGACGTACCTGGCATTAATAAACTCGGAGAGAGTGGCATTCGCACAGACATCAGTTGCGCGTTTAATTGACCGCCTGGTCACCTCACTGGTGACCTCGACTTCGATAATTTCGGCAATAGCTTTGACGGCGGAGAACGGAGAGGCAACACGTTCCTCCGCACCGGCCACACGGAAATCGGTAATGGGCTCAAAAGCAAACGTACCCTTGCCGGCGGAAGCAAAGTCGTAGAGATCCGCCACTAATGGAAATGCCATCAGTCGAGAAAAAAAAAAATGCATATCGCCGAAGAAAGTCCTACCATTGTGCTCGACTGTGACATTTGCTCCACTTGGGATGGTGAGGTACGCGCTGTCACTCATGGCAATGTTGAGCTACAGTGTGCGACATTAGACGAGCGTTGTTGCCAGAGCCAAGTCGAACTCACCTGGATGCCAGTGAAGTCAACCGGTACACCGCCCTTTGTCACGGTGAACGAGCGTGATGGAAGACCATCGAGAACGGTTCCGTACTTGAGAACCTTGACATCCCCTGCGTTCGTGTTCGTGACGGTAGCAGTGAATTTCAAATCTTCGATTGAGGTGACGCTGTTTCCAGGCCCAGAGATGTCGACAGTTAGACCATCGGACCTCTTGTAGGGACGGCCGAAGGCAGCAGTGGCGAAGATAACGAGTGTGGGCAAGACAAACATAAGACAAAGAGGAATAAAAAAGGGGCAGAGAAGTTAAGCCCTTCGCTGTCCAAGTTGTCCGTTCTTTTTGAAGGATTTCGGGATCAATGTAGTTGTACCTCACGGCCAGCGTGCGGAATTAATCACACCAGAAAGAAGGTAGCAATGGTTTCCCATCTGATCAGGGTGAAGGAGGCGCCTGGCCGTGATAGGTATATGTACAACGCGCCGACAGAGAAGGCAAAGATGACTTGGGATGTAACAGAATGACGGAGTCTGGCTCCGCCACATGCGAAGACCTATGTAATAGGCTCTTATGAAAATGGATGATGCGTCTTGGAACCTTTCGTCCAGTCTGCTGATCTTATTTGATGGAGGAAAACAGGCCGCATGAAGGATCTATTGGAATAAACAAGTCGGTGTTCTGCTCGCCAGTCTAGATAAAAGCTTGGACTAACCTTTCGGGTTGGTAATATAGTAGTAACTGCGACATATTGAAACATCCAAAGGAAAATTCAAAAACCTAGTTTGGGGCGTTGCCACAGTCAAAATCGTCCAATAGTAGCTTTCGACATTAGCGGACTTATGTAAATTATTCAATGGACCCAGATCTGTCGCGTAATTCGTCAAGAAAGGCTTCTCTACGAGTCATTCTTCGTGTTTGAGCTTGTCGGGAGGAAGCCCTGCATTGTACCTTCAGCTAATGCAGATAATGATGAGTAGCGAGCGTACCCAATCGGATAGCAGCTGCTACTGGCCGTCGCTGGGAAAGACTTGGCTGACCGCGACGGTGCTACACGTGGTGTTACGCAGTCCCCTAGAAGATACCTCCGCCCGCCGTATCCTCGCCCCAAATCGATATCGCTGCCAGAATACGTGCGAGTCCCGGCGAATTCGAAGCATCATTGGAAATGCCTGATACACAATGAACGGCATTGTCAGAGGGTCCTGGAGGGTCGAGGAAACAAAGCAAACGTACATATGTTCCGGGCACCGCGCTTTCATGAAAACGGTGCCATCGTCAGGCTGTCACATTATTTGACACCAGAGTGAGTATGCCCGGCCTTTCAAGTAGAAAATTGACTGGCAAGTGTATTCCGAGCGTATGTAGCGACGGCTCGTGGACATGATGGTATTAAGTGGTAAAGAGCGATCATGTGCGGGTCGCGGCAGCGGCCCGTCCACTTGCAATGGTGACGTCCTCCTACCATCACCCAACATCTCTCAACAATTCCCTATCATTTTTGGCTAAGCGATACTAGCGAGGGCACTATCGGTCGTCAACGGTACTCTGCTGCTGTTCGGATGAAGCCTACGGTCTGGAAAAGCGAGGAGCAACGACAGACATGGCACGGCCTGTCGACATTGACGACGACACGGCCATGACAGGCGGCCGACGACAACGCGGATAATGAGAAAATTTGCAGCTCCACCTAAGATATGGCGCTGCACTTGCTGCTGCCTTTATCCGACTACTCCCCGGCTAGTGGAATTTGTCAGATCTGACCTAGAAAAAGTACGTCATTATTCTTCTTATATTCCAGCAACTTGTGCTAATGATATATGCCAAGGCATTTGGACATTGAGTCATGTCGCTGCACATGGGGTATACGTCGACATTTCGACCATGGCACCCTTCCTCGAATCTTTTGCGCTCACACACAAAACCAGATAAAAGTCGCTGCAGACATGGGTCGTCTTGAATGGGGCCGTCGCCCAGTCTACGAGTGCTGGCTAGACACGGGGCGCTGACCCAGGGATACAGATGGGCGCATACATGTCGATTCTGACTGGACAAGCCAAGGAAATCCAACAGGTGCCGGAATATCATTCCCGCCTAAAAAGCGAAATATTTTACTTGCTTATCTATAGGTTCACTCTCATCCGTGTTTCTCTGCGAAAGAACATGTATCATGGACATCCAACACTAATGGTACCCTTCCCGCGGACGAATCAGAGTCGTGTTGTCTTCAATAGTAATGAAAATTCTACTTGCTTGACCGAGACTTCATCCTTTCCCTTCCAAGATGCGGTGAGTCATTTTATCTTACTCTGCATTTTGCATATCCCCCCTATCCGATTCGGACTTGTTCGATGATGCAGTTTTTACCAAGAGTTCCATACACACGAAACTCTATTCAATAGAGAGAGGTCATCGTACGACGTCAGCGGTGATTTCCTGTCTATATATTTAAGGGTCGAGTTTCATTGAGTTCCTATTACCATGTCTCAAACTCACAAAATCCCCTCATACATGAAAGCCGTCGTCACCTTGGGAAATTCCAAGGTAGCTTTGAAGTCAGATGTACCCGTACCAGAGCCCGGTCCAGGACAGATTCTTGTCAAAGTCATCGCCGCGACCCAAAATCCGCCTGATTGCGAGTCCTGTGTTGTACCACTGAGTACGCGTTATTGATGTGCCTATGCAGGCTTTTCGCTCCGCCAGAATGTAACTACGGGCTTGGTGATAGGTCTTGATTATGCGGGCATAGTGGTTGATATTGGCCCGGACGTCCCTACTGGTCAGCGGTATGTCGGTGAACGAGTCGCAGGGTTTATCAATGGTGGTAAGTACTCCTTAATCAGTAATCAGTCTTGATTTATTGCACAGTCAGGCAGAACAAAAGAATGGACTGGGACCTTTGCAGAGTACTGTTTGGCCGAGGCCCACTTGGTGCTAAATCTGCCCGATTCCATGAGTTTCGAAGACGCCTCGAGTCTCGGACTCGCCGGGTTTACAGCGTGTCAGCTGCTCTGGCTTAATCATCGTGCTCTCCCGACGCCCGATGCACCAACGCAAAAGCCTTTTCCTGTACGTACATCGCCCATATTTAGCTTACGTTCTTTAATCTTTTAGGTAAGCTTCTGGTTTGGGGTGGTGCGTCCTCCGTTGGCCAGTATGCGATCCAACTAGCCAAGCTCTCTGGTCTCACGGTCATCACTACCACATCTCCGAAGAATTTGGATTTGGTCAAGTCTCTTGCGGCAGACGCTGCGTTTGACTACCGAGATCCGGGTGTTATCTCTAAGATTAAGCAGTTCACGGGCGACGAGCTGTCTGAGGCTGTCGATTGCATCTCTACGAAGGACACGATCGTCCAGGTCGAGCAATCTCTGGGCAAGAATGGTGGACACATAGCCACTATCATGCCGGTATCTGTGACGCGCCCAGATGTGACTTGCGAGTTTATGCCCGTGTATACGCTCCTCGGTCGGGTAAGCAGTCTTCATCTCCGGTTTAATGGTAAACGTTGACCGGCGTCTTCGTAGGTCATCGATTTCGGGCCTGCCTATCAATACCCTGTCATCCCCAAACATGTCCATGCTGGGGAACGTTTCGGAAAGATGATGAGTGAACTGTTGACGGCAGGAAAATTGAGGGCGAATCCGGTCAAGATCGTACCTAACGGCTTGGCGGATGCGCAGCAGTTTGAGTATCATGAACAAGGAAAGGTTCGTCCCTTGTTCTATTGCCCCGCACGTTTTTATCGATACAAGTGTCATCAGTTGAGCGCGGAGAAGACTGTTTATCGGATTTCCGACACACCGTAATCAAGGAGTGCGACATGTGAGACTGATTCAAATTTTGTACTACTCTTTCAATCGTCGAGAAAAACCCCCTGTATAGAGTGCTTATACAACTTCAATGCATCTCAGAGCATCCGAGAGAGAACCTCACAGGCATGTAGCTCAGTAAAAGTCCTATATTGTTATCAAATTTCGACATATTCCAGCACCCCAAGCTATTGAAGTAATCAGTCTTCCGAGTTCATCATCTTTGCAGTCAGTTAACCCCGACACGATTTAGGCAGCCATCGCCATCAGCCCTACACCTAAACCAGCGATGACCACCCCACCCGAAACACTATTTTCGAAGCCGGCACTTGTACTGGTGCTTGTAGTGGGGGTCGCGACGGAAGAGATTGAACTATTCACGCTCGATGGGAAACTGCTACGACATTTATCAGTGTGCTCTCTTGCCCCTGTGAAAGACGCACGATGGAATGACTCCGCTGCCACAAAGGTTAGTTAGAAATGTAGGGCAAGACGGTTGGATAGGTATTCTCTACCTTGGAATAGACAAGGATACGGTGGCCATGGGATCGGTGGTCGTTTGCCCCGCAATTTGGAGAGGTTGGAGGACGAGAAGGATGAAACCAGCGAGGAGATACATAACGTTATCGTTGTAGTAAGACTCCATTAGTGCCAGATTTTATACTCGAGGGATTCTACCGTGACGTAACGAAGTTATTGTCGCGGGCGTACTAGACGAAAGAAGCAAGGCGCGGGTCACCAGTCACTGTAGGGAGCTCCGGTGAAACAAATCCGGGAAGCGATAACGGTTTGTCGGTGAAGGCTTGTTAATTATAAGACCTCGATACTTGAACGTTGAGGCCGCATAGAAAATTGTGACCTTGGCTTTGGCTGTGTTGCTGCTGACTTGGGCATCATCCTCTTATAGTTTCAACTTTACCAGCATAGAAACAGGAAATGACGAGGACAAAGCGTTCATGGCCAACATGAAAGATTCCCTCCTGCTAGTATCAAGATATGCATTCATAGCTGAAGTTAAAAGATGCTCCACTCCGGAATGGCAATTCTACGCCCTTTGAATTTGTTCAATGACAACCTATACAAAGTACGTCCCTCTTGGGAAGTCCGTCATGCATGATGGCTGGCGAACGGAACGGCGTTTGTTAAAAGCAAGTGACAGATCCGGGGTAAGATGGGCGCAGCTTCGGGATGGACGGGCCACCTTGTAAATATTCGAACTTCAACGTCCAAGCCCATGGCAAAGAAGAGAGAGCCCGACGATTCCACTGAAGGTCCAGGCTCCAAACGAGTGAGACTTGTTCAGTACATTTTTCTTATCATCGATGAAGCTGAACACTGTTTAAGCCTACAGTAACCACAAGTTTTCTGAAGCGTTAGAAACGATTCTCGAAGACCGTCGGGTCTTTCGCTTTTCCTCATATGACTGGGTTTCTTTTGTAATGCGACTCGGCCCTATACAACGTGCTGGAAAGTATTTACTCGACTTCCGAGCCCGAGGTCCTTTAGTATAAAGGATAGGGACTATTACTAAGGAGCAGCCGACGATGATGGTCTCATGCTTATCGGGTATGTAGATTCCTCTGGTGGCAATGACAGAACCACAGGGAAGTCAACTGTGGCTGAATACATGGCCACGGTACATGGTAGCAATGTTGGCGTTCAAAAGAAACGATGATGGTTCGCAGTTTATCAACAACCCTTTTGTATTGAATCATTTTCACATCCAGGCCAAGTTCCCGGAGACTCGGCTCCTCTATCTCGAAGCAGGGCTTGACAACGGACGGGAACGGGACCTAGGCTATGAGCCGCTGAGCCGTTGCTGTAAGTAAACGGTTCAAGTAACCGCCTACATGAATGAAAGCCGTTTTTGAAATTAATTCGGATGTTTACCGCAGGACCCAACGTTCGGTTTATCGTTAGACTTCCAATGATTGGATCATTACTCATCTGCACAATCTTCTCGATGGAGGCCCAGCAGAGGTCACATCATGAATGGCCGTGTTGCAATGTCTTGTGACCTGCATCCGTTCTCATTTCTTCCAGCTGTTGCCAGAGAGTGCTTCGGCCGAATCTGCCACGGTTTGACAAGAGGCTTGGTTCCAAAAATTGATTTGGTCACAGCATGTATTGTCAGGACCGTGTCTTTTTAACGGAAAGCATGATTTACTGTCAGGTTTCTTTCCTCTCCCCCGTGTAATATAATTACTGTGCCTTATGGAATATTAGGTTTGCTCCAAAACGATATGATAGCTAGAGATCACCTCGTTGTAACTAAATGCCGTCAAATGATTAGTTCAGGTTAGGTCGGAAACGTTTCCAATATTCCGTGTCTTGCGCAGGATGAGGCTGATTAGATATTCAGTACTTGTTAGAACAGAGATGGTCAGAAAGCATACTGCATTGCTAGCGCCCGAAGTATCTAAATTGGAAGAAAATAAACATCTGACCGACAGTGAGACGAAACGAAACGAAACGTACGAGCTTTCAAACACCTGAAGTAACGCCCCCTTAATAGAACCATGTGTCCCTCCACGAATTCCTTGCCGTTTTCCCAGAACTTTACTTGGGTGGTCCAACCAAGAGGGGGGAGGGTCATCGTAAGTAGAAGACGCAATGCAAAGGGGTGGAAATGTATTCGGACATTTAACAAGGTACCTGACCGGTTAAAGCGATAAACGGCAAGCTCTTTGTTGGCTGGAAGGGGGAATCATATGGTAACATTTAGGATCCGTGAACAGGGAGCGTGCGCCCACGTAGCAAGATTTTAAAAGCCGACCGGAATTGTGGCGAAACAGTAGATAGTAGAAGATGCGAGACTCCCCGACTCGGAGGTATTTGCTGAGCAAGCATTCAAGCAGTAAGTATCAGTTGAAATTTTATGAACAAGAAGCCCGGGGCCTTTTCTAAACGCCATTCTGTTGATTTATGCACAGTTCTTGGCGCTTATTCCTGAGCAATACAGCGTAAAAAGACGTCTGACGTGGCTGTGCCGTGTGCTGTCTAGTGTTTACCAGAAACTTTAGCCCGGAAGCGACATGAGTCATTAGTCAGCAACCTAATTTTTTCGTGTTGCTGTCGTCGTACTCAAAAAGCCATCCGAAAGGGCCCTTTTCCTTGTAAAGTCCACTTTTTCTCCCTGGTATCGAAAATGTGAAGACCAACCTTTCTTTCACAGTCAAAATGGCACCGTTTTCCAAGCCAGAAACAGTGCTGAAGCAGGCCGAAGGTCTTATTTCCGTGGGCCAGATGCATGCGGCCCTACAATCTTTGACGGAGATGTTCACTTCAAAACGATTTCGCTCGACCCCGCTCACGACGTTGGAACCTATAATGTATAGGTACATCGAGCTTTGTGTCGAGATGCGGAAAGGCCGTACCGCAAAGGAAGGATTGATGCAGTATAAGAACATTGCCCAGAATACGAGTGTGCAGAGTATCGAGGCCGTCATCACGCGTTTTGTGCAGTTGGCGGATGCGAAGGTCAGGGAGGCACAGGAGAAGGCTGCGGTACAGGTGGCCGTCGATGTCGACGATTTGGAGGCAAGTGAAACTCCGGAGAGCATTTTGCTGGGTGCTGTGAGTGGCGACCAGAGCAAGGACCGGACAGACCGAGCGCTGGTCACTCCTTGGCTCAAGTTTCTCTGGGAAAGCTTCCGGACGTCTTTGGAGACGCTGAAGAACAATGCAAGGCTAGAGGTAATATACCAGGTGCGTTTCTAATACTACAAGAAATCATCTTTTCTTATATCTTGCTATCAGCAAATTGCTCAACAGGCATTCAAATTCTGTCTTAAACACCAGCGCAAGGTCGAATTCCGTCGTCTGTGCGAGACTCTTCGACTTCATCTTTCAAACGTGGCGAAATACTCGCACCAGCCACATTCAATAAATCTCTCCGATCCAGATACCCTACAGCATCACTTGGATACACGATTTGCTCAACTTAACACGTCCGTCGAGCTCGAACTATGGCAAGAGGCATTCCGCTCCGTCGAGGACATTCACAACCTGTTGACGATGGCCAAGAAGGCGCCCCGTCCCGCTATGATGGCCAATTATTATGAAAAGCTGACCAAAATCTTCCTCGTCAGCGGCAATGCCCTTTATCATGCTGCGGCATGGGCCAGATATTACTCCCTTGTGACGAGCATCGGAGGTAAATCGGACGAGGAACTGAGTAAGCTCGCCGGACAGGTGTTGGTGAGCGCCCTTGCTGTTCCGGTGGGTCGCCATACCGAGGAGCAGGATGAGGTGAAAGGCAAGCTTGGTCGGCTCACTGCTTTGCTGGGCCTCACAAAAATGCCAACACGAGCAGGTCTGCTCAAAGACGCGGTATGCCACATCGGTTCCTATTTCAAGCTTTGCCTTACATGCCTCGCAGCTCTCACGAGACGTCCTTAAAATATCCCCGGCCTCTGTCAAGTCTCTCTATGACATGTTGGAAGTCACATTCGATCCTCTGACTCTCTGCGTGTCAATAGCGCCTCTTTTGGAATCGCTATCCTCCGACCCACTGTATGCATCTTACCTTCCTCTCCTGCACCAGGCCCTATTGTCCCGGCTTCTCTCCCATCTATCTGAAGTTTACTCGTCGATAAAGATCTCTCACCTTCTCGAACTAGTTGCACCCTTGAAGGCGGCCGGCGTTGATGGTGCGTACGAGCCCGAGCAAGTCGAGTCCTACGTGATGGGCTGTGCCAGGAGAGGTGAACTCAACATTCGTGTGGACCATCTGGAAGGATGCATTATATTCATCGATGAGGGCTTCACAGGCATCAGCGGCGAGGACACCGCGTACGCGCCCTCAGATGGTGCTGTTCAATCCTCCGTATCGGAGCTTGTCAAGAAAAAATTAGGGAATGTCGCTTTATGCTTGCATAACTCGCTTTGGGTCTTGGAAGGGTCTAAGAAGGAGTCTCTTTCGAAGGAGGAACAGCAGACCAAGCTTCAGACTCTGGTTACTGCTGTCGAGTCGGAGCGCAAGGCTCTACAGTTACGCCGTGCCCTTGTTGCTCGTCGTAGGGAGCTGCTGAGCGAGCTTACCGTCAGGAAGGAGAAGGAAGAGACGAGCCGTTTGGCTGAGATCAGTCGTAGGAGGAAGGAGGAGGATGCTAAGAAGGAGAAGGAATCTGTTCGCGCTAAAGAGCTTGAGAGGATAGCGAAGGAGAGAGAGAATATTCAGAAACTGGAGGCTGAGAAATATGCCAAGAGTCTTCTCACTATGGGTACTATCAAGGCTGATGATATTGCTGTATGCGTATTTATTTATACTCTGGCTTGTTTTTCTAAACGCTTTTCTTTTCAGAAACTTGACAAGTTTGATACCGAGAATCTCATTACAATGCAAGTCCAACAACTGGAGAAGGAGAAGAAGGAGACGGCCCAGCGTCTACGCATAATTCTTAAGCGCGTCGACCATCTCGAGCGTGCATATCGTAAAGAGGAGCGTCCTCTGCTGGCTCAAGATTATGAACAACAACAAGCGCATGATAAGGAAACCTTCAATGCTATCCAACTCGCTCGTAAAGGGGCAGCAAAAATCAGTCATCAAGAAGATCTGGCCACGAAGAAACGTCTGTCCCGGATGATGGCAGACTACTCTTCCCGACGAGATGTAATGATCGCAAAGAAGGGCGAGGAGTTTGCAAGGAAGAAAGAAGCTTCTAACCGGAAGATCGAGGAAGAGAAGGCCAGGCGGAGAAAGGCCTTTTTGCAAGCTAAAGAAGAGGAGAGAAAGCGAGCGGAAGAAGCAGAAAGGATCAGGAGAGAAAAAGAGGAGGAAGAGCAACGACTGGAGGCCGGTATGTGTCTTCCCCGTTCATTCTATACCGCTTTTACTGATACGAAACGAATATGCAGAACGCCTGGCAGAAGAGGAGCGTCTACGCGCCGAAGCAGAGGCCAAAGCTGCTGCCGAAGAGCAAGCTAAACGCGAAGCCGAGGAAAAATTAGTTGCTACACGTAAAGCCCGCGACGCTGAGCGCGAAGCGGCCAAGGAACAAGCACTGCTGCAGCAAAAACGAGAAGAAGAGGCCGAGGCCCGTCGCGCGGCCCGTGCGGCGGAGCGTAACCGTGGACCGCCACCTATAGGTCGTGTCAATGGCATGAGCGAACCTTGGAGGCGTACTACGCCTACAAACTCTATGCCTCCGACGCCTACGCGTGCTGGTACTCTTGGTGGTGCACCTTCTCCGCGTCCTGAGAGCCCGAGCCCGGTCGCTGGAAAATACAGACCTGGAGCTGGTCTCGGAGCTGCCGGAGGAGGGTGGAGGGCTCGCGAGGAGGCCAGACTTGCTGGTACTGGCTCAGGGACCAACACCCCCCGGCCCGCCTCGCCTGCCCTAGCAAAGGAGGCGACGCAAAAAGATGACGATGGTTTCCAGACTGTCGCCAAGCCCAACGTCTGGCGTCCCCGTAGGGGTCGGGGTTAGTTTGTAGTATACCCTGTTTGATTGCTTTCGATTGCATTTTTCTTTTCCTCATTCAAATCCAGTTGCATGGTCCGATATTGAGCGTCATGATACTAATGTGCTGATAGTAATGTACACATGCTAATCTATGAAAAACGTCCTTAACGAGTCCAATCCAATGAGTGTCTAATTCCGTACAAACATATCACCGATTCCCCTCCTCTTTCACGGCTTCTGACATAAGATCTGGCGTTGGAAAATATTAAACACGGACTGAAGAACAAAGATCACGGATTACTGACCTCCCCATATAGAATGTTGCATAGATGATGAGAATGGATTCTCAGGATCATCCTCCAATACGGATGAATCCGTCCTGGGTAGTGAATGAGAACAATTCATGGAGAAAGTCAAAGACTGCATACGGCAATTTGAAACTGAAATCGGTCCCTAGCATGCTGATGTCACTGATCCGCCGACTGCTCCTGTGTAGTCCACGTCCAGGGCTATCAGCAATAAGCGACACGTCTGGAGAAGCGAATCGGTATTCCGGTGTTGGGCTCCCCGGCACCGAACCATATCCAAGAGAAGAAATGTCGCGGGATGACAACAGAGGCGTCTCGGGCATTGTATCCACAACAATAGACGGAATTTCTTTTAGATGATTCGTTAGTCATTACTAATGTTAACCAGGATATACTACGGACCTTTCGAGCCAAATCTCGACAACCGTTTTTGTTCCATGTGTGCCAAGAAGCGACGTCGTTGTGAAATGGTCTTCAAGAGAGAACGAACACGATCCAGATTGACCAAGTCTGTCACAAGCCTATTGGTGCGTGTTCGAGTAACAAGATCCTGAAACCTGTGTATGAACGTCTCAGCGACTGTCGAGGAAAAGACAAAGCGCTTACACCAGGGCTTCATGATCAACGATAAGCTTATGGTGGGCCAGTAAAGTAAGCATTCCTGTGAACGAAATGCCGACCCCTTGATGCGACACACTTGCTTCGTGAAATAGTCGACTGTATATCGCTCTCCGTTTTCTGACGGCGATGTAGTCGATACCATCAAGTACTTTAGACAGCTCGGCGAGATCGATTCCTTCAACCTCTCTTGTATAGAGATCCCCAGTCGCCTTCGAGGCATTCATGATATTTCGTACACTGTACTCCACAGGATAGATTCTAACTTCGAAAATGCCGCTGAGTCTCTAACGTTGGAAGTGAGGAGGCGAACTGCTTCCGCAGACTGGGAACGAACCGAAAAGAATGCAGCGAAGCGATTGCGCGGTAGATATCCCGTCTTGAAATCTGCAAACTCCGCCCATATCTTCTTGAAGGAACGCATTTGTTCTCGAGTGATGGACTTAGCTCCGCCAGAAGTTTGGAAGACATAAGAAAAATTGTCGACAACAACACCTGTAGAAGATTAATGACCAACAAAAGTGAAATAAGACTTCCGCAGTACCAGTGAACAGATTGACAAATATATACTAGAAAAACCAGTCAGAATTATCAAAAGATAAAGGAATCAAAGGCAATGCACCATGCTTAGGACGTTCCATGCTATGAAGAGCGTAAAAGCCCATCCCACACTGCCACAATCTGAGTCCGAAAGAGACGACGATGCATTTGTACAACGAGGGTACACAGTGGCACTGCTGTGATGTTAAAAGAATGAAAAGTATACGAAAAGTGGTCACCGACTAGTCATGCATATACTGATTCCATCCTTCCCTGAGAAGTGGATGTCATTAGCGCTATTGTGGAGGCGTCCGAAGAACTTACCCGGTGCTCATGAAGGCAAGCATGACAAGGGCATTCACGACAGAGGAATAGTTTTCATTTCTGTTCTCAGCAGAACCCCACTTCGTCAAACAAAAGACCTCCACGTAGAGAATAGCGAAGAACCCGAAGAAGACGAGCCAGAGAATGAGCAGGTTCACGATGGCCGGCAAGCTCGCCCTACAGGGGTCTGTTAATGAAGTAAGAAAAGTCATGGGGAGGCTCGCTCACATGACGGTTTTGAACAGCTTGTTCAGACTGTTCGTCCGTTGCACGAGTTTGAAGGCGATACTGACGAGAAACAACTTCTGTAGCTGCTGGGTCACAAACCCGCTTGATCCAAACTGAACGAACATCGTAGTCACAAAACTACCTCCAGCAGAAATTATGTCGAAGATATTCCATCCGTTGGCACGGAAATTTTGCCAGCCGAGACCCAGAAAGCGCACCGCGACGTCGATGAGATATACAAACGTTAGTGCTAGGAAGAAGTCATCTGCACAGCAAGGGCATCATAAGTCGTGGAAGAAGGATGCAATGATAGGCTTACTGCGCAAAGTGTCGCCCAAGTTCTGACTGGTGAAGGTCTGAGTCCTGTGAAGCGTCAATAATAACTATATCACTACTCCAGCGTCACGTACATGAGTGCAAGGATGTGCAATATGTATAACACAAGCATAACTCTCGCCCACCAGCCATGCTTATGCACTGCTCTGTCATGACACCAGGCACGAAGAGCCCATGTTGGCCTTGACTTTGGTCTTTTCGAAGGTCTTTGACGGGTGATAAGCTTCTTCAAATCGACCCACTCCCTTTGAGGTTTCGTGAGAAGGGCAGTACCAGTCTTCGAAGTGAAGTTGCCGATGATTATCCTGATACCGCGTCTTCATCAGTGGCCGATGACAAGACAAGTTAAATTATTCTTACGAGACGAAGAGTGTCAAGATAATGACGCCTCCCAACAAGTTGTAGATCACAAAGAATAACGCATTAACTTCACTTGCATTCGTTGACGGTTGCTCATTCGTGCCCGTGATACTGGTGGCGACATTCATCACATCAATCCAGCCTTCCAAAGACACGATCTCAAAGAGAATAAGTAGAGAGGACCTAAAGTTGTCGAAGGAAAACGTGGTTGAAGGCGATGGGTGATCCCAAACTCGTGGAGTCACAAAACCAAATGCATTTCCATACACCGTATTGGTGTATTCATTAATGCAATCAGACGATCCTGATGCATTAGTGTCGTTGCACGTGTTCATCTTTCCAGCAAACAGGTTGAGACCCCAGATGGCGTAAGGAATCATGTAGAGAATGGCCAAAATAGCGGCGTCGAGAATACGAGAGGCACCGGAAATGATTAACGACCGGAAAGATTTCCTTGTGGCATCGAACAGCGTGATAAACCTGAGGACACGCAGCGCCTTGAGAGAGCGTGTCAGTCTACTGAGTCCTCCGACGAAGATCAACGTGGTCGTCACGTTGATCAATAAACCAGCCAAAATGAAGAAGTCGATAACGTTCCATACACTGTTAACGTACGCATTGGGCGTAAACATGAATCCGTCAGCGACAATTTTGATAAGAAACTCGACAAGAAGGGTGAATCCAAGAGCAACTTCTGCCACATCGAACCAAGCTCCACGAGTAAGGCCATTTTGGAGAGCGTAGTTACGACGAAATTTGGGAGTGGCGATGATCTCCACTACAATTCCGGCCAGTACGGTCATGAATAGAATCGTCTGGAAAATGGTATGCGCAACAGGGGATTGGGGTTGGCCAAAGATACGCTCTCCGTTAGCCGGCATGACAAGTCTCTGACAGGCCTTCCGAAGGGCATTGTCCTGAGAAAAGAGCCAAAATGTCTTGTCGTACGTGGGATGATTTCGTATGAAGTCGGCCTTTCGTGCCCTTTGCTCGTATAGCGCATCATTCAGATCTCCTGCCGCAGTAGCCTCTGGGTTTAGCGACGCCAAAAGTTCTCTAAAGGAAGATGTCAGAAGGATGAATCCCGAATCATCAGACGACTAACAGATGACGTTCTGTTTCCTCATCGTCGACAACGTGCTCTTCCCGGGTATATGGCTTTAAAGTGGCAAGTGGAACATCGCTGGACTCTGTCTTTCCAGCATACAACTGATGCAAAGTCTTCAAAGACTTTGTGGCATAATGTCTTGCACCCTGAGCCGTACGTGACCCTGCTGCAGTAGGCTGTATAACGGACTCAATAAAAGGAAGTATCCGAAGAAGAGGAAACATACTGTGGTCGGAGAATCAGGACTGTGGACGTTATAGTCTTGAACAAGGGACTTCTGCATCGGGAGGATCAAATTGGAAGGCAGATTTTCCACCTTGACTTTGATGGGATTCGCCGGTACCCAGCGATATGGGTTCAATCGTTTGAACCATCCCGAACTGCTCTGCGTTTGATGAGTTGTTGCGTAGTAGTTAGTCACCTGTTTGCCCCTCTTGGACTCTTCCGCAACATCAAAGTTCTCGTTAATGACAGCAATGAACATTTGGAGAACGATGACTGAAAAAAAAACCCTAAGTCAAGGACTTCAGGGACCGAGATATTGAGCTCACAGTTGGCAAACAGCAACCAAGAGCTGATAAAAACCACCACTACCACAGTTTGACCAAGCGCAGATTCCGCGCTTACGGCGCCGTATAAGACGTTGGTCCAGTTCTCCGAAGAAAATACTTGATAAACATTCAAGAAGGCGTTGAACAAAGTCGCGAAATTTGCCGCGTCATCCGAGGTATAGTCTCCGCGTAGTAGTTGAACCGCGACAAGGGCAGCAAGGTAATTGATCATGATCAAGAAGAGAGTCATGTTCAACAAACCATACATGTTCCCGAAGACAGTCAACTGTCAGCGATATCATTAGTGGACGTAACTCGCAATCTTATTCACAAGTAAACGTACCAAAAGGGGTCGCATCCTAGGAACCTCCAATATCACTCTGTAGAATCGCATTAGCTGCAGAATAGTCATCCACGGATATACGCCAGAGTTGTGGATCACAGGTATCTGGATGATGCTCGTTCCAATGACCAGGAAAGTGTCCAAGTTATTCTGCGTCTCCTTGAAAAAGCCTCTCCAATCGGGGAGTGAAGCAAGGATGCGCAGTATGATCTCTAGGTCGAAAATTAATGTGATCGCCAGCTCCCCATAGTACATGACCATTTCGTGGACTTCTGAAACGTCCACAGTTCGTGACGCTTGCAATGCGAGGGAGACCAAGGCAAGAAATATCCAGCAGTATCGCGTATGCTCGTAGATTACTTTGGCAATATTTTTGTATTGGACCTGGCGACCATCTGCAGAAGGCCAGCCGTCGTCTTGCTCATCGGTGAGTTGCTCCGTTCTGAATCCAATTTTAACATCCTGCAACCATTGGTGAGACAGATGGTAACGCACGTTCCAGCGCCAAAAGCACTTGTCTTGGTTTCCTTCCTGATTGCAGAGAAGGTGTTGGTAATTACGGCGACGAATAAATTGATGAGCCAAAAGTTGAGGATGATAATGCATATAATGAAGAACAAGCACGAGACGAAGAACTCTGAATCTATCATCGAATACATCAGAGGCGACCACTAGTCGTTTGAAGTTAGAGCAATGAGCGATTTTAGAAATGGCAGTACGTACTCCATTGGCTGAAGCGACGATGATGACTTGCAGAGCCGCGTAGTACATAGTGTCAAAACTTTCCACGTTGTTGTCTGGGTTATCTTCCTCCTAAAAGGACTATCAGCACACCACGCTCTAGAGAAAAGAACGACACGAACATACCCTGCAAACTTGCCCTAAAGGACATATGTAACCTTTACTCGACGTCCCAGGTGTACCGTCCAGCTTGATATAGCTGGTGACGTTGAGAGTATCCGGGTCAATATAGCCTCCACAAAATTGATTGTCTATCTGAGTTTCGTCTTCGCCAAGCGTCGGACTTAGGTAACAACCTCTCCGAAAAGAGCCTTTGAAAGCTTGGACACCAATGATACTAGAAATCATGATCAGAAAGTTCAGACGGAGAGGCATGTGAAGATGACTCACGAAAAGAGTATCATAGCAAATAGAACGAAGTAAGCAACACTTGTTAGTAGTGGCCGTGCCGTTTTCAGTGAATGCATGATGGTCTGCCGAACCGAATTAACTGAGTTTAGGTCGTTTGAGGAGTCAAAGGACCTACAGTAGTGCCGGATGTAACAGTCAAGAGTCTTGCTGTCCTAATAACACTCATTGCTCGAAAAATACCTATGTGCTCGGAGCCACGTTCAACACCAGTCGACGCCAGTATGAATGATATCCAAAAGCTGACTGTAGCCACGAAATCTATCCGACACCAGCTATGCCGTAGATACGGGATATTCCTGTGCGTCTTGTCATGGGATTGTTTAAGACTGAACTGAAAAGGCAGTAGAACATAGTCCGACTTGATCGACGAGTGGAACGGGTTGATCTGCGATAAGAAAGTGGGTTTTGGCTCGAGTGGGAAACTTTGAGAAAACTGAACGGCGTGTTTGGACTTTTCCAGTGCAATCGCATCATTTTCAGTCGCAGTCGAACTGTTGTCATGCACGAGAGTCGTGTGGCTAGAAGAGAGGGCGAAAGGGCGGCTCAAATTACGATTGAAGTTGCGCAGTCGTTGGGTGATGGAGAAATCGCGAGAGAGTGTGGACTGCGGCGCGGTCGCAGAAGAACCCGCAGCAGGGGTGGTAGAATTGGCGTCGCGATGGGAGAAAAATACGGTGAAGAGAGAGGACGCGGGAATTTCGGGATCAAATAGGAAACCAGATACGCATATTCTAGCAAAAGCTTCCAAACTAAGCGAAGTCAGTAGGGATACCCAGGACGGGGGTCAAGTACGCACGTAAATATAATAAACAGAACAAACAGCACATGGTCCTCCCATGTCTGAAAATAGCCTTTGATTGCAGGGGCCGTTGAGTCGGCACTTGGCAATGTCAATGAAGGCGCGGCTTGGATAGTGAGTATGATAGCATTGAGGATAATTAACAGTAATATGACAGTTTCCGTCCACCTGGATAGACAGTCAACCCAACTCAAGCAAAAAGAAACACTTGACGCACGGATACACGAGCATTCTATACAATGCCAACCGAACCCTGCTCTGTGGTCCAAGACAGCATATCGTTCTGCCACGTAGAGGTTGACGCTGAGTTAAATCAGGTAACTCCTCCGTCTTGACCTCATCTGGATCGTCATCTGCAAGGCGCATCTGTGTCTCTAGGCCAGCGCCAGCCAGATTGACAACCCGCAGAGATATACGACGTATGTTCTGAGAGACAGACTTGATTGCCGTACCCGTCTTCCTCAAAGGTGAGGGCGTCGCGCTGTATCTGACCGTTTTTCTGCGCGACCTAGGCGTGGCACCGGCAACGTTCTCCGGATCGTTGGCACGATTCCCTGACCATCTTTGACCAGGAGGGCTGCGCGACGTTAGTCCCACCTCGTCGTCCTCCATCCGCTCGTCCCTTTGAACTCCTTGGACCTGTATCAGCGAAGCTGTCGACGGCCCCACCTGGCTGGACATATACATGTCATTTTGTGCGTCATCGTAGTGGTTCACGATGGATGAGTATGAAAAATCTCGCGAAAAAGGCCCAATATCATCCGTTGGTGAGTCGAAAGGATCGTCGTTGACAGTATATACGGCTGGCGTCGTCGATGCATTGGCAGCAAAGAAATGTGTGTCGAATCCGCTAAGAGGGTCCTGCCCTGCCTCCACCCTTCCCCAGCTTGCTCGTCGTCGAGTGACACGGTCGGAAGTGTCAAGGGATGGAGAAGGACTAGGAGGCGCTGAAGCAATCCCCGCAGGGGTTCCTGTCAAGTCAATGGCAGAAGAAGATGAATTGCGTGGTATTACAGGGTGCTGGAGGTAGCTTTCCTCCATTGAAGAACGTCGGCGTCGTCTGTGACGATGGGTAAAGTGATCGGGAAATAGTAAAGAGGTGTTAGCGACAAGATTCCCAGACCGAATATGGTGGCTGTGCCAAATGTGGGAAAATGGCGGGTGCTGTGTCTGCGAGCCTTCCACTGAGGCTGAACAGAAAGGCACTGTATCATAGCGGAGTACACTTGGAATAATATGCACCGAACAAAATTTTTATAATGAGAAAAATCGGTGCTCTATAGATCATGCCCGCCACCGATCTGGATCTTCCGTTACTAAATGATGGAATCCACGTTGACGAATCAAATCATGAATAATAATTGGGGCCACTTTGAAAGTAAGAAGAAAAATAAAGAGGAGCACAAACAGATAAGTTGTAGACTACTAAGTGTTACACGATAAACGCACACTAGCACTGAATTTTTAGTAAGAGTGACAACGACTTGAAGAGGCATAGATACACAGTTAGAGATAAAGATACAATTTCTTATGGTCCACAGTTGGTCCCAGCGACCATCAGCACACATAGGGTACATATGAGACGAGTTAGCGCGTAAGATGGAGAGCAAAGAAACAGGTCACAGACCAATTTCGATCGACTGACGAAATACCCTTCCAGGGCACTTTTGAAACCAGCTCTGCTGCATTGTCCAGGTGCGTGGTGGTGGTACTAAAAAGAAGTGGTTGTCAATTGTTATTTACATCCGTGCTTTGAAGAGGTAGATGGGCACAAGACCTGGATAACGGCGAAGGATTTCACAAGTCATATCGACTCCTTCGTCTGAACCTCCGTTCTCAGTTTCTGTCGTCATCCGCAATATATACAGGACTGTTGGGTCTGAGTCAGCCCCAGTCAGGCCTGAAATATCGGGCAACAAATTATGGCCAAAGAATAATCCACCCCAGGGAAATTTCCTGTTCGCTCCAAGGATTCATAACAAGCCGGCAAGCAATTCTCCTTTTAGCCCAATCACAGTACACCTCCTCTGGGCTAATTGGTCTTCAGGGACAAGGGTGAGTGCGACGGAAAGTATTTCCAGAGTCACGGTTACGCATTGTTACCCTCAAGCACGCTGGGCAAGGGCCGACCAGAACCTCGTCGACATCGCATATCGACGTTTACTGCCAGTCTCCACCGAGATTTCCGGCGCTAGTGACTATTCCGCAGATGAAGCAGAAGTAAGCATTCTGCTAATAGTTATAAATTGTTTGCTGACATTTAATGTTGCATAGGATACGCCCATAGCTCGGCGTTCATTCTCACGGTCATCGAACCCGGTCCTTCGTTCCGGTTCCTCAGAAGCATCCTTTCAAGGTCCCCTCCCATCCGGCAGCCTTCTGCTTGATATAAATTTCATGTGGAACATATGCACAACCATTACTCACTTTCATGTCTTCAGGATTTGCACACGATGGCTGACACAATATCCTTCCCATCCGTCAACAATGTCATGCAGGAGGATGCCTTTTCTGTATTGTGTCGAGCAGTATATGAGGACGTCAGAGAGGCTGCTGGGGTATGCTTTGCTAATAAATTTCTCCGGTGAACCTGCTAATATGTTGTATCTTGTAGCCAATGGCCCAAGTATCGACGTCATTGTCAGTGAGGGATCTACGATCCCCCGATTGTTCATGGCGGACGGCTTCTAGTTCTGTTGGAGTCCTTGACGACACTGGGAGCGCCCATGGGAAGAACACCCATTGCGCCCTACTGTCGGCCGTCTCCGCCGAGGTTTCTGGCACTCAACAAGATTCTCTGGACGAGGTCCCGGTGAGTGTTGTCAATTTCCTACTGTGAACAACCTACTAACATTGAATGTTGTGCAGGACGCGTCTATGGTTCGCCCTTCGTTTCCACGGCCGTCGAACCTGGTCCTTCGTTCGGGTTCTTCAGATTCTTCCGCTGAAGATCTGGAGATTAATAAACCGTCCGAGGCATCGACAGCCTCACCTATTGTCGCGATGTGCCGTCGTCGCTTATTCCGAAACTGACCCGGAAAAAGGGGACTGTCCTTCCGATTCAGGTCACTGGACCCACTCACACTGGCAGGCGGTCCTCGTCCCCGTCCTGCATTCCAACCAGGTCTGTCAAGGGGCAACCTCGAACAGATGTATTACCCTCCGTTCCCTCGTTGCCGTCCTCCCAGCGAAATACTAGGCAACTCCGTTTCCCTGCACCCACGCCGACCAGGCGCACGCAGGAAGAAAGCGGCTCCCCTTCGCATCGAGCACATTGTAGGGTGAGCCTTGATACCAGTTGTTATATTTTTTTTTACCTTTCTCACGTTGTTCCTAGGCCCGTTCTTTGCGATCCTCGCGATGTATCAACCATGCAGAAACATTAACGAGCGCATGGAGATGAGAGGATGTTGGTCGCACGCCTACTAAGTTGCCGTGTTGGGTACCTTTGGGACGACCAACTGGTCACTGGAGGAGGGCTGGTACGCTAACGAGTTTACCGGTCCTTCTTCTACCCTGGCAGATGAGGGAGTGTCGACCGCTGACGAGTAGTTGATGCGTTCTGTGCCACTAATACCTCATCCCATCGCGTGCGCGACAGACTATGACATCCTTCAACATCCTCGTCGTCTCCTGCCTCTTCTCGTTTCTCGGTCGCTTAGGACACCCGCACGCATGCTCATCGCTTCTGATCTGTTCATGATCTCCATCTGCGTATCTCTCTGTGGATATCTATCCTCCACACTACATTCCTCGCAGGCTATCATTCTACCATCCTATCCCTCTCCAGCCTACATCATTATTGCTATTTATCATTCCTATTCCCCGTATACCCCTTTCTACTTGGTCTTTTTGTATTTTCTCTTCTCTCTTCCTCTATTCGTAAAGTTCTCGCCAATTTGCATTCTTCTTTGAGGACAGCCTAACATTATCACATCTCTATGTAACTCATTTCTCTTCGGGTTCTTTGACTGTCTCCTCCTTTTTGGATCTTTTATTCGTGTTTTTGTGACCGTTCTTGCGAATTTTATCGATTTGTGATAAAGGATTGAGTTTAAATGCATTTAAGCTCACCGATCTGCCTTGACTCGTTAAGCATGTTGTCGTATTTCAGTGTCATTTCAAGACAATGCTGTGTCCTGGACACCCTTAATGTATGCCTTACTTAGGTTGTGAAGCTTGTTCATACTTTGTGTCTCATTGAACCATCGAAGTCTTTGTCAAGATCTGGAGTTAAACCTATGACCTGCATAACTTGTACTGAACCATTTTGTGGTTGTACTTGGAATGTGCAGCTCAGTATGACATCAACATCCAAAATGTGCAGATAAGTCAATTCTCAGAATAGAAACCTGCACCATACATGTTGGGATAGCAATCCCGAGCGAGTACGAGAATGTACTCGAAGATACGACGCCAGTCAGCGGCAGCTGACTTGGATCGTGATCCGGACTTATTTAGTATCTCGTAGAAAGATCTCAAAGTAATACAAAATGTATTTAAGTAGAATGTCTCTCTCTTGAGAGGCCAATTCTAATCCTCTGTACATTACTCTGCTCTCTACTTACAACAGGTTATGGGCCCTGGCCATAACTGAACTTACATTGCTACTCACTTCACACTCTTTTGTACTTTATGTACACATGTAGAACTGCATGGATAGCCAGTCTGTGTATAGAATTGACCCCCTTAAGGGCCTGGAAAATTATCCAATGTGGAAAATCAAGATGATCGATATCCTAACTGATTTAGGACTAATTGATTATGCAGATGGAAGCATTCTGGCCCCAGCAGACATGACACTGGTGGCAGATTGGAAGAAGAGTGATAGGAAGGCTCTTTCAACAATAAGATTGTGGGTTTCAGATGGTCCACTGGTATATATTGCAGGTTCAAAGACTTCAGCAGAAGCCTGGAAAGCTCTGAAAGATATGTATGAGTCCAGGGGACCCATGGAAATTGTTCTTGTCAGAAGGAAATTCTTCAGAGCTCAGTGTGAAGAAGGAGGAAACATAGAGGAGCATATTAGGACTATGAGGTCCTATCAGGAGAAGCTGGCATCTCTTAAGCAGAAAGTTGAGGAGGAGGGCTTCTCTATCACACTGCTTACATCACTCCTGGAATCATGGAATTCATTCATCTCATCAGTGGATACTGCCAACTTGAAAGATTCTTACAAGTTGATTTCCCAAATTCTTCAGGAGAACATCCAATTAAAGGAAAAGACTTCTGATCAGACCACAACACTTGCAGCACATGGCAAGAAGTCCAATTCAAAAGTCACATGTTATAGATGTGGAAAAACTGGTCACATCAGAATAAATTGCCCAAATGGGAAGAAGAATTCTGGAAAGTCATGGAAAGAAAAGAGAAAGGGCCAGACTCAGGCACATGTTGCCAAATCGGACTCAGAAGAAGATGACTATGTATTTTGTGCAACAGATGTTGCACTTACCTCACTCTCAGGAGTATCATAGCTAGGGGACTCTGGCACCACCAGACATATAGTCAAAAATAGATTATATTTTTCTGACTATGTTGAAACCCCAGGACATGAAGTCATTGGTGTAGGCAAATCCAAAGGCTTGGAAAGGGGAACTGTCAAGATTAAAATGATTGAAGAAGAAAAGATCACTCCAGTCACACTAAAGGAGTGTATCCACTGCTCTGATGCACCATTCAATCTTATGTCAATAGGGTGCATTATAGATGCTGGATTTGAACTCAAATTTAAAGAGTCCAGAATGGATATTATCTCATCACATGGCAAGATAATCAGCCATGGAGATAAAATATCAAAGCTGTACAGCCTTGACATCATTGTTCCAGAAATAATCCAGGCCCATGCTATGAAATCAGCCTGATCATGGCAAAAGTGGCACAAAACATTAGGCCACTTAAACATAGGATCAGTAAAAAGACTATTTAGAAAGAAAATGATCAAGGGGATGGATATAGATAAGTCAGCCGAGCCTCAGACAGATTGCATAGCTTGCATAAAAGCCAAACATCATACCAAGCCATTTCCACAGAAAGCTGAAAGAGACTATACTGAAATAGAGAAAATGACATTTTTGGATCTATAGAGGCCAGCCTGAACTCAGGGTATCTATGGTGAAAGATATTATATAAGCTTCACAGATAGAAAATCCCAAAGGACAATGTTGTATTTTTTGAAGTCAAAGCAAGATATGGAAATTTGAAAGAAGATCTAGCAGTATCAAAAATACATCAAAGTCCACAAAGGGAAGAATCTGAAGTTTATGAGGATTGACAATGGAAAGGAATATGTCAATGAAGAGATAAAGAAATACCTCCAGGATAATGATGTACAGTTGGAATTGACTGCAGCATATTTCCTATCTCAAAATAGAGTTGCTGAGAGAATAAATTAGACTCTTGTGGAGCATGCATGTGCCATGCTAGAAGAACATCACTTACTGAAGTTTCTATGGCCTAAGGCAGTAGCATATGCCACATACCTGAAGAACCAATCACTAATCAGGGCCATCAAGGATGATCTAACCCCAAAAGAAGTGTTTCAGAGCATGAAACCAGATATTTCAGCATTTCAGGAATTTGGAATAAAGTGCTGGATGTTGCAGCAAGATAGCAAGAGGTCAAAACTGGACCCAAAGTCAAGAGAATTTATTTTCACAGATTTTACAGATGAATTCAGGGCCTGAAGATATTACAACCCTCAAATCAGACAGATTCAGACCTCAAAAAATGTTATATTCCCTGAAAACAACACTACAGAGCCTATAGACACTGACTATGTAGTCTCCCACCCTTCATCACTCAAGAGAGAGTCAGAGAGTAAAGTCAAGCAGACTCCAGATGGAAATGATGGCATTTTAGATGACTCCATGGATGCTAGAAATATCAAACCAAAAGGGGAAACAGCCTCTGATGTATCATCAATCAAATCAAAGTTTCCAATATGGTATGAGAAAATAATTGAGCCACATGACAAATTGGCCTGGATTGCATCAAAGATCCAACTGAGCTACTGGACACTTCATAATCTAAGTGCATGAGCTGTGAAAACATCAGAACAACAGCATACCTCAGAAGAATTATCTTTGAAAGCCATAAATGTTGCAATAGACTATGCATGCATTGGGAAAACTGCAGACAATCTCAGTGATGAGCCATTAAGTCTTGAAGAAGCCAAGACAAGGCCAGACTGGCATCATTGGAAGAAAGCAATGGATGAAGAATACAATCTATTAACTTCCCTAGGCACATGGCAGCTGAAAGAATTACCCAAAGACAGATCACTTGTAGATTGCAAGTGGACTTACAGATTGAAAAGAAATAGTGATGGAAAAATCACCAGGTACAAGGCCAGACTTGTTGCAAAAGGATTTTCACAGGTACCTGGCATTGATTTTTTTGAGACATATACACCCATTGTCAGACTGGACACACTTCACCTACTCATGGCAATTGCTGCTCAAAGAAACCTAATCATTTATGGAATGGATGTTGTTGGAGCTTACTTAAATGATAAACTCAATGAATCCATTTACATGGCACAGCCATCTGAATATTCAGATGGGAGTGAAAAAGTGGCACACCTCAAATTAATGTTGTATGGACTCAAGCAATCTGGCCAAGTTTGGAATGACAAATTAAATGCTATATTTTTGAGACTTGGATACATCAGATTGATCAGTGATCAATGTGTGTACATCAGACAAATGAGTTCTGGTCCCATAATCATAGCTGTACATGTTGACAACATGACACTGCTTGCCTCAGATGATGAAACCATGTCTAAAATAAAAGAAGAGCTTAAGAAGAAGCTAAATGTCATAGATATGTGAAAGATTTAATATATATTGGGTATGAAGATAGACAGGAATTGGGACAAGAGCACTATCACTCTATTCCAGAAGGTATATACAGTTGACTATCTCACAATGCATATGGTCAGGAGACACCAAAACCATATGCATTTATAGATTTATGCAGAATCAAAACAGCACATGATGTGACATGTGACATGTGACAATGTCGTCATTGCCTCAAAATGCTGTCAGTGGCTTTTGGGTCAGCTTTCCATGCATCTCCTTGAATAATGCTCCTCTCAACTTCCTCAGCTGTGGTACTAATCCATCCTGGTCATCTTATGAAACACAAAATGCCTCTAGCTTTCAAATAAGCTCAAATTCTTCTCTTGTAGTTATTAAGGTCTGTTCTTTCTCACCCTCCTCTTCCTCCTCTTCCTTCTCATCATCATCAATGACAGTTATTTCCCTATTTTCTACTGAAATATCATGCTTGACAGCAGCAACAATCTCCTCATCTGTTGGCATCACCTCAAGATCTTCAGTATACTCTTCTGCAATAGGGCTAACCATCTCTTCAATGGTTGGAATGAGACTAAACATGTGATTTCATTGTTTTAATTTGACAAGATAGTCCTTCAACATTATCTCTGCTGTCTGGAGCTGTTGAATGGGAGCAATTTGGGTGGAAGGTGTGTTTATTTTTGACTGTGACAAAGGAGCCAACTGATTGACTGCCTCCAGTGCTTTACCAACATTGTTCTTTGCATTCATAACAGCCATAAGAGCAGGACACCAGTCAGCATCAGAATATTGGTTTCCAAGCAGATTCTGCAATGCCTGTTCAATCTCTGGAAGCATGTATTTGTCTGTTGAGGCAAAGTCATGAATAAGGTTCCATGCAGACTTAAGGAGTGAGGTGTCTTAGAAATCATTGGATGGTGTGGTGGACTGTGATTCAGGTGCATTGTCAGGCATTATACTAGTGTGTTTCCAGCAGTTTGCTATCATTTCACTGCTGACATTTGCCCAAGCATCATGAGCAATAGTCATAGCTTCAAGGAGATCAAGCTTGAAGATCTCAGACTCTCCAAGATCATTAAGATCAAGTGCATGGATACACATGGCATTCTGATAATATGCCTTGCAGCAGCAGATAATACCAGCATCTAGTGGCTGGACATATAGAGTCATGTTGAGCTTGAAAAACTCCAGCTTTGTGTTATAGGA